TTTTTACCTCCTTGGTAAACCATCTACGCTACCCACCTCATTTTGTGCCCTCCTTATGTGAGTATGCCTACTTTTATTTTTGCTTTTACAATAACATACCACCCATGCGTATATATCTGGAGCTGAACATAAGCATTTCTCTTTTTTCACCTCACCCCCTATAGAATATAAAACACTATATTCTGTTTTCTGTCTTCATAGTTTCCATACTGACTCACCACCATACGAGTTTGAGCCAGAGAGAAGAGACTCTGGTTTAGGAAGTACTAGCTGCTATACCTGGATCTAAAAAGCGCTAGGAACCTCACCACTGCAGGTATTCAGTGAATGTTACTTAGACATCTACCATATTTTTTCCCAATCAACCATCTCTATTTTTGGTGTCTCGGACAGAATCTAGAATCATGTGATCAACCAACCAATCGTCCCAAGTTCAGATGAATTTCAGTTCAGACAAAAATAATTCTCAAAATCTAATGAATTGCTGTAAGACATGATCACAGAGAATGTGGATAAATTCTGTATACATTGTATACACTGAGTCCCAGTATATCGGATTGGATACATTGTATACACTGAGTCCCAGTATATCGGATTGGATACATTGTATACACTGAGTCCCAGTATATCGGATTGGATACATTGTATACATTGAGTCCCAGTATATCGGATTGGATACATTGTATACTCTGAGCCCTAGTATATCTGATGGGATACATTGTTTACACTTAGTACCAGTATATCTGATGGGATACATTGTATACACTGAGTCCCAGTATATCTGATGGGATACATTGTATACACTGAGTCCCAGTATATCTGATGGGATTCATTGTATACACTGAGTCCCGGTATATCTGATGGGGGACATTGTATACACTGAGTCCCAGTATATTGGGTTAGATACTTGCTGTATACATTGTATACACTGAGTCCCAGCATATCTGATAGTATACACTGTACACAGTATATCTAATGGGATACATTGTATACACTGAGCCCCAGTATATCTGGTGAGATACATTGTATACACTCAGTATATCTGATGGGACACATTGTATACACTCAGTATTTCTGATGGGACACATTGTATATACTCAATATATTTGAAGGGATACATTGTATACAGACAGGTTATCTGATTGGACACATTGTATAAACTCAGCATCAGTATATCTGATTGGACACATTGTATACACTCAGCATATATGATTGGATACATTAAACACACTCAGTATATCTGATGGATACATTGTACACACTGAGCCCCCAGTATATCTGATGGGACACATTGTACACACTCAGTATATATGATGGGATATATTGTATACACTCAGTATATCTGATGGGACACATTGCATACACTTAGTATATCTGATGGCATACATTGTATACACTCAGTATATCTGATGGGATACATTGTACACACTCAGTATATCTGATGGGATACGTGCTGTACACATTGTATACACTCAGTATATCTGACGGGACACTTTATATACACTCAGTATATTTGATGGGACACATTGTATACACTCAGTATATTTGATGGGATACATTGTATACACTCAGTATATCTGATTGAATACATTGTATACACTTGTTATATCTGATGGGGTGCATTGAACACAATTAGTATACATGATGGGATACATTGTACACACTGAGGCCCACTATATCTGATAGGATACATTGTACACAATCAGTATATCTGATGGGATAATTGCTGAACACATTGTATAGATTCTGTATATCTGATGGAACACATTGTACTCATCCAGTTTATCTGATGGGATACATTGTATACACTTAGTATATTTGATAGGATACATTGTATACTCTCAGTAAATTTGATGGGATACTTGCTGTACACATTGTACACACTCAATATATCTAATAGCATACATTGTACACACCCAGTATTTTTGATGGGATACATTGTACACACTCAGTATATCTGATGAAACACATTGCATACACTCAGTATATCTGATAGGATACATTGAATACACTCAGTATGTCTGATGGGATGCTTGCTGTACACATTGCACACACTCAGTATATCTGATAGCATAAATTGTAAACACCCAGTATTTTTGATGGAACACATTGTACACACTCAGTATATCTGATGGGACACATGGTATACACTCAGTATATCTGATGGGACACATTATATACACTCAGTATATTTGATGGGACACATTGTACACACTCAGTATATTTGATGGGATACATTGTATACACTCAGTATATCTGATAGGATACATTGAATACATTCAGTATATCTGATGCGATATATTGTACATATGCAGTATATGTGATAGGATACATTGAATACACTCAGTATATGTGATGGGACACATTATACACACTCAGTATATCTGATGGGACACATTATACACACTAAGTATATTTGATGGGATACATTGTATACACTCAGTATATCTGATAGGATACATTGAATACACTCAGTATATCTGATGGAACACATTGTACACACTCAGTATATCTGATGGGACACATGGTATACACTCAGTATATCTGATGGTAAACATTGTACACACTCAGTATATTTGATGAGACACATTGTACACACTCAGTATATTTCATGGGATACATTGTATACACTCAGTATATCTGATAGGATACATTGAATACACTCAGTATATCTGATGCAACATATTGTACACACGCAGTATATGTGATAGGATTCATCGAATACACTCAGTATATGTGACGGGACACATTGTATACACCCAGTATATCTGATGGAACACATTATATACACTCAGTATATCTGATGGGATACATTGAATACACTCAGTATATCTGATAGGAGACATTGTACACACTCAGTATATCTGATGGAACACATTGTACACACTCAGTATATCTGATGGGACACATGGTATACACTCAGTATATCTGATGGGACACATTATATACACTCAGTATATTTGATGGGACACATTGTACACACTCAGTATATCTGATGGGACACATGGTATACACTCAGTATATCTGATGGGACACATTATATACACTCAGTATATTTGATGAGATACATTGAATACACTCAGTATATCTGATGCGATATATTGTACACATGCAGTATATGTGATAGGATACATTAAATACACTTAGTATATCTGACTGGATACATTATATACACTCAGTATATCTGATGGGATACATTGAATACACTCAGTATATCTGATGGGATACATTGTATACACGCAGTATATTTGATAGAATACATTGTATACACTCAGTATATCTGATGGGACACATTGTACACACTCAGTATATCTGATGGAACACATTGTAAACCCCTAGTATATCTGATAGGATACATTGAATACATTCAGTATATCTGATGGAATACATTGTATACACTCAGTATATTGGATGGGATACATTGAATACACTCAGTATATCTGATGGGATACATTATATACACTCAGTATATTTGATGGGACACATTGTACACACTCAGTATATTTGATGGGATACATTGTATACACTCAGTATATCTGATAGGATACATTGAATACACTCAGTATATCTGATGCAATATATTGTACACACGCAGTATATGTGATAGGATACATTGAATATACTCAGTATATCTGACGGGACACATTTTATACACTCAGTATATCTGATGGGATACATGGAATACACTCAGTATATCTGATGGGATACATGGAATACACTCAGTATATCTGATAGGATACATTGAATACACTCAGTATATCTGATGGGACACATGGTATACACTCAGTATATCTGATGGGATACATTGTATACAATCAGTATATCTGATGGGACACATTGTATACCCCCAGTATGTCTGATAGGATACATTGTATACACTCAGTATATCTGATGGGACACATTGTACACACTCAGTATATCTGATGGGATACATTGAATACAGTCAGTATATCTGATGGGATACATTGTATACCCCCAGTATATCTGATAGGATACATTGAATACATTCAGTATATCTGATGGAATACAGTGTATACACTCAGTATATCTGATGGAACACATGGTATACCCCCAGTATATCTGATAGGATACATTGAATACACTCAGTATATCTGATAGGATACATTGTATACACGCAGTATATCTGATGGGATACATTGAATACAGTCAGTATATCTGATGGGATACATTGTATACCCCCAGTATATCTGATAGGATACATTGAATACACTCAGTATATCTGATAGGATACATTGTATACACTCAGTATATCTGATGGGATACATTGAATACAGTCAGTATATCTGATGGGATACATTGTATACCCCCAGTATATCTGATAGGATACATTGAATACAGTCAGTATATCTGATGGAACACATTGTATACCCCCAGTATATCTGATAGGATACATTGAATACATTCAGTATATCTGATGGAATACAGTGTATACACTCAGTATATTTGATGGAATACATTGTATACACTCAGTATATTTGATGGGATACTTGCTATACACATTGTACACACTCAGCCCCAGTCTCTGAGATGGAGACCAGCTGCAGTTCTCTCCTCCTGGGCTGATTGTGCTGTAATGATAGCAGCTGCTCTAAATTCCATTTTATTCAGACTGACTTTGATCAGCCCTCCATCCATCCGGCTGTATCAAAAATCCCCTTTTATTCTTCCATCTGTGTGAGCCAGTGTCAGCCATCATCCCCGGCAGCCAATCAGCGGGCAGCACATCCCAGTATAGTCAGAATAGCTCCCTGCCATTCACATTTAAATGAGACACTGCTGGTGTCCTTGTAGCATGCAGAGCCCCCCAGCCAGGCAGCAATATGGAATAAGAGCTGGATCCTTATTGCTTTCATTGCTCTCTGTCTGTCTGTGGTGTAAGCAGCCCTATCATTGGGCTGCACTGATTAGTAAGCAGCCCCAGCCCTCTGTGTTTGGCAGGGATCCCTCTGTACAGGCTCTGCAAGAGCTGCATTCACAGAGCATCCACCAGCAGCACATGCTCTGTACAGGGACTGCTACAGAGAGACAGGGACTGCTACAGAGAGTGCAGCACATAGACTGCTACAGAGAGACAGGGATAGAGTGCAGCACATAGACTGCTACAGGGAGACAGAGATAGAGTGCAGCACATAGACTGCTACAGAGAGACAGGGATAGAGTGCAGCACATAGACTGCTACAGGGAGACAGAGATAGAGTGCAGCACATAGACTGCTACAGGGAGACAGACATAGAGTGCAGCACATAGACTGCTACAGGGAGACAGACATAGAGTGCCACACATATCCTGCTACAGGGAGACAGAGATAGAGTGCAGCACATAGACTGCTACTGGGAGACAGGGATAGAGTGCAGCACATAGACTACTGCTGGGAGACAGGGATAGAGTGCAGCACATAGACTGCTACTGGGAGACAGGGATAGAGTGCAGCACATAGACTGCTACAGGGAGACAGGGATAGAGTGCAGCACATAGACTGGCTGCAGAGAGACAGGGGATAACCATATCATTAGAGTGCAGCACATAGACTGCTACAGGGAGACAGAGATAGAGTGCAGCACATAGACTATTATCAGAGTGCAGCACATGCTCTGCACAGAGACTGTTATAGGGAGACAGGGATAGAGTGCAGCACATAGATTGGCTGCAGAGAGACAGGAGATAACCATATCATTAGAGTGCACACAGACTGTCTATACAGGTAGTAAATGTATATATTGGATGAGAGTGCTGCACATGTTCTGAATGCAGAGAGCTGGGCTGCAGGATACAGTATCCCGCTTCTAATACCTGGTCACTGGTAACTGGGGAGATTAGAGTGCTTCACAGCATCTACATCCCGTTCACTGGCTCTCTTAAACTGTCACTAGAGAGACCCCCTCACTCACCCTTATTGTGACTGTCTCCTATCACAGGATGGACCAGGCTCCCTCTACCAGGTGAGTCTCATTTTCCTACATTACAAGATGCTCTAGAGACAATGATGGCTTTAATTCATTCATGGAAATGGAATAGCTCCAGGTTCCCAGCGATGATGGACTCCAAATCCCAGTATGCTGAGGCAACCATGTTAGTGCCCCCCTCATATTCCAACTCAGTTGCAGACTAGATAATGGTGTTATCAGTTAATGGTGATAGGGGTTAATTGGATTGCCCCAGCCATGTGCTATTGTTTTATTGTATGGTGGCTGTGCTAAATGGGAGTTTTAGTGCAAACATCTTGATTGCCTGGAGTTATCCATTTCTTGTAAGCTGGCTGTGCAGAATGGGAGTTAAACCCCTCATCAACTTGTCTACCACTGTAGCTCAGGTTGTAGTAACGCATAGAATCTTGTTTGCAGGGGTCTCCTATTCTTGTATCATTATAAGCTGGCTGAGCCGATGGGAGTTGCAATCCACAGCTTCTTGAGTGACATAATTATCTCTACTTTATCTTTAACGTAGGCTCTCAGAGCATGATGAGAGTTGCAGTGGAAAATACACAGGGCTGGCATGAGAGATCTAATTCTACTTGTAGGTTGGATGAGAGTGATGGGACTTGCATTCTAAAATAGATTGATATATCAGAAAGTGTGATTACTGCTTTGTTGCCATAGGGTTCATTTCTTGGAACGATTCTAAAGATTTATGGGAATTGTAGTCTGAAGTCACCCGTGGGTCTTGTCTGCAAATCGTTTTTAGAGTCATCTGAGATAAGTGGAAATGTTATGATAAGACTTTTATCAGGATAAAATGAAAGTAAATCCAGACATTGATTGAAAGAGTTATTAATGATCAATGTACTGCTTTTAGCCATTGACATTCCTTGCTTGGTTGTACCATGTTAATTGGACTGTTTAATATATGTACACTGTGCAGAAAACCTGCAATATGGATTTTATTAAATGCTTTGCAATTCACAGTTTGTATTGGTTTTGTCTTTTAGTTTTTAAAACAGTTCTACGCCCGTTATAAAAATGGCTATTTACCAGTCATTAGGCTTTTTAATGACCGTTACAGTTCTTAAATATATAATGTGGCTTTTTTCTTCTTAATTATCATTTGAGCATCAATGTCTCTTGTAATGATATGTGTTTAGTTAAACCAACATGGAAAGGGTTAATTATCTAGGACTGATGTGAGTGATGACCACTCCTGTATTTCAATAGAATGGATCAATTACATGTTTGGCGAGGGGCATTTCTGGATTACAACACCTACAACTCAATGCCAGCCTCAGACTGGGGGCCCATAAACAGTTTAGAGGGACACTGGTGTTCGCTCATTTATTGAACTCGTCATTATCAAGAAAAGTCAATGTCTTGGTCTAAGATTCTTCTGATGCTCAGCCAGCCAGCAAAGCAGGGTCAAATGCATGTCACAGTCAACCCAAAATTCTGTCTGTACCCATGTGGTTTGTGCGCCTGACTTCCTTCTGGAAGGGTATGAAAGCTTTAAATATTCAAAAGCCATTCCATGATATTATACTCTATTAAATAACAATTTACGTGTCCCAGGGTCTAGTAATGGCTGCCTTATTTGGCTAAGGATGCTGAGGCTTGCATTCCCGAGCAGTTATCTAGTATCAGAGGTCAGCAAGGACAGGCCATTTTCTCTGTCTCCCCATCTCCTGCAAATACATAATATTCCAGATAATGATCTGGTTTGGTGCCATGATTCGGATACATTGTTAAATGGTTTAGATTGTCAGCTTTCTGCCAGGCTAAGGCTCGAGGCTTATTTCAGTGTATAACGAATTGCACAGAGCAGGGTGTATTGGCACGTTGTCCGCCAACTAGAAATGTTTCCCTGATGCCAGCAGCGCCTGCCAAATTGCTAATCTACAATCGGTTGCCTTGTCCTGGACATGGAAAATTGCTTTTCCATCAAACCCGGCTTTTATATATTCCGCAGGATATATTATAGGGCATCGATTCAGCGCATCCGTTATGGACTACATTAACATTCCGCCCAGCCAGCTAATTTCGTAGGCTGTGTATCAGTTGTAGTCCAATATCGGACATTATGTATTGCGTGAAGTTCATATTACGCAATCTCTAGCAATTCTATTGCGCAGTAGCTGATTTGCCTGTTTTTCCCAATCGTGGCTGAGTGATTTATCTGTTCTCTAGTAATCACTGTCTGCCAGTAGGAGTTCTGTGTTACACTTGCCGTCAGTATTCTGTGGAATTCTATCCTAGAACGTGAAGAAAGTGCTCTCAAAATATCCGGTATATTGACCTCAGTGGAGAATAGCATGGTAAATCAAAATACTAGGGGGGGGATTTAATATCGCGTAAAATCAGATTCCACTCTTAGCTAATGTGCTAAATAAGGAGCAATCACCATGGAAACCAGTAGAATTTATCAATCTTTAGTACTTTGCACCAACGTAGCAATTGTTTGCCTATCTAAAAACCTTCATCTAAAAATCTTTTTAGATGTGCAGAGCGTATTTATATATAATGGGTGAATTGAGCTATTCTGACTAGGTAAAAGTCATTTTGGTGATACTTGTCTACAATTCCAAATTAAACGGTACCCACTATTGAGAAGTAAGCTTGCTTGGCACCATATCTGGCCTGGCATGAAGGGTTTACTAATTAAATGCTTGGTTTCCTAAAATTATGCAGGAGTTGGGTACATTTTGGCTCCAAATTGGTTAAATGTTGACACACCTTTTCTCCCCATTGGCATAGCCCCCCTTCGATTCTCTCATTGACTTTATCGAGGACATAGTGTAGAAGTTTAATGTGGGCTCAAAGCATACAAGGTGGAGGTTAGGATTTCCTGAGCCTGGATGCTTGGCAGCTTCCAATGAGTCTTTGCCAAGGGATTCCACTGAGATTCTCCCAAACTGGATTAGTGCCAGTGTTTGTGAGTGTTTAATCATGGTTTTCCCTTGGCACCAAGGACTACTGTGTAGGTGGTCTGCTGGCTGAAGAATCAGAAGCTGTGCAGCCATTTAATCTTATCCAGAACCTTGAGAAAACTCCTTATAAATCTTATCCAATCAGCATGAAAACAACCTGAATTCATTTATTTGGCAGAACTTTGCCCATTGAGTTTACAGAACTTTTTATCTGGTATCAAATTCTATATGAATTAAAGAAACAAATAATGCTGGTGGCAAACCCACATTGTTTTAATGCATTGTATATAATACATATCTAACGGCTAGTTTTAGCTCTGACAAAATGTGTGCTTGTTATGGTGGGTCGGTTAAAGTGTTCCTTCAGTCCAGAGTTCACCACTTTCTACTCAAACTAGAATACAGTTACACTTTGTTAAAATAATGTATTAAATTTCCCAGGGGGTGGGATATTAAAGGGGCAGTGTACACTGATCTGCAATGGTTATTTTACCCAGTGTGTCTGTGCACGATTCCCTGGTTTAATGCCAAACATTGGGCCGAGTTATAGGATTGGCAGCATGTATAATGAAAATTCATCTATGCATTTACTAACAATATGTCTATTACACTATATATCGACATCGTGCTAGTTGTGACACGTGTCAGATATGATTGTAACGGACCACCCGGCACCCTGACTTGGTACCTCTGTTGAAGGATGCTCCTAGCGCTTTCTGAGGGCTCCAAGCACTCCAGCCAACACCATAACCACCATAGACTCCTTCCGAGAGCAAGACAGGAACAAGCTCTTAAAAGAGCTTAGAAGTGATTATCCAAGAGAGCATGTAGAGCATAGCAATCTCTTGTAGTGATATAGCAATTCCCCTAATAAGAGACAGGACTCTAGATCGAGGGTGAAGAAGAACTGTCTAAAACTTTATTTTACTTGGGACTAGCCCATATGGTCTTTACATGAACATTGCTGTGAAAAATCAATAAAATTACAAACAGTCAAATCATAGCAGGCAACATACAGCGATTTATTATAACACAAAGAGGTGGGGGAGACAATAATTAACAGAAAATATCTCACGTGCCTGCAGAATTAGCAATATGCAAATCTACCCGAATATGCAAATGAACTAGCTATTGAGGTAGTGCATATTGCTGTTTCTACCAACAGAGAGCACTAGACAAGCTCCATAGCCAAATCCACCTAGTTGGTAGCAAACCTCAGCAGTACAGGAGAGCAGGCAATACATCCCAGGGGCCAGTGTCACATGGCAGGAGGCTGGCAATCAGTCTTCTCCAATGCCCAGTGGCGAGGCTGGTTCCGCCACAATGATGAGTTGATTAACGTGACATAGTTCTGTTTTTATGTGAAGACACACCCTTGCTTCTCCCAGAATCCTCTACCGTCCAATGTATTGCTTTGAAATAGGTTATACGAGATACATTGGTGGAGCTCAGCTAGCGCAAAGCGTGGATACAGTCAATTGCCGATTAAACATGTCTCTACATGTTATGTACAAGATTAAATTTGATGCATGTCATACTTGACTATATGTTATTTTAGTGTGGAAATATTCAGACAAATAATATATGTGGGCAGAGTGCCTGGTTACTGTGTTTCTGAAGAGAAACATCTATTTGTAATAAAACTTTTTTTTGAATGAATATGATTTTATAAGGATAGCACAACAACGATACAGTACATACCAAGTGTCCCGATCCAGGCCGGACATTCCCATCTGATACATGTATTACACCAAAAGTCGTTTCAGTTCCCTGATTGGGACATGTGTAGTGATAGTATTAACATCCCATATACATGTGGTAATCACAGACGGAATCCCATGATTGAATTATTTCCCTCTGGCAGATTATAATTTATACACAATTCTGGGCAGCCTGTTTTACGTACTGTTCAAGAAACTGAAGGAAATTATAACTATGTAAAAAAAAAAGGCCAATCTGGTAAATTGAAGTTTTTTTGTTTTTTTTCTTAGGAAAGGTCACACTATTGAGTGATTGTGTTTTGCACAAAAACTACAACTGTACTGTTTATTTGTTTCCAAAAATGGAACTTCGACGTCTTGTAAAACGAAATCATGGGCTAATATTAATAACCGTTCTAGGTGCCAGTCACTACCGTCATGTAGCAATGTCATGTAGCAGACAATTCACTCCAATAATAAGGTTGTTCCATAGCATTCTACTGTAGGTTTTTTCCAGAGTCCAGCCTGGGCATGCAGCCCAATGAAGGCCTAAGGACAGTGATGGCTAACGTCACTGCAGATATTTCTGAACTACATGTCCCATAATGCTCGGCAAGCCTTGTGCCTATCTATCACTCCTTTAAAGAGATCCATGTACCACCATATTGCCCTTATTTATTAGTGAATTATTAGCCTGTGTTCTGGGGTAAATTTGGGAGGAGAAGCATAAGTGAGTTCTATGTCTATGTCAAGCGTAGTCAAATTATATTTACCTCCAGAAAGCATAAAACAAATCCAGTCCCAATCTTAGCCAGGTCAGGACATACATGCATTTAAAATGAAATTTAATGGATTGCATTTGGGAGGAAAGGAATGCCCCTTTTATTAGTCGATCAGAAACCTGAGAATGAGATGTTAAATGATATATTTACATTCTTTAACAGCTGCCACCAAAATCAAATATTTCATTAAACTGGCACTTCTATGACCATTTTCCATAATCATTCTTTGATTTACCCTGAACAATGACTATATCCAGTTGCAGTCATATAGCTGCCGGTTTGCATATAATGATTGCTCCGTGTCATGGCATTTGACAGTTTTGCCTCTCGAGTTTATACATTGCGCTTTTTATGTCTGGCAATCAAACTGTGGGCTGTGAAAGCTGTAATTAGCCTTTTTTTCGTTTGAGGAATGATCTCTGCTGGGGTCGGAACACAGGCTCCTAGAGTCAACACATATCTGTGTCGTAAAACAGCAAAGGGGCTGATAGATTCCTAAAAGCAAGACTATAGAGAGATGCTCTCAATCAGGGGGGGTGGGGGGGGGGTGCTTGATTGTAAATACTTGGAGGCTACATAAATCAAGCTGCCATTAAAAAGGGTTGATTCACATCCTTGCGGACAGAAGCTTAAGAAATAGAGAAATTCTGTTGAATTCTTCTGCTATGCCTTCATAACCACTGTGGCCATAGGGTTCTGGAAGACAAGTAGGGTAAGATATGGCCAAAATGCAAAAACTGGACTGGTCATGAAAGCTGCCACTTTAATTTTACAACATATGTCACCAGCAAGTGTCAACATTCTGAAAGAAATGTATTTCTAACTTTACCGTTCTGCGCCAGTGAACCGTATCTCACTAACTTTATAGGCAACAATTGTCCATTGTGCGGAATAATGTGGTTCTAACTGTAATTTTTATGGGAACAAACATGATCGTATCTGCTGAATGAGGAACTGTCATCTTTGATTTGGTGGCTATTTTCTTTTCCCTACACCTCAGTAGGCACTGTGTAATCTGGACGTTCATTGTGTCCTGCTTTGTTATCAGTGGTGGACAGCCTTGCCCTATCATGCAGTGCGTGTACACGCTTGCGACATTTTAGGAATAAGGTTACTTTACACTGGACGCCGCGCAGTGCCACACATTCATTGTAAATGGAAAACCAATTAAAGTAACCCTACTTCCTCTGTCTTGGAATTTTACTAGGAATGCAGTAAAAAATTACTATATTCTGTGAAACATTACATAATAACCAGGAAATCTATTAAAACTAAGTTTTCATTTAATTTTTCCATCAGGAAAAAATAATAATTCAGTTTTCTGTTCATTTATGTTATGAACGATAAGATTCAAGGACCATCCTGATATATTGTTTCTTTATAACAGGAGTTCCCAACCCAGTCCTCAGGTACCCCCCAACAGTCCAGGAGTTAGGGATTACCCAGTCGTGTCTAAAGTGTTTTTTCTAAAAACACCTTAGACACAACTGGGTAATCCCTAAATCCTGGGCTGTTAGGGGGTACTTGAGGACTGGGTTGGGAACCACTGCTCTATAACGTTATCTATCATGAAGGGGTTAAAGCAATATCAAATTGTGTGCGAAATGTCTGATAAACTGTGCAAGTTTGTGAATGCTCCCTTAATACAATATAACAATGTACAAGCATTTGTTTTCTGTCACTCGATAGAGAGTGGATATTTCTATATTTCATAATGATAGTACAGTAACCATTTATGTTCCCGTACCCGTTAATTATATCACCTGGTATGTACTCTATACTTTACCCCTCTCGAGTAATATGGACTGATTTCACGAACAGTGGTGCCACGTGTTTTAGATGCTTACTGCTCTAGAACGCCTTGTTGCAATTGGATAGCGGTCCTGTCATTTTAACCCCTCTTTGTAAAACCGTGCCATTTTGTAAAGGCTACATACACCTCTAGTGTATTTCTGACAACCACTGTTGGCATTTCTGCTGTGAGAACCGAGTAAGAGTTGATCCTGCAACCAAATCCTGCTCATAGAAGCACGTGATTGGAGGACTGCTGTGTTTTGCCATGAACGTGTATCTCATCGAGATTGCGGAAGAGTCTCCAAGCATCCTGGTGAAGACAGAGAGGTGGAGCGGGCAGCTGCATTGGAGGTATCTCAACTCTGGAAATGAGGTAAGTAAAAAATATTTAACTGAACGTTTAAAAAAATCAAGAGGGGTTTGACAGAGATCTCAGCAACAGAAGGGAACTTATAGTCATTAAAAAACAATAGCTATTTTTGGGAATATAAGTTCCTTGTCATATATTCATTTCAAAATGATATGTAAACATATAATATTGGAGAAATTACTAATTTAACATTTTGATGTCACATGATTTATAGATATTTAAATATTAATATTTTTATGCAGTATAAAAGTTATACCTGTAGGACATGCCTTTTTCAAAGGCACTGCAAGGCATTTCATGTAAATCTCTTATTTTCTGTGCTTCAATGCAAGAAGGCCTCTGGGATATTCATTCAAGTTTACTTTTAAATATCAAATCAAAACAGCTAAATTGAATAAACATATTTTTACAGTTTGGCTATTTCCCCATAAACTTGAAAATTACTTTGAATTACCTAAATTTCCCACTTTAACAAATAACTTGTCCTTCCTGAATTCAGATCTCCATCATATTCTCATATATTTAATGTTCTAAGCTCTTCAAACAAATGGACCTCAGAAATGAAAACAGGGTAAAAGGGACCTGCACCCCTAAAGAAGGCACTGGGTTGTCTGCAATCTCTGATTTCAATGCACTTTGTTGCTTTATATAAGGTCTTAAAATCTTTCATAATTCTTCCCAAAGTGCCCCATAGCTCTGCCTTTTAATTGACTAGCACTTTTTCCACTGTAATTATATTGGCACGTGCATGTAATTAAAACAAAATGCATACGCTTTTAAAAAGACATTAATGATGAACTTTAAATATCGCTCCAGTATTTGCACTTTTAAAGCTGTCTCTAAATATTACACAGCTATCTTTATACGCGGGCCAGTCGCTGCATGGATAAAGTCTGCAATATTTATTTAATCCTATAACATCAATCACTGACATTTTTTTTATTTTAAAATATAGACTTTTATTTAACGCTCACTAATAAAGTAAGAATATTTGTGAAGGTAACAGGGAAATTTAGAAAACTTATTAAAATGAATTGTTATTGGTTAGAGTACATATTTAAAATTATAATTATAATTTTAATATGAACCAATTGTTTTAATGCATACTGTAGAATTTTTCTTATGAACTAGAATTTTTAACTGGGGTTCAGTAATTAGTTGTTTTATTTTGTCATTAAAGATTTTATTGAACTTTTCAGAACACATCAATCTATAATGATTGAAGCCTCGAACATTAACAAACGTCAAGACACAATGATTGGTTGTCGGCTTTGGGAGTCAAACCGTTCATTTACAGTTTAACTCCTTCAACAAGTTTATTGCCAAGTTAATTGATGCTGGTGTGGTACCCAGATTGCCTCTCTAAAATTCTCTATAGACATGTAGCTTTTGTATTCTTCAGATCAGAGAAGATGCTCTGACAAATGACTGATTTTGTCCCAAAAATTGTCCCAATTTTTGATGATAGAATCTAGAATAAAAACATCACACAATAGATTTATGGAGTAAAAATATTACTTTTAAACACAGCTTTTGTATACTTCAAAAATACTCAACTATAGTGTTTATCAATAGGATGGGAGACCAGAAGTCAATGTAAAAGGAAATAATCAGTATAAGAAAAAAGAAAACATATTTGGCGAGCAATACTGGAGAGATGAGCAACAATGATGAGCAACAATCTCTGTACTTGCATTACCACCGATACCATATACTTTTGAATGCCCAGCTAGACTTCCAGTGACTAGCTATGACGGGTTTAGCCATCAAACAGACATTACACCCAGTGCTAAACAAGGGTGGATCCAGAATCTAATTTCAGGTGGGGCACTAGTAAATTATGTAAAGGAACAGCACAATAAATAACAATTAATTAAAATATTAAAAATATTTTAATTGAAAACAAAGTAACTACCCTAAGGAAAAACTAAAGTTAATTCCACACATCCAAGAACCCAGCCCCGGATGACCTCTGGTGTCACAGCACGTTTTTGAAAATGGAAATATTTGGGTAAGAGGCTTTCATGTGCATACATACACTGCCCTTTTGTATAGCAATAGCTGAGAACAATGCAGCAAGACAGGAAAAGGTTGAGCAAATGTGTTAAAAATATTAAAACACTAAAATAAATAAACAAATAAAAAGTAGCAAATATAAATGTCCAAAGTCAGTGTGTAAACTTGCAAAGGTAGCAGCCAAATCCCATAAAGGAGTCTTTTCGTTTTTTTCTATAAGGATACCGAATCCAAAGTTTCTTGGGAACCGTATAGATATACAAAATAAAACAAAGAAGAAAGCCAATAGTGCAATATGTTCCAATATTTTGTGGTAATTTTAAAGTCCAAGTACCTTATATGGTCCTACTCACATTTTTTAGAGCTAAGACCAGCTCTAGTTGTGAACATATATAAGGTGATCTTGAGGTGGCACTTGGATCCAGCAAAACTTAACTGGGTCTCTCCAGACCTCTCACCTGCTTGTTATAGGGGCTGTGTATGAATCAGAACATTCCTCCACATGTGATGGACATATGTGTACGTCACGGTGTTCTGGAATAAGGTGTTGCTATTAATTTTGTGACCAACTTTGAGTCCAGGTGCAATGTTGGAGCATCTCTCCCTGTGACCTTTGCCCTAGCCTAACTAGACCACAACTTAAATTATGCTACAAGAGATGAATGGTTTCCTGATGGTGCTTGGCATACAGATGGAAAATTACTATACTTGATTTTGATATGGTAACAAGATAAATTACCTTTACTTGTCAATTAGAGGAGATAACCTTCAGACATTTCACAATCAAGTCTGGTCACCTTATAGCATTTACTTAGATTCCAGAACTAAGTGTAGATGGTAAGACTGGTTCAATAGGCACATTCTATAATTCAGGACGAAACTTGGCGGGACTTTGAATGGAATTTTATATGGCTACTCCTAAGTCTTCCATTTATCTACCTATTAGTCTTACATCTGTCCCTAGTTAACCCTAGTTTTGGTATGTATGGACTTATTTATGGTGGTTTTGCTATCACAGATTCTTTCATTATGATGGACTCGCAAAATACATCCCTGAAAATTGGAGAGCATTGCCTTAGTGCTGTGTGTGTCTCATTGGGCACTGTTGCGTGACAATATGTGATACCTTGCCTGATCTCACAGACATCTCTGCATGTGCCAACCATCCACATCTTCCCACATCCCTCACAGTCATAAACACATGTGCCCACCATGCACGTCTCCCTATATCTCTCACAGATATCCCCACATGTGCCACCCATCTCCTCCCCAAACTCACGCCTTTTTTGCTTATAATATATTTTGGTGTTAAGCTGGGGTTTTGTTTTTAGATATAACATGTTTTGTTATATGTTTTTGTCTTTAAAACTTGTGCATATGATATGTTATGCATATTGAGGACTGTTATGTGTACAATGTTTTGTCTTTTGTGTTCGATGTTGTTAGTTTATGTAATTTTACTTGTATTTGTTTACCTGCAAAAATGCCTCTAAAATAATAGTGGTCAGTTCCATACTTCAAAACAATATATACAAATTAAAAAAGGGAGGAGAGGCTGGGCCATCCCAGCATGCCGCATTGTGCTTTCATCAATGTTATGTCAGGATTACTAGTGGATCCAGCACGCAGAATTGTGTCACACCTAGGACTAAAGGTAACGTCTTACCAGGCCTTAGAATGGCTGGACTTAACGTACCAGAGAATAGTCAGAATACTTGCCGAGGTCAGGGACACAGAAGGAGACACAACGACGAGGGAAAGCCAAAAGTCAAGGATACCAGAATTCAGGTAAATTGGGTTTAAATAACCCTCCTAGAGCTGCAATTGGCTTATATGTGATCTCTCACCCCAAAACGTGCTTGCACGTCCATGATGCGACGCCGCACGCACACATGCGCCATCTGTAATATGGGCAAGGGGTATTTCTTTAATAGAATTGGAACCGCAGCGGCCGGCGTCTCTTTGATAACGCCGCTCATGCCGGGAACCAAGATGGAAAGAGGTCGGGTCTTGATCTGCTGCGGGTGAAGTGCCGAGCAAAGTTCTCCACGATGCTCTCCACGACCCGTCCACCATCATTGCTTCTCTTTCTGAGGTCCAGTGCCAAGCAAAGTTCATCACGATGCTCTCCACGACCCATCCACCATCATTGCTTCTCTTTCTAAAGTCCAATCAAATACGTCTTATAGAGAAGCATCTGATCAAGTTGATCTTTAGGAATCAGAGTGCCTGTGCACACTCTTAGTCAGGAGAGGAAAGAATGAGGGAGCGTGGGGTGGGCAGGTAGAAGGTTCTTCTTGTAGGTTTGCTCCCAGCACTGCCTGCAGGTGAAAAAGCTTATTACGCCTATTGCCAGCTTGCTGTGCGTTTATGACAGACATAATTTTTCTGTGCTGCCCATGTCATGTGTGCCAAGGGTGCAACTAGCCCCCAGCACAAAATTTGCAAATATCTCTGTGCAGAGGTCCCTTTTGGGCACAGAAAATCGAGAAATGATGTTTCCATAACTAGTTCCCAGCTTGACATGTAAATGAGCACAGCCAGGCATTATGTTTCAGGCTTCATATTGCATTTGTTCAGATACCCTCAGCAATGGACACTATTTTAAACATAGCATGGGCTCCAGTGACCAGAAACCAGCCATGGACTGTATTTATTTTTGTCCCTGTGGGTCTCATCAGCATTGCACCGGTTCTGGTGTGTGTATAATTTACACACATAGTTGTTGTTTTTTTCAAATTGTATTTTATTGGGTTTTTCTTTTTTTACATCAGACACAGATAAGGTAAGAAAAGAAGAGGATGATAAATAAATATCACACCAAGATAAGATATTTAGTAAAAATATTTAAAGGTTGCTTAGGTATGCCGAGAAAGTACTTTTAGGGTCTGGTATTATCCTGTGCTAAACCATGTGGAAAATCTCTTCAAATCAAATCAATCAATAATATTGATAAAATGCATGTCTAACGTTTTTAATGTTCTCCCGTTGGGCAGTCCAGGAGTTTCTGTGCAATTTTAAAAGTCAGCGTTAAAGTGAAAATTGGTATTATATCCAAACCTTTGTGTTTGACGGGATACTTTCTTTTTGTGTGGATGTTTGTAGTTTGTAGTTTGCAATTTACTGAAACCAGAAATAGATTTCCCGAGCTTTAAGGATCAACTTGATGGACCTCTTTAAAAGACCATTTCTGCAAGAATTGATTTTCTATATTGATCAAATGGTGAGCTGCATGGTACTCCATCACACAGCAATGGATTCATTCTAAATTATTTCTTATTTAATTATAATATGGCTGAGTTATCTAATATTTAGATTCCCAGGCCATGTAGACTGTCAAGTCATCATGGAAGGCCAGTTACCCACCTGTTGGCCGACACTGCTCTGTGGTTTCTCCATTGTCTTCTACAGTAAAATATTGCCAGTACCTGTGAACAATTGGTGGATAAAATTATCACTGCAGATGTCTGTAAACTACATTTCCCATGATGCTCAGCCCACCCATCTTAAAGGGACACTATAGGCACGATAGAATCAATGCTTAAAACTATAAAAAAAAGCGAATTAGTCCTTTTTGTTCTTTTGTTAAAGTGTTATTTAGTGTAGCAGCTGGAAATACTTTGTGGGCACTCCAACACAACCCACCAAAAATACACCAAATCTGAAAAGTGCACTTAATGTTTAGGTGATACACCCCTAATACATAAAGTCTGAGGCTCCAAAAAAGGTGAGCACTGCTGTTGATAATTTGTTTTCTCACATTGATATTAAAATACTATACCCAGAAGATTGTTCTTCCTCTTTTCCTGTTGTTCTCAAATTCATATATCTTATTGGGAGTTGCAGAGTGAAATATTTCAGAAGAAAGGTCTATTGCTTGGAGCTTAGAGTCTATATTGTGAAAAGGCTCTAATACATGTGAGTTAATTTTCACTCACTTTTTTGGTTATTATATTTTTATAAAATACCACACTATATTTTATATTTTTATGTTTGTTATCACATGTATTGACTATTTACAGAAGGGGTAAGTCCCTATTTTCTTAAGTGCACTTTTTAGATTTGAAGAATCAGTGCTTTCCTATGGGGAAGACCTAATGCGCACGGCACTCAAATAAGGTAAGTGAAAATTCGGTTTTTCTTTAACCCTTTCATAGCCGTGGCAGCAGGGGCCGAGGGGCACTAGAGTGCTAGTAATACAGCTTTGTATACCAAATACAATATAACATAGCACTTGTATTCAATATAGCTCATATACATTATTTACTGTTCTGTTTGTATTGATATACAGCTTTGAATGCCTAACACTATAGTGTTCCTTTAATGTCATAGGGGATGTACTTCATAAACATCTGTAGCACCAAAAAGAGTCAGTACTGTTACTGACATTACTAAAAGTCTCCTCAAACCAGTAAAAATTCTCCCCTTTAAAGGATAAAAGAATGTCACCCACCATGATCATGGCCAAAACTGCTATAAAGAGGGCATTGTTTGGAGTTAGTGTCTCTGAGTAACATAATGTGTCAGGAATGTGAAGATTCCCCAGTGTTCTAATCGGATGTATAACTTTCACACAGCTCCAAAATATACGACGGTCCGTGTCCTTATATGCCCTACAGTCATAGGACCAGCACCAGATGGTACGTATCCTTATATGCCGTACAGCCATGCGGTGGGCTCCAGAAAACCATACTGTTACTGTTAAAAAAAAAAAAGAACTTGAGGCCCTTCCCTGAACTTACCCAAAGGTTTGAGAGCCACAATTGTCCAGATCTCACACAAAATCCCAAGCGTTCTATCTGAAACCCAGGATCTGACCGTATGAGAGCTGCATTATCTCTGCTCTCACAGCAAAAGTGCCCCCAAAACCATGGGTTGCAGGGTCAAAATCCTGCTTGCCCTACCCAAATGGCGGCTCTGCATTCTGTCAAGCTTAGGAAGCCATTTAACTGAGGATAGAATTGAGATGCATCACTGAGCAGTGTCATGGTATATCATGCTTAATCCCTTTCATCAGAAATCTAAAAAGTTCTAACTACCGTTTCTAAATCAATACTAATACATAATTTAACAATTGTGAGAAGAACATTTTAATTTCAGTTAAATATTGATGTTCTGTTTAAACGCACACTCATGTATTCAATATTAATATAAGAACATTCACATGGAAAAATAACAAATCCAGCAATTGAACCAATCGTGGATTGCTGTCTTCTCTGCAAAAGGGTTAACTGGCATGTGGCTATTCAAACCATCTGCCGAGCTAGTTACACAAATATAGGGGCTTTAAATTCCAACATGTAATGTCACGTGAGAGTCTGTTGCTTAGAAATTCACTAAGTAAATATGTTTCTCTGTATAACAGACATTAAAGAAGAGGATGGGTGGAGACAATGTAATATGGAGACCAATTAGGGTCACCAAGGGGAAGATCTGGTTTTGGCTAATTAACCAGATTAGATGTTAACGTGTTTTTTGACATCTTTGAGACAATTATGATTAGGCAGCTTTAGGTGTGAAACCTGTTAAGTGTTATTAGATGCGCTGTGGATATGAAATATTTGTTAAAATTATTTTTCAAATTTTCTGGATTCTCCTTCGCTGGTACCATTGTGTGCTCCAATTGCTTGTTTCATCCAAAATACTTTTTATTCAACCACTTCACGTCACATTCTCTTGTTTTATCCATTATAATTACCACCTGCTTTGTTAAGTCTCTTTGCATGTTTGTGTGACCACCATATCTACAAATTTGTTTGGTTTGGAATACAATTTTTGGCGGTGCTACTAAATTGGTTTACCCGTACAGATCGGTTACCTGTCCTTTTGGGGACACGCTTACACTCATTGAAGAAGGCAGTTTTTTGAGTTTTTGCAAGGTAAATATATTTAGGTTTACAATGGGATTTAGGCGTAATGAAATGCAGAGTAAGGTTATGGTGCAAAATGTAGCTAGATTTAAGGAGGTTGAATAACCTAGGGTTACTTTCAGTGTTATATATGGGATTAGATCAAATTTGAGGTTAGGTTAATTAATCAATCCGTAATCTTAATCTTAACACTTACCTTAACCTAAACGTCATCGGTCTCAATGATATAGTGCAGTGCTCCTCAACCCTCTGCTCAAGGAACACTCAACAGTCCAGGATTTAGGGATTACCCAGATGTGTCAAAAATATTTAAAAAACAAACAAAAAACACACACACAAAAAAAATAAACACCTTAGACACTAAGGTGTTTTTTTCCTTTTACTAAACACGTTAGAAACACCTGGGTATTCCCTAAATCCTGGACTGTTAGGTGTGCATCGATGAGTGGGTTTAGGGGCATTGCTATAGTGAACTCCCTAACATTAACTGTCACTGTAACCCTAACGTCACTGTAACCTACTTACCTTGCAGCCCTTTCCAGTCAGTGTGCGCAGTTTCCCTAGAGACCGGCGGACCAGCTTTAGCAGTGCTTTTTTAATTATACAGTGATATAAAAGAGAAAGCGATTGACAGACAATATAATATTGACAAATAGTGAAAAAGTGAAGATGGCCTCGCTCAGATAACAATCAAGGAGAACTGGGGGCTTTCTGAGCCTGTTTAGTGTGTACAAATTCCCACACATAAGTTTATTTTTGGTTTACTGTATCCTCTGGGAATACGGAGACTATTAGAATTCATTCCTACAGCTAGTACTGTAAATAGGGATTCACGGGCCGGGAAATTCAAATGGACCCAATTATGAAGAAGTCCCCATCTTCATTAAAATAAAATTTAAAATTGATGAACCTTTATTGAAAGACATTTAATAATTATTAAAAAAAAAATCGAGTGATAGACTGATGAGGCTAAATATATACTACACTACACGATCATTTCTGGATATAAAAATGCAGCAAAACAAGCTAATATCTGTTATGGCGTCTCTGTGCAGGTAAGTAGACAGTCCTGTAGGTAAAGTCGTGAATCAACTCAAAGATCGTGAATAAAAACATAAAGAGAGGGGAAACATTTCAATTATAAAATGTATAAAATATTTAAAATATACAGTTGTGAAGGCAAGAGTAATATTGTAACTTTATGTAAAGTTATATCTTATATACCTTACCATCCAGTGCTGATGGAATCCTACGAGAATTAATTAATGGTGGATCTGTACTTCACCCTCTCGCCTTCTATACAACATACACAACATGGATGTGCAAAACCCAGATTTTCTTCAAATATTAGGATTTGGGGGACTGATGGACTGACTTCGGAACATCTTATTGAATGGCCATGGGGCAATTTTTTTCTCTGACCATTTTGTGTTTAATTTTTTTCCCTATTCAGTTATTCACTTCAAACCTCCATTAAATCTCTATAATTGTATCCTCCCTCACTAATTAATTTTATTTCTAAGATTCCATTGGCACTGGATGTTAATGGATGTACAGAATGGTACACTCTGCCTCCCCTCATATATGCACATCACAATTCACACATGCATAGCACCCCTCACGCACATACAGCAACCCTCACGCACATACAGCACCCCTGACACACAACACCTTTCACACACACACAGCACCCATCACACACAGCACCTCACAGACCCACATAGTAAAAGAAAGTAGAATAGAAAATAGAAAAGAAAAAAAAAGATAAATGTAAGTACATATTTAAAAAAAAAACCCTCCTTTCTAAAAAAAAAAAAAAAAATACAATATCGCAATTGCGCTACAAAATGAGTTACTGCAGCACTGGTAGGCGGTAAGGAAATTTTATCATCAACAAAGATACAAAAGTGGGTGGTAGGTATTAAAAGGTTGACTACCCCTGTTTTAGATAGACATGCCCTAAAAAGGACACTGCCTAAATCTATTTTTTCCCCTCTCACTCTGTTTTTTATTTAGGGTATTTCAGCTGATTCACAGCTTTACCTACATTCACAGAGAGGTCTGCTGGGAGAGCTAAGGGAGCAATGAGTCATTGCCTATAGAACTTGGGCCCAAGGAATCTATAGTATCAGTTACAGAACAGAGAGGGAGGGCATACCGCCCAAGTGTCCCTGTTTAGGAAGGACTACCAGCAATAAATGTGTTTAGAAATCAGTCTGTGTAAATAAGATACATTGTTCTTGTTCTAAATTAAATTTTAATTGTATAAATTATTAGTAAGTCACCTAAAATTTCTCAACCCACCCATGGTCACCCCCACTCACAACCCCAAAATTAAACAGTCGCTCTTTGTCCCATGGGATGTTGGGCGGTACTGATTGTGTGCAATGGGCATAGAGCATATGTCATATGTGACATACAGGTTTGTATATACAGAACCAAAGCTACATGTGTTTTATCCATTGCCCAGTTCAATAAAATGAAATATAAGAATCAGACGGATTGGGCTTGTTCTAATTTGTGGGCCTTGCGCTACAAGTCCTACAGCCCATGACTTATTCTATCCCGGAGTAAAGCACCAGTTATTGGCATAATCTTAGTTCACTAACTTGTGACATCTCGCTCATTTCCTTCAAATCCATTTTTAAACATTTGAAGCATTACAACAGATTCCCATTTTCAGTCATCGTGGCATATTAAAGATTAGTGTACCGTAGACCCGTCATACAATGGTATCCGGGTGTAAGGGAATAAACCAGCTCTGCTGGAGCTAAGGAAACTCAATGAACATCTTCCTCTAACATTATATTGACAAATGTAAAAAATGAACTCTGTTAATTTCCTACCGACTCTTCTTCTCTGTCAAAAGATCTCACAACTGTGAGTAAAGAATGAGTATAGCTTCACATCTAAATTTAGTTCATTAGGTCTTCTTTAATTAAAACCTAAACACACATAGAAACATAGAATGTGACGGCAGATAAGAACCATTCGGCCCATCTAGTCTGCCCAATTTTCTAAATACTTCCATTAGTCCCCGGCCTTATCTTATAGTTAGGATAGCCTTATGCCTATCCCACACATGCTTAAACTCCTTTACTGTGTTAACCTTCTACCACTTCAGCTGGAAGGCTATTCCATACATCCACTACCCTCTCAGTAAATATACTTCCTGATATTATTTTTAAACCTTTGTCCCTCTAATTTAAGACTATGTCCTCTTGTTGTGGTAGTTTTTCTTCTTTTAAATATAGTCTCCTCCTTTACTGTGTTGATTCCCTTTATGTATTTAAATGTTTCTATCATATCCCCCCTGTCTCGTCTTTCCTCCAAGCTATACATGTTAAGATCCTTTAACCTTTCCTGGTAAGTTTTATCCCGCAATCCATGAACCAGTTTAGTAGCCCTTCTCTGAACCCTCTCTAAGGTATCAATATCCTTCTGAAGATACGGTCTCCAGTACTGTGTACAATACTCCAAGTGAGGTCTCACCAGTGTTCTGTACAATGGCATGAGCACTTCCCTCTTTCTACTGCTAATGCCTCTCCCTATACAACCAAGCATTCTGATAGCATTTCCTGCTGCTCTATTACATTGTCTGCCTACCTTTAAGTCATCAGAAATAATCACCCCTAAATCCCTTTCCTCATATGTTGAGGTTAGAACTCTATCAAATATTCTGTACTCTGCCCTTGGGTTTTTACGTCCAAGATGCATTATCTTGCACTTATCCACATTAAATGTCAGTTGCCACAATTCTGACCATTTTTCTAGTTTACCTAAATCATTTGCCATTTGGCTTATCCCTCCTGGAACATCAACCCTGTTACATATCTTAGTATCATCAGCAAAAAGACATACCTTACCATCAAGACCTTCTGCAATATCACTAATAAAAATATTAAAGAGAATGGGTCCAAGTACAGATCCCTGAGGTACCCCACTGGTGACAAGTCCAAGCTTCGAATATATTCCATTAACTACAACCCTCTGTTGCCTGTCACTCAGCCACTGCCTTACCCATTCAACAATATTGGAATCCAAACTTAAAGATTGCAGTTTATTGATAAGCCTTCTATGTGCAACAGTGTCAAAAGCCTTACTGAAATCTAGGTAAGCAATGTCTACTGCACCACCCTGATCTATAATTTTAGTTACCCAATCAAAAAAATCAATAAGATTAGTTTGGCATGATCTCCCTGAAGTAAACCCATGTTGTCTCTGATCTTGAAATCCATGTGTTTTTAGATGTTCATCAATCCTATCCTTTAACATGGTTTCCATTACTTTCCCCACTACTGAAGTAAGGCTTACTGGCCTATAGTTGCCCGACTCCTCCCTATTACCTTTCTTGTAAATGGGCACAACATTCGCTAACTTCCAATCTTCTGGGACTACTCCTGTTAACAATCTAATTTTTTGTAAAGTCCCTCCCCCCCCCCCAGTGTTTTCACCCCATTAATTATCTGTAACTAAAACTTCTCTATATTTTGTCTCAATTTAAGGAAATGGGATGGTGTTGAATAAATCTAATTTTAGATGTTCCCATAGTTTGCTTGTGTTTATTCTCTGGGATGTTTCATCAGAGTTTTAAATATAATAAATAAATAAAATAAATAAAGTGAATCTTGAGAAGAAATCTGTGTTTTAGCAAGATAAGGATTCCAAGTACAAGGGCAAACAAAAACTGTGGTGGTTTCTGAGGGCCCCGCTCCTTCCCCTCTCTCCCTTCTCTGTTTCTCTGACCTTTCTCCTTTTCTCTTCTCTTACTTCTTCTCATTTCATATCTCCTCATACCCCCTTTTTTATTCCCCCCCCCCTTGGTTTACAGGGGTTTGTTTTCTTTTTTCATTTTTCTCACCCAGGCATGATAAAACAGTCCGAGAAACGAAGATGCCTAAAAACAAATCTGGTCTGTATAAAGCTAGGACTCCTTCTTTAACTAGATTGCCTGGAATAAAAATAAAAACCTCGATAGGAGGCAAGTCACAATGGGTTTAAAAAGAGGCTTGTATTGTAAGCCTATATTGCATACTGTATTTCCAAGAATGTTCTCTCAAATATTGGCTTCTGCGCAAGCCCAAAAGTGAAACTGTACTTGCTGTACCTATCGAATGAAAAAATAAAGAATAATAAAAAAAAAAAAACTGTGGTGGTAATGAACAAAAGTGACTGGTCTACAACGTCCCAATCACTATCCCGATCTCAGTATTTACTCACTACTTTCTTTTGCCACTTCCCTCACTCACTGTCTGTATCCCATTCTCCATATCAACCACTTTATCTTCCATAGCACCTTCTAATCCACCAAACCCACCTCTTTCTCTTCCATCACTTCAGCCCCATACTGTCCACAGATAAGATTGTCCGGGTCGGTAGGCAGGATGCCAGATAGAGACCCTCTCCTAGTGCATTGGCTGTTTTTGTGAGTGTTGTGTGTGTGTTTAGTGGCTGAGCATTGGGAACAGCAACCCTGGTGGTTTGGTGGAGGAGAACTGTGGTCTGCACCAGAATTGATGCAGCCCGCTTTAAGAGCTCTCTTATGGTCCTAGCACTCTGTGAATCCAGGGAACAGCCAGGGAGCTCTTACATTGACCAGCACCAAATAAATGTACAGACCACGAAGATTCCTCAACAGGTAATCCACCAAACCCACCTCTTTCTCTTCCATCACTTCAGCCCCATACTGTCCAAAGATAAGATTGTCCGGGTTGGTAGGCAGGATGCCAGATAAAGACCCTCTCCTAGTGCCTTGGCTGTTTCTGTGAGTGTTGTGTGTGTGTTTAGTGGCTGAGCATTGGGAACAGCAACCCTGGTGGTCTGGTGGAGGAGAACTGTGGTCTGCACCAGAATTGGTGCAGACCGCTTTAAGAGCTCTCTTATGGTCCTAGCACTCTGTGAATCCAGGGAACAGCCAGGGAGCTCTTACATTGACCAGCACCAAATAAATGTACAGACCACGAAGATTCCTCAACAGGTAAGGGTACATAGTGCCAAGCAGTGAGATTTGTTGATCTCCCTGCCGGCTCAAGGAAATGTCAGGATTACAGAATGATCCAGCATGTAGAATTGTATAACACAGAGGACTGATAGGTAGCATATACCGGACCTTAGAATGGCCGGACTAACGTATCAAAGAATAGTCGGGAATAGCAGAGGTCAAGGGAAACAGAAAGAGACACAACAATAAGGAAAAGCCAGGAGTCAGGGATGCCAGAAAACAGGGAAGTCAAAAACAATGCCAAAGTCAAATAACCAGAATTACCAGAATCAATAAGGCGCTCTCGGACAACCACAAGGGAAACCACAACAGGGCACTGAGCAGGATGAGAACTGGGCCTAAATACCCCTCCTCTAGATCTGATAGGCTGTAACCGGTCTTTGACCCCAAAGCAGTTACCAGGTTCCCATTTGCATAATTGCTGCTCAGCATTAACTCTTCTGTGGATTTGGTTGCTGCTCGGCACAACTTTTCCTATGTGGACAGTAAATGTCATTAACCACATTTTTATAAGCGGATGAATACGGGACAGGAAGGCCCACAAAGCTAGAGCTCTGGATGTGACCGGACCCAAGGCTACCGCTTATGCCACCTGGTGGACAATCCAGCTCTGCTCTTTCACCATGAACCGAAACATACACATGTAGATACATAAACTGACACACACAAACACTGACTCACATGTAGATACATATACTGACACACACAAACACAGATGAATACAATAACACACATGCACAGAGAACCACACCAATCTCTTTCACCCCCACTATGAGAGGGCTCAAAATTTACACTCACAAACTGGCCATTGGCAAATAGAAATTCAGCCCTGGTGAGGATAAATTCTTGATTGTGAGCAAATTTGCCAAGAAAAATGATAGAGACAGCTTATGACATAGTAGGCAAAGCTGGTATATACATAGCCACCATGATGTTAACTTTTATTGCTACAGGATATGTGAGCACATATGCACTGCACTTTATAGTATTTTATATTATTTATATAATCTTATAATGATATGTATTTTGTTTCTGTGTTAGTGTGTTACAATATCTGTTAAAACATAAAAAATCCAAGTAATCCCATATATCATCAGGGCTGGATTTGCCATAAGGCCACTGAGGTCACAGCTCCCTTACTCTGCCACAGTGGGGCCACACTGACGGGGAGATGATCTCCCTCTATTGATTCAGAGCGCTGCTGCATGTTACTTCAGCAATCTCTGATACGTTCCCCAGCCGCCAACCAGAAGAAACTGCCTGCACCCACGGTAATAACTCTCATCCCTGGCCCAAGGTAAGCTTTAGAGAGTTTATTTTTTTCTCTTAAAATGCCCTGCCCCACAATACAGCCCCTCAGCCACTATCTAACTCCACAACAGCTAGTACTCCAAACTAACTATCCCACCTACTATATCCATCATCCCCCAAATACTGCCTCTTTCCCTAATACTGCCACTACACCCACACTCTAGCCACTATCCCCCACTTACTGCAGACATTATGACCCCACTATAGACCCTGTCCTGCCATTAAAGCCCCAATCCCCCAACTACAACCACTAATCCCCCTACTACAGATCAAACTCTCTATTATTGCTACTATTCCCACACTATAACCACTATCCCACCAACCACAGCTTCCATCCATTCTATAGCCCCATCCAATCCACCCAAGCACACACACTGCAGCCAATATCCCCTGCACATATACACTACAGCACTTATTCCCCCCTTATACATACATTACAGCTCCAATTTTTTCACATGCACTCTGCAGCCCTAATTTTCTTCCCAAACACACACATAGCTAAATGCACCCTACTTCTCTTAGAAAAAATGCACCCTACAGTCTCTATTCTCCTAAACCCCATATACATTCTTCAGCCCCTATGCTTAACAGCACACACACTAAAGCCTCTATTTACATGCACACACACATACTCCACTGCAAACAGACCCACACACAAACAACCCCACAACAGTCCCCCTCCCTCACATTCAACACTACAAGCATAATTCCCTGTGCAACCACACAAGCAGCATATCCCCCACATGTGCAATCTTAAAAACATACTCCACCCACATACACAACAACATGAGCAGCATCCCCACACATGCACACAACCCCACAAGCAGCATATATATATATAAACAAAAAAAAAACACAAGCAGCATCCTCACAAACATACAATACCGCAAGCAGCATCCCCACAAACATGCAACACCACAAGCCGCATCCCCTCAAACATGCAACGTCACAAACAGCCTCCTCACAAACATGCAACGTCACAAGCAGCATCCTCACAAACATACAATACCGCAAGCAGCATCCCCACAAACATGCAACACCACAAGCCGCATCCCCTCAAACATGCAACATCACAAACAGCCTCCTCACAAACATGCAACGTCACAAGCAGCATCCCCACAAACATGCAACACTACATGCAGCATCCCCACAAACATGAAACACCACAAGCAACATCGTCACAAACATACAATACCACAAGCAGCCTCCACGCACATATACACACACACTCTCTCCCAGTACCTATTATTCAACTGCCCACCTAGTTACTTTCACCATTCAATAATACCCCAAACTAGCCGCATTAATGCATCATAACCCCATTGCGGAACTACCCCGGTCGCAGGGATCATAACTGCGACCAGGCCTGGCACTATGCAGGGGCTCCGGCTGCCCTGTCAACCCCTGCAGAATCGTCTTCTGTGTGAGAGAGATCTGGGTCCTCCCCGTGTGATGGGCTCCAGGTACCCATTGGCAGGCTGTCAGCAGAGTCGGTGTGCCCGCTGACCTGGTTGGTGTGGGATTACTTGCCCCCTGCACCTGTCTCTACCAGGCAGCAGTTCCTCCAGTGTGAGTGTCAGCCAGGCCCAGGCTGCCACTGCCTGGGGGTGAGTGTGAGCAGCATCCGCGTCTCCTCCGGGCGAGTACCATGAGCACAGGCTGCCTCGTAGGAACCTGCAGGAGGACTTCGCACTCATCCAGAGGATTGGCAGTGGCACCTACTGGTGATGTGTAAAGGGAAACACCAAGCGAGGGGCAGGATTGTTGGGTAATCATCACTATGTCAGAGCTATGTCCAGGGCAGTGTGTGACAGACATGTCAGAGGCATCCTTAGACTTACACAGAGAAACACTGTGCCAGGGGCACATCAATAGGAGACAGGGCAGGAGCACATAGGAGGGCACAGGGGAAGCCTGCTGAGATTAGTGTGTGCCAGGGACAGATTTATTTAGATATGGGTTGTGAAATTGTCTGACTCATACAGGGAATTATGGCATTTGATAAGAACAAGGTATGTATGTTATTGTATGTAACTGTATTTGTGTGTCAGTGTATGTTTCTGTATGTGTGTCAGCATATGTGAGTATGTATCTACATGTGTGTCAGTATTTGTGTGTGTCAGTGTATGTATTGGTTCATGTGGATCTGTGTGTGCATGTCAGTGTTACTGTGGATGTGTGTCAATCTGTGTGTGTGTGTATCTCTCATATTATTTATAAGTCTGTGGACATCTCTGTGGCAGGATATGTGTGTTTCTGTGTATGGCACTGGGCCCCTTTATGTGTGTGCCAATGCAAATGTATTTGCATGCAATCACCGATATTACACACAAACACCAACACTGTGCACAATAACAGTCCTGCATTCAAATGCCAACACACAAACACACCTCGTAATTCACGTGGCATTACAGACACGCATATCAATGCTTTCATACACTAACACTACATAAAAAAAACTTGAATTCAAATACTAATACTACACACACCCATGATTTATATGCAAACATTACACACAAACACACCCCTGCATTCACATGAAAACATTACAGACAAGCATTCCACAGCAATCTTAACAGATTCTTGCACCGGGGCCTTGAGGTTTCTAGTTACATGTCTGATCCCAAGAATTACGCCAAACTTTTGCATTTATATATGGGTGCATTGAGGAAACTAGCCTTGGGGCAGCAAGTAAGGTAAATTCAGTCCTGTCCATCATAAGTTTGAGTTTAGGATTTTGTTTCTTAATCTTGAAACAAAATGTTTGGTTAATTGTATGTTTGGTCTGCTGGTACTAACTTGCTGAAATTGGCAGCATATTTATTAGTACGTATATATATATATATATATATATATATATATATATACACATTGATTTACTATGGGAGATTATAAAACATGGTGGTGCAATAATTAAACACTATAATTACTGTAATACTCATCCAAGGAAAGTATGTGATTAACTGGAATGTGTGTGTTAAAGTTTAATACCAGGCTCCAGCAATTAGATCATGGAAAAGAAGGGATTTTTCATAAATGAAGCATATGGCACGTCCTCATTAAAATTGTTGTTTCTTCCGTTTGTTGGCGCAAACTGCAAACGTGCCAAATATCTGTACATTCCGCTCTGAACAAATTGGATGTTGAAAACATTATATTAGTGATACACATCATCTATTATCAGGGAGAAAGCAATCAGAAGCGAAGCGTTTTGAAGTATGCCGCTGTAGCGTGGAGTGATTGTGAGCGAATGTCCCGAAGGCGGCAGAGATAAAATCTGCTTTACCTAATTTGCTGAGGAATTTTGAACCTCTCTGTGTAATAATGTTTCTATATAAATATGACCCAGTAATCTTCCCGATCAGCGTACCCTGGGCTACCGGTGCAGTACTTTATGATATCATAATGAGCACTTACTGACATCTGTCATCAAAAAGTACAACGTCTTGTGTAGTATAGATTTAATATCACATTAATTTACATATAAAATGATTTTCTAATGCCTATTGAGGTCCTCAAAAAACTGTGAGAAAGTCATTGGTGCCACAGTCTAGAAGAGATGAAATGCTATCCAGAAGCTGTTGTTAAAGAACTACTCCTGTGATGCTTTGACAGACATGTTTTGGCTAATCTAATCCACGAGACAGACAGACAGACATCTTTGGCATTTTAATATATTCAGATGCAGAGGTGACCAACCAGTAGTCTTCTCTAGCTGTTATTGAGGAACACCCCCCGCCTCCCTCTGTGAGATTTTCCTATAGGTTGGCGATTTCGCATGGATAGGCTGGCGGTGCATTATGGGAGTTGCCCCTGTTAGGGCTTCCATTAAAAGAGGCGGACACGGCATAAACTAGAACACGTAAGGTGAACTAGAAGCACTGAATCTTTTGGCAAGCTGTTGTGCTCATTTTCAAAATTGTGCAAATTGTAGGAGGTTTGCAATTTGAACTATAAACTCTAATGTTACAACAGTTAAGGCCAGCTGATGTGGTCATCATATATTGGACTAATTTTAGTAAGGGGTGTTCGTATACCATTACTATCACTTACTTGGTTACTAATAATCAATGACCATTTTAAACAAACTTTTTAACATTCTACTTATGGCTTAGTTTTGGCCCTGGGAGATCTATGAACAATGTGATTGAGCATTCTAGTTACGGCGTATATTGAGATTTATTGATACAGTTGTTTGAACATTCCAGTTACGGTTCTGGTATGGCATTAGACAATCTAGATATTGTCTGTTTGAGCATTCTAGATACAGTAAGGAATTCAGCATTCTAGTTATGGCTTACTGTAGATTTGGCACTGAGCAATCTATGATCAGATTAAACAGCCAGTGATTAAATTATAGGGCATGGATGCATTTTATTTGCGCAGTACAAATGTTAAATTCATGTTTTTTTTCCCTGAGTCTCCTTTGAATTAACTGATTATGGTAGGAATAGTTTAGAGCCTAATTACAGATGACATTTGAAGATCAATGTGCGTTCAAACGTTCCTGGTAATTTAGATTTAAAAAAAATCTATAAAATAATAACTGATGCAAGGCCGCCCAGATTATTTTCTTTACGTCTGCAGCGATTATAATGTATGGCGTCTTCATCAGCAAACCATGCGAGTTAGAGTTTTAAAGTCAACGTTATCTTGGGAAGAATTTTTTATTTTATTTTTTTTTTAAGTAAGGAACTAACAGATGTCTCCTTCCCGGAGGATTTTCCGTAATGATACAATTAACTTATTTGCCCATAGAGTTTTGTGATTCCAAGTGGCCAAATCCTTAATTAATCTGATTGCTATGACAGCTACAAAGCCGGTTGTAGTTTAATGCGTCGGTAAGCACTAATTGCCAAGACGGCCGATGTGGGATATCGTATCGTCCAACCACAGACGCCGGTGGTGACGTTGGGTATACTGTCTGCCCTTTACAGTGGACAGTGTTTAGCAATTAACCAAATTATTTCTAGCTGCCCAGTACCTAAAGGCAAAATAAGTGGCATTTTATTTTGCCAAGGAAATCACAGATTATGAATGTGCGGCAGGTATGAACGCAGAGCTGTGAACGCAAGGACATGTATCACTGCTACCTGCACTGACCTAGACTGAAACCTTAAAGTGACACTGTAGGCCCTGTAAACATTTAATCTCATTGAATTCGTTATGTTGTCTGGAGTCCCCTGTCACTGTCCCTCCATTCAGTGTTAAACCATTTTGAGCAGTTTTATCACTGAATGAGGGTTCCTGGCTTCCAATAAACCGGCCCCCACTGAAGGTGTGGCTACGGCAGAGTTTACACACTTCCTTCTAGCCGTGCCAATTCATACCAGCAGTGGGCACTGAGATAGGCTGACAGACTCTAAACAATCACGCATTGCTGCTAATGCTTCCTTGTTAGCATTAAAACAATAAAACCAGTTTAACGTTGAATGAAAATACATTCAGACACTATAACCACTTCAATGCGATGAATGCCTAAATTGTACTTTAAATGCATTGACTACACGATGGGTACTGTTCACTTGCCGAAGTGATCCTATTATTTTCTGTTAAAAAAAATGTGAACCAAAAATATAATATATTAAAATTAGATAAGCAAAGGTAGCCTGTCTAGCCTCATATTCTCTATCTACCAGCAATCCTTATTTTTTATCCATAACAGGCATTTGCGATCAGGATAAATTTGGACAAGGATTAATAAACCTCATTCTGGAAGACTTTTCCCTGATTCCACAACTCTTTCTGTTCAACAGTTCGATAGAGAGTTATATAGATTGGTTTGATTTAGCTACATTAGCCCAAACCATATTGACCACAAATTAAGGACTGTCCTCGCAAAATAGGGACACTTGGGTGGTATGTTGGCTGTGCTATATTCTATGTATATTTATTTTTTCGTTCTTCCATTTAAATTGAACTGTGAGATGTCGTCACCCTTAATGCTTGCTGTCCATTTTATACTAGGATTGAATTATTATATCTGCATGCCCGCTATGTGATGTAATACAGCGTGCCAATGTATATGTGCTGGTTACTATCAGCCAATAAAAATGTAAATTAAAATAAATAATCTGCATAAAACTCCTGATTGCTGGTATCATTGGAAACTGGAGATTAAAAAAAAAAATTACTTGAAAACTTCAACGTATTAAAGTGGCTTCACAAATCCAGAAGTCTTTTTACTTGAGAAATAGTTAAACATTCACAGTCTTAATCAAATCCCTAGATACATCGGTACCTTGAAGGCAGAACTAGCTACCAAGTTGTAATTTAAAAAAAACAGAATCCACTATCTCTGACTAATTGATTCATTTCATCGCTTCTGGAAAAGGCATTATATTAATCAAAGAGAAAAAAATACGTAATTCTCGTAGTTTATTACGGCTGCGGTTAATAGCATATACAGTCAGATCCATAAATATTGGGACATCGACACAATTCTAATCTTTTTGGCTCTATACACCACCACAATGGATTTCAAATGAAATGAACAAGATGTGCTTTAAAGGACCACTCTAGGCACCCAGACCACTTCAGCTTAATGAAGTGGTCTGGGTGCCAGGTCCTTCTAGGGTTAACCCATTTTTTCATAAACATAGCAGTTTCAGAGAAACTGCTATGTTTGTGAATGGGTTAAGCCTTCCCCTATTTCCTCTAGTGGCTGTCTCATTGGCAGCCACTAGAGGCGCTTGCGTGCTTCTCACTGTGATTTTCACAGTGAGAGCACGCCAGCGTCCATAGGAAAGCATTATGAATGCTTTCCTATGCGACGGGCTGAATGCGCGCGCAGCTCTTGCCGCGCGTGCGCATTCAGCCCAGGAGGAGGAACGGAGGAGGAGGAGGAGGAGAGCTTTCCGCCCAGCGCTGGAAAAAGGTAAGTTTTTACCCCTTTCCCCCTTCCAGAGCCGGGCGGGAGGGGGTCCCTGAGGGTGGGGGCACCCTCAGGGCACTATAGTGCCAGGAAAACGAGTATGTTTTCCTGGCACTATAGTGGTCCTTTAACTGCAGACTTTCAGCTTTAATTTGAGGGTATTTACATCCAAATCAGGTGAACGGTGTAGGAATTACAACAGTTTGTATATGTGCCTCCCACTTTTCAAGGGACCAAAAGTAATGGGACAATTGGCTGCTCAGCTGTTCCATGGCCAGGTGTGTGTTATTCCCTCATTATCCCATTTACAAGGAGCAGATAAAAGGTCCAGAGTTCATTTAAAGTGTGCTATTTGCATTTGGAATCTGTTGCTGTCAACTCTCAAAATGAGATCCAAAGAGCTGTCACTATCAGTGAAGCAAGCCATCATTAGGCTGAAAAAACAAAACAAACCCATCAGAGAGATAGTTGATTTGGTGTGGCCAAATCAACTGTTTGGAACATCCTTAAAAAGAAAGAGCGCACCGGTGAGCTCAGCAACACCAAAAGACCCGGAAGACCACGGAAAACAACTGCCGTGGATGACAGAAGAATTCTTTCCCTGGTGAAGAAAACACCCTTCACAACAGATGGCCAGATCAAGAACACTCTCCAGGAGGTAGGTGTATGTGTGTCAAAGTCAACAATCAAGAGAAGACTTCACCAGAGTGAATACAGAGGGTTCACCACAAGATGTAAACCATTGGTGAGCCTCAAAAACAGGAAGGCCAGATTAGAGTTTGCCAAACAACATCTAAAAAAGCCTTCACAGTTCTGGAACAACATCTTATGGACAGATGAGACCAAGATCAACTTGTACCAGAGTGATGGGAAGAGAAGAGTATGGAGAAGGAAAAGGAACTGTTCATGATCCAAAGCATACCACCTCATCAGTGAAGCATGGTGGTGGTAGTATGGCGTGGGCATGTATGGCTGCCAATGGAACTGGTTCTCTTGTATTTATTGATGATGTGACTGCTGACAAAAGCAGCAGGATGAATTCTGAAGTGTTTCGGCAATATTATCTGCTCATATTCAGCCAAATGCTTCAGAACTCATTGGACGGCGCTTCACAGTGCAGATGGACAATGACCCGAAGCATACTGCAAAAGCAACCAAAGAGTTTTTTAAGGGAAAGAAGTGGAATGTTATGCAAAGGCCAAGTCAATCACCTGACCTGAATCCGATTGAGCATGCATTTCACTTGATGAAGACAAAACTGAAGGGAAAATGCCCCAAGAACAAGCAGGAACTGAAGACAGTTGCAGTAGAGGCCTGGCAGAGCATCACCAGGGATGAAACCCAGCGTCTGGTGATGTCTATGCGTTCCAGACTTCAGGCTGTAATTGACTGCAAAGGATTTGCAACCATGTATTAAAAAGTGAAAGTTTGATTTATGACTGTTAATCTGTCCCATTACTTTTGGTCCCTTAAAAAGTGGGAGGCACATATACAAACTGTTGTAATTCCTACACCGTTCACCTGATTTGGATGTAAATACCCTCAAATTAAAGCTGAAAGTCTGCAGTTAAAGCACATCTTGTTTGTTTCATTTCAAACCCATTGTGTTGGTGTATAGAGCCAAAAAGATTAGAATTGTGTCGATGTCCCAATATTTATGGACCTGACTGTACATGAGTTGTGTGTGTACCCCAGCAGCCAGAGTCAATGGCCCATTTGATTGAAAGACACTTGGAATAAGAAACGTATCAGAACTGTGGGTTTGGATTTCTGGGTATTAAGCTAAAAAAAATTATTTAGCTCTTTTATAGCGAAGAATATTTAAAAATATATTAAATGCACTACTATGAGAAATTAGAGTAGTGACTAAATATATATATATATCGGTCAACCTCCTGGATTGGGGGGATAACCCCTAGTGTAGAATCTTCACCAATAATAAAACAAATAGGAAGACAAAGGTAGGAGGGAAGGGATGATGAGGTAGATAGTGTCCCTATTGGCTGGAACTAGAAATCTGAAAAAGAAAACGTAACATTTAATGCAAACAAAATGTATAAATCAATATATGGTGCCCCCACCCATCACACCAAAAAGGGTTCTACAATATGTATATATCTAACAAAATGCACCAATGGACTGAATATATTCCATAGGGGATTAACCATGATGCTGTTCCTAGTGTTAGGACAATAGCTGCATCTAGTTGAAAAGTGCCAGAAGGCCCCTCTAGTGGCAGGCAATTGTAAAACAAGTTAGTCCAAATTCGTGCGTGTAAGTCACTAGGGGACTGATAGTGAGGACTTTTCTCCATCAGGACTTTTACCTTGCCATGGTCTTTCTTATCAATTTGGAACTCTCTGTATTTCTCCTTGTCCCCAAACCATATGGTGAGGAGCCCCAATGAACGAGACAAGACAATGTAAGGTTCAAGGTGACTTCTAATGTTTAATGGACTGTGTAACAGGTTATATTCAAGAGGAAACAGGGGTGGTCTTACAAGCATTATCCAATCCTAATAAAATCATCTATTTTATCTTAACATCTTAACCTATAGCTAGCTTGCAGGTGTATCTTCATGTTCAGGCCTTGCACAAAGCTAAGTTTCAATATAACTACGGACTTAGAATTAACACTTAGAATTAAAGATATTAACCACGCAGTTCTAAATTACATATTACTAAGCAGTTATGATCAAAAGGAGTAACACCGAAAACAAGGCCAACGGCAGAAGCACACAAGAAATAACACTAACACCTGTTACACAATGTTCTATAGCTGTTGTCTAGGGGTATATTTATTAAGCATTGTATATAGACAAAGTAGATTATTTCCAATAGCTGACATGCTCCAAGTTAGCCAATTTTAAACAGACTGGACATCTGGTCATCTGTAGCTTGAGCCTTGGGTCACTAAACATTGTATATGGGCATAGTGTATTATTCCCAACAGTTTCCCTCCTTCATTCACAACATGAACGCATAAAGTCAAAGTGGGAATAATACCCGTCCCTCGTCCATGGACCAGGGTATAGGATTATCAGTCCACCTGGTAATCTAGGGCAAGGATAAAAAAAACCAGTGGCAAAAGCTCATATGTGAAGGAAAAAGCACATTTAGGGAAACCCTGAGTGGGGACCTCGACCGTGTAGACATGTAATTCCTCACGTTGACACCACTTGTGACCTAGGATACCCGCACCTGTGAGAACATAGCTCAGGTATCGAGAGAAATTGGGAAACACTTCTTGATAATTGAAAAGGCCCACTTACATATTAAATCATGAGTTAAATTATAATCTAGCTTGCAATTCTGACAATAATCCTAACCTGCACCTTGCGTCCTATGTCTCCTAACCATGTCCCTATTCCAATGGTCCAGTCAAAACCAGTCATATCCACACTCAGTTGCTCAAAACATGGGAATCCATCCTTGGCACACTCAACATACATCAAAGACACACATAGTACATTCGTCCCTGGGTCAGCTAACACTTCCTCTCTCTCCAGCTAACTCTACAAAAATAAAAATAAAATAAATAGTTCAGCATAGTTCAGAAAAATCTAAAAAGTCTTTCAAGGAGTATAACGAAATCAGTTTAGACACCATAAAATAGCTACAGCAAGATGGCTGACAACAAGACAATGTCAGCTTCCACATAGTTCTTAGTTCTTCTTTTGTTTGCTGGATGTTCACCACAATGCTCTGTGCAACACCCCAATTGTTGAATGGGTTATTACAGAACCAGCGGAATTAGACAGCACTGCACCTTCAGGCAGTGGCGTACACACAAACCATGGTGCCCCAGTGCGAAAATGATCCGTGGGCACCCCCCCTCCCTATTCCCCCCGACAGACACACACACATACATAAGACACACACACAGACACATACACACAGACACATACATACAAACAGACAGGCACACATACATACAGACACACACAGACATACATACAGACCGACACACAGACAGGCACACAGACACATACATACAAACAGACAGGCACACATACAGACACACACACACACACATACAGACAGGTACACATACAGACACACACACATATACAGACAGGCACACATACAGGACAGAGAGACACACACAAGACACACATACATACAAAGACACATACATAAAAAAACAGACAGGCACACATACACACAGACATACACACATACAAACATACAGACAGACACACACACACAAGACACACATACATACAAACAGACAAGCACACACACATACAGGCAGACACACACACAAGACACACATAAATACAAAGACACATACATAAAAAACAGACAGGCACACATACACACAGGCAGACACATACAGACAGACAGACATACAAACATACAGACAGACACACACAAGACACACATGCATACAAACAGACAAGCACACACACACAAGACATGCATTGTCAGCACAAATAAAAGTTTTGTAAGTATGTTGAAAACAATAAGCAGTTGAAAACATGTTTAAGAGAAACTGCTATGTTTACACTGCAGGTTTAATCCAGCCTCTAGTGGCTGATTCCCTGACGGCCACTAGAGGCTGGTTCCGTGATTTACACTGAGTAAATCGCACTTATTTGACGCTGGACGTCCTCATGGAGTTCAGTGTAAAAAAAGATCCCCATAGGAAAGCATTGAGTAATGCTTTCCTATGGGCGGGTTTGAATGCGCGCACGCCTCTGGCAGCGCATGCGTATTCGGCTCCACTCGGAAGCTGACATTGATCGAGGAGGAGAGGTCACCAGTGCCGAGGGAGCCCAGCGCTGGATTAAGGTAAGCAAATAAATGGTTAATTAACCATTATTAGCCGCAGAACACCTAAACGGTGACTAGGGCTCTATAGCGTTAGGAATTCATATTTGTATTCATAACGCTATAGTGTTCTTTTAAGTTATATAAACCTTATATCTGAATACTCTTCTATCCAATCCCAGTGGGCATTAATAAAAGAAAAAAATGGATGGGTTTATGAATTAAAGGAGTAAAATCGAACTCTTCATTGAGACCTCGAGGTGACAATGATAGGTGTTCTTGAATCCATTTGGATTCTCTTTTTAATAATCTCATATTGAAGTTCCTCTTTCTCATACTCGTGGTTATCATTTCGATTGCTTGAAATTTCAAATGGGACTACTAGGAGAATAAATGCAAGGCGTATGTTACAGTTGCAGTATGAACATTAGCAGTTGGTGCATAATTAATTATGACTGCTGCTGGATTTGCTCTGATTAGAGGAGGAGACTCGCATATGGATCTGATGGAGGCATCTGGAGGTTTCTCAGGCGAGGAATATTCCTTCCAATGAGAACGCAGTCTTTTTAGCAACTAATCACGACATATTTATTGAGATAAATGAATCCGATTGAAAAACAAACCTGATATTATAGATAGTGTGGTTTAGATGTGCACTGCAGCAATTTGTACAGAAAAAAGAACAAAACTAACCTTTTACATTTGTATCATCTTGTTATTATGCTAAAATCTCATTTTAGGAGACATGTGAGGTCTAAAGATCTTCAAAGTGGCTTTGATACATTTTATATAGAATCATGCCTGCCCTAATTGGTAAAGAATAGAGTTGAGCTGACACCTGGATGTTCGGGTCCGGCAGGAACCCCGAACTTGACCCCGAACCACATTGAAGTCAATGGGGACCCGAACTTTTGGCTACAAAAATGGCTCTAAAAAACTCCTGGAAAGGGCTAGAGGGCTGCAAAAGGAAGTAAAATGGGGGTAAGAGTAAGACAAGTGCCCTGCAAACAAATGTGGATAGGGAAATCACTTAAAAATAACATAAAATAAGCAGTCGCTAAGTAGATAACTCCCTAATTCAAACGGTATTAGGGAGCTATCTACCAAAAGGCTGAAAGACCTAAATTGGTCACTTAAATTGGTCTTTCAGCCACATTTACTAATACTAAGTAAAGATTACTTAGTATTAGTAAATTCAGCCCCTACTGGCTTCTCACTGTAAAAAAAAAAAACCCAAAAAACACCTATTGCCCCCACCTCTTTGCGACAGGTGGGGGCCCTAAATAAGAATGTGGAGGGGGGACCTACTGTCCTCCCCTCGGCCCCCACCCCTGCGCGGTGGGTGGGGACCCTAAATAAGAATTTAGGGGGGGGACCTACTGTCTTCCCCCCTGGCCCCCACCCCTGAGCGGTTGGTGTGGGCCATAAATAAAAATCCCCCCCCCCTCCAGGTTACTAGGGGTCACCCCAATCCTCCCCAAAAAATTACCCCTACTTATCCTAAAAATAATGAGGGGGGACCCTTGTCTAAATATCTGTAAAAAAAAAAAATAGACTTACCCTTTGATGTTTTCTTTCTTCTAAAATCTTCTTTTTTCAGCCCCAAAAAAGGCCATATAAAAATCCAGAATAACCGACGCACTTTAAAGAAAAAAAAAAAACGAGCACAAAAAAATAATAATCCTTCTTCACCCATGGAGGGCTCCACGCAGACTGAGCTCAGCAGGGCGGGGGAAGGCTTCTAAAGCCTTGCCCCGCCCTGCAATTAGGCTCAGAGCACTCTGACTGGTGGGTTTAAGCCATCCAATCAGAGTGCTCTGACAGGTAAATGAAGAGTCTGACAGGTATGTATGTTGACTGGGGCTTACGGTCCCATTGACCCTTGCAAACACACAAACACACACACACTGACCCATGTAAACACACACTGACCTATGCAGACACACACACACATTCACTGATCCTTGCAGACACACATGCACTTATCCATGCAGACACACACACTGACCCATGCAGACACACACTGCACCTAAATTAGAATAAGGCCCCTTATTCTTATTTAGGGCCCCCACCCACCGCTCAGGGGTGGGGGCCAGGGGGTAGGACATTAGGTCCCCCACCCAATTTTTATTTAGGGCCCCCACCCACCGCTCATGGGTGGGGGCTCAGGAGGGGGGAACCTTTTTTTTTAACAGTGAGCAGCCATTTAAAATTGAATACAGTGTAACATTCTTCTTCTTCCACTGGGTAAGTATATTAGTACTTAGGCAATACAGTGCTTCGGAACTTCGACACTTTGGAACTTCGGTAATTTCGGAACTTCGACAATTCGGCAATTAGGCAATTCAGCTATTCGGACATTCGGAAGCACCCGAATGTCCGAATTACCCGAAATTCATCCAAATTCGTATTCGGACCGAAACGAATTGCACATGTCTAGCAGACATACATTCACTGACCCATGCAGACACACACTGTGAATATCAAAAACTACAGAATGTTACTATCAAAGTGTCTCTGACACTAAGTCTGGTGAAGTTGTAAAGAAATATTATTTTGTAATATATGTATCAAATATTCTGAGAAAATTAAAATACACAAAGTAGCCAAGCACCCTCTTATACATTTTGTGGCTCAAGTCTTTTACTCCAGCAGTCTGTGTAAAATGAAAGGCTGTGCTCCCTTAAACGTTATTGCTTTTATGGTCCGTGGAGTTTCACCATCACAAATTAATTACACAGTTAAATTCTACGCTGTATTTAGAGGCAAAACAATTTAAATAGGTAAAATAGTTGCCTATTTTGCAATTGAGGTAGAGTGTATGTGTTTTCCTTCACTATAAATATAAATCAACACTATATTCAACAAAGAAATTCGAAAGAAGGAAAAAACAAAAAAAGAGAGAAGGCAGTAATCCGAATAAATGTAGGAAAGGTACAGCTGTGAGCTAAACATATCTACAATTGCTAAATTGTAGCTATTAACTCGCTTGCTTATAAGAAATCTGGACCTGGATAGATGGATGACTGGGATTAGTAGGTGTGGTTGAATGGCTGAGATTATGAGTGTAGATGTCTGGAGATCATGTTGAGAAACTGCACCCTGTTCATGTATATCTGCTTTGTACCCCTCCTATTTGTTAAAGATTTCACTAAATAATAGCTCCAGTGACAACAGCAGTGTCCAACCTGCTGGTTCTCATATTTTCACGTTGGAGGTCTCTGCTCAGCTGTGTGTCCTCTCTCCTTGTCTTTTACTACAGCTCTGAGCTGTGTGAGATTGCACAGGGGATTTACCCAACTTTTGCTCACAATTTTCAAGTAAAAAATTCCATACTTGATTTTCATTGATATTTGGAAGTAAAACTAGCAAACAAGCATATCACAGAAATACCTGCAAGATATAAATAAAAATTTTTGAGTAAAATATACTTATTCGATTTTTGTTCAAACCGTGATGTTAGCTAAAAGACAGAAACAGGCCTGTTAGGTACGTTTTATGAAAATGTAGCAATGCTTTTAATCAGATATCCCGTTAGCACTACAGGTTGCCAAAGGCCACGTTGGCATCAGTTCTCATATTTAATGTTTGTTCTCATTGTGTAAGAGTAAGAGTCTTGTTGTTTAACAGTTTTTATTTCTTTTGTGGAGACGTGGAATGAATTCTTTGTCCTCACGCTCTGCGTTCTGTCCTACCAGGTACCTACGCCTACTGTAGACCCACTCCAAACAGCTATTATTAGTTTGTCTCTGAGTTCTCATATTCCAAGACATGCAATCTGCTTGCCGATACAACCTCTAAATAACTTCTCTGTGAAAGTAATCTGCGGCGGAATATCTAATCTTTTTTTCTCCTGTATCTAAAAATAGACATTTCGAATGATAAACTAAAATGGCGAAACGGCACAAGATTAGCGTATTTTGTTAATTTTTTGTAATATAAAAGTATAGAACACATATAGACTCGTCACATTTCGGCTAATTCGAATGCACAGTTATTTATTTAATTCATAAAAACAAAAGACAGCAAATGCTGGATGAGCAAAGCTTGGCCATGTTTGGGTTAGATCGCAGAGCCTTCATTTTCCGTATTGACTTTTGGGTCTGGCTCACAGTCTAGCGGTTACAGTTTTAGAGTGTATTTAATTCTTTGATATCTGGTATCTCTCAACCCGATGTGCTTTCACTCAGCTACCAAGGGCTCTGCGAGGCCGCTCACCGATGGTCAGAAAATAACGATAATGGACTATTACAAAGCGGAAGGAGGTTTCAAAAGATATGTAATGCTTTCTGCTTGCTGTTTGCATTATGTGAAGTGTCATTAAAAAATGTACGAAGAATACACTGGTCAGTAATATTGCTGTTGCTCAGGGTATAAACATCCACGAAGGAATATCGTCTACTCTCACTTTTCCCCTCGTTCTCGTACTTATAGTTCCAATTTACTTTTCTCATATGCCTCTCCATCTACTGTTTATTATTTTATTTTTTTTAAATTGTGCGGAATTTTGGTATTTTGTATGCATTTGTCCTGTAAATATGTGTTATTTTCTGTACCTTTCCGAGCATTATGTACCACTTTCAGTTTTTAAATAAATAATTGAACAACAAAAAAAACAAACAAAACAAAAATAAAAATGGAAGTTAAGTGGAATTGTTGACGCAAAAGGAAGATCTAGACAAAAATTCTCCAATCGATTTTCTCCCAGTGTTAGCCCCTTCTCCCTGCCACAGGTGCCTTGTTTAAATTGCTGCTGTCGTTTAATATGGATTAATATCCAATAGAAGTAATAATATTCAAAGGAATTGGAAGGCACACCTGCCACAAGTGTTTTTTAATTAGATTACGTGAGGCGAGAACCTGTTTACTTCAATGTCGCCTGCAGGCTAAGCAATGGTATGATTCTAATATATGCCGAGCTCCACGTTTCTTCAGTTATTATGTAACCTTGATAAAGCACTAGCTCGTTATGAATGAATTTATGAATTTTCCCTCGGTGATACTTTCCCAGTTCTGCCAATTCTATCTTGCCAAAGATGTCATTTTACTCTCTATAAGGACATTGTACTATCCTACATAAACTAAGTTTATGTGACCACTGTCATCAATTCTACTTGTTTTGGAATTTTAACATCATCACACAGAGGGTCTCAGGTTTTGTTTTCTATAATAATTTTATTAATATTTTTTTCACCACATTTTCAAATCCAGAACTCGGATTGACAATGTAAAGTCTCGACTATAGAAAACAAGAACCTAAGACAATTCAGTATTGCTTCCCTAACCATTTGTTAAAGCCTGTTTGTGATGCATCTGATTGCGTGGTTACATGTATTCCAGTGATACTGGTAAACATTACTAAAGGAACTGGTTGCGTATGCCTCTGACGAAGTTGTGCTACATAGGAGATAGGGTAAAACGTGTCACCCAGCGAAAGGTGCCATATCATACACTGGCAAAACATTTTAGTTTCAAAATTTTTATTGTCAGAATCAATCTGCTAGATTCAGTATAATATAGACAGAAGTTATTTTGTAAAGTATAAGTTTAAATTTATATACTGTGCATACCTGACTGTGTTCTCTATTCGACTGAGAACCTGGGAGTGCGTAATATTTGAGATTTCAGGCCTCTACTGAATTTCACACTGAGCAGCCAAGATGACGTTTGGTCCGTTCGATGCAGTCCAGGACTTCTGGGGGATTCTCCTCAACATCTTGTGCGGCAAAGGTGGCTGCATTAAAGTCAAGAGGCGGGCGTTTAGGCCGATGCAGCATTTAGGGGATCGGGCAGGTGGTACAGAGCCTTCACAGAATTACTTGGTGTCGAGCTTTCAAGATAGCGTCTACTTCCCTTGGTCACTCTCCAGGAAGTCCTATTAAAGCATTTTAAAGTTTTAAGTATTTCTTTATTTTGAAAGAAATGCATAATTCGCAAATAATGTAGATCTTTCCTGTGAAAAAAACTAATGACTACAAACATATTATCCTTTTCACAAATACATACCAAAGCCTGCATCTCAGCTCGGGGGACACCCTCACTGCCCCCCGGAGCGGAACAAGCCTGCAATTCACGATCCCAACAGGAACTGGACCTGCGTGACACCCGCACCAACACACGAGGTAGGGGAGAAGGCCGATCCCCGGCCTCGAAGTGGACTCAGACGGTCAGCTTGGGGCACCAATTCCCCCCCCTGGGCCGGCCGAGAGGCTCCCCTGGACAAGCGACAAAGCATCCAGCCAAACTTAACTGTCGGGGCCCACCCAAGATGGCAGCACGGCCAACGATGATGAACACACACACCCAGCCACCCAAGCATACCTCAGAGGTTTTTGAAAAGCTCTGCGCAAGCCTCTGGACTCGTGCTGTACTCTGGGGCAGTCCTTCAAGCTAGTGATCAGGGAAGTGGCGGCATGGATTCACCCTCCAACCCGGCGCCGCCTGTGTGGATATCCACCTCGAACCTCCAGAGCGGCCACCCAATGACATAGCTCAGCAAGGTGGGAAGCAGCATTATGTTCCTCGGGCGCAAGCCCTTGTTCCCACGAACACTAGAGTGGGACCAGCAAGCATGACAGACCTGCATACTACTCAAAGGAATCAGAGTCTCCTACCCAGCGAAGCACAACTTTGCACTTCAGGACTCCTACCGAACGCCGCGAAACTCAGAAAACCTGCTGAGATCTACCTGCGCTCACCGCCTACAGGAACGGACTAATATATGCCTTTCTATACCACCTGGCTGACACACTGCACGACAGCACTCCGCTGAAGATACACCTCCACCCCGGGTGGCTACCTTAGGCCTCTAGGGTGGGCATCGGCTGGCTGCCATGCTGAAGGAGGGAGCTGTGCGGGACTTGGTGGGACTTGCTCCCTCCTGAAAAAGCGCGCTTGCAGCTGGCAGCATGGAGATATCTTTTACACAAAAGTAATGTTACCATCCGAACATAATGTTTATCTGCAAATCTATATGGTTCCACTGAGCTTGCCACTGGCCACTCAAAACATACATATTACACCCTATATCTTTCCTGCTTAGTGCCTAGTGGCATCTCTTGAAACCCACGTGACAGTCGACACTGGCGAGCTACCTACCAATCTCCAACACTTACTGACACATAAAACTCCTGTCCTACTACTAGTATACTCTATGACTATGCTGAGCATCATATATACATAATGCGAGCAACGAAACTGACCTACAATGTCTTGAATTTCAAAACTTTTACATTCGTATGCATATGCAGCTTAGTACCCTCTCTATACTTTAAAAATGTTTCATAGCATGTTGTTATAATCATTCTTCTTATACCATAAAATTGTGCACTGAATAGCGAATATCGCACTTATGTTTGATGAGCAGCTAGATGATTGCCATTGGGGTACCTCCAGCCAGTTTGTATCCTTTACATGCACTGCAAAAAATAAAAATATTAAAAAAAATAAAAAAATGCTAAGCTTAGAGTCATGTCTACAAATGCTTGCAGTTTAGGGAATAAGATCCATTAATTTGTGGGAATAATGGCAACTGATAATGTAGATTTAGTCACTGTTAATGAGACATGGTATAATGAGAAAAATGACTGGGACACCAGGGTAATCTTTATATAGAAAAGACATGGAAGTCAAGAAAGGGGGAGGGGTGGCCCTGTATGTGAAGGATAGCATAAAATATAGCCTAATAAAAGTTAGTGAGGCGAACATAGAGTCTGTTTGGGTTACGTTAGAATTTGGTAATCACACAGTAACTCGTGTAGGTGTGATTTATAGGCCCCCAGGACATATAGAAGAGTTAGATAACCTACTAGTTGAGGAAATAGCTAAAATGACAATGAAGGGGGAAGTTATCATCATGGGTGACTTTAATCTTCCGTATGTGAACTGGAAAACCAAAATAGCTGCTTGTGCCAGGAGCACACACATTCTAAACTTCCTACTGGGATTGTCTCTAAAACAAGTCATTGAGGAGCCAACTCGTAAAGAGGCCATACTAGATTTAGTGTTAACAAATGGAGATTTAGTATCAGATATTACTGTAGGAGAAAGCTTAGGATCCAGTGATCATCAGTCAGTGTGGTTTAATATAAGAACAGTGACTGAGTCATACCAGACAAAAACAAAAGTTTTAGACTTTAAAAAAACAGACTTTTCTAAAATTAGAATATGTGTAGAGGAGTCATTATCAGCCTGGAGCAATTTAAATGGAGTCCAAGAGAAATGGGATTATTTAAAAGTTGCACTACTGAAGGTAACAGGAAATAGCATTAGGCTTGTCAGTAAAAGCAAAAAACAATTAAGAAACCACTGTGGTACTCTGCAGAAGTGACCAAAATAGTAAAAAAAGTTAGCATTTAGTAATTATAAAAAAAAGAAAACAGAGTGAGGAAGATAGATAGATTTGTAAGAAAGAGGCTAAGCAAGTTATAAGAGCTTCTAAATCACACCCAGAAGAGAAAATAGCACACTCAGTAAAAAAAGGGACAAAATATTTTTTAAATACATAAATGAGAAAAGGAAAGTAAAACAAGGATTAGTTCGATTAAAAACAAAAGAAGGAAGGTATGTAGAAGAGGATAAAGGTCTAGCTGACTGCCTCAATTAATATTTTTGTTCAGTATTTACAGATGAAAATGAAGGAAAGAGACCTCAGTTAGGAAAAAGGACAAATTAGTAATTTATTACATGTGAGTTTACAGAGGAAGAGGTTCTATTTCAACTATCAAAACTAAAGACAAATAAGTCAATGGGACCTGATGGAATACACCGAAAGTTATTAAAAGAGCTTAGTGGTGTACTAGCAAAACCATTAACAGATTTATTTAACCAATCATTGTTAACAGGAGTAGTCAAGTTAGCGAATGTTGTGCCCATTTACAAGAAAGGTAATAGGGAGGAGTCGGGCAACTATAGGCCAGTAAGCCTTACTTCAGTAGTGGGGAAAGTGATGGAAACCATGTTAAAGGATAGGATTGTTAAACATCTAAAATCGCATTAATTTCAAGATCAGAGACAACATGGGTTTACTTCAGGGAGATCATGCCAAACTAATCTTATTTATTATTTTTGATTGGGTCACTAAAATTATAGATCAGGGTGGTGCAGTAGACATTGCTTACCTAGATTTCAGTAAGGCTTTTGACACTGTTGCACATAGAAGGCTTATCAATAAACTGCAATCATTAAGTTTGGATTCCAATATTGTTGAATGGGTTAGGCAGTGGCTCAGTGACAGGCAACAGAGGGTTGTAGTCAATGGAGTATATTCGAAGCATGGGTTTGTCACCAGTGGGGTACCTCAGGGATCTGTACTTGGACCCATTCTCTTTAATATTTGTATTAATGATTTTGCTGAAGGTCTTGATGGTAAGGTATGTCTTTTTGCTGATGATACTAAGATATGTAACAGGGTTGATGTTCCAGTAGGAATAAGACAAATGGCAAATTATTTAGGTAAACTAAAAAAATGGTCAGAGCTGTGGCAACTGACATTTAATATGGATAAGTGCAAGATAATGCATCTTGGATGTAAAAACCCAAGGGCAGAGTACAGAATATTTGATAGAGTCTTAACCTCAATATCTGAGGAAAGGGATTTAGGGGTGATTATTTCAGATGACTTAAAGGTAGGCAGACAATGTAATAGAGCAGCAGGAAATGCTAGCAGAATGATTGGTTGTATAGGGAGAGGAATAAGCAGTGTACCTGTCGTCCTGTCTCTGTTGGAGTCCCCCATGACTCTGTACTTGGTCCCCTTCTATTTTCTCTTTATACTGCCTCTCTTGGCAAACTTATTACCTCCTTTGGATTCCAATGCCACTTGTACACTGATGACTATGATCTCTTCTCCCTGGATATCTCCCCTGCCGTCCTGCAACGTGTCACTGCTTGCCTTTCTTCCATCTCTGATTGGATGTCCTCCCACTTTTTGAAACTCAATCTCTCTAAAACTGAACTCCTTGTCTTTCCTCCTCCTAATACTGATGCTCCTCTTTCGCTCTCCCTTCAAGTTAGTGGTATCCACATCAGTTCATCCTTGCAAGCACGCTGTCATGGCGTTATACTTATATGAGTCAATTCAAGGTACTAATCCACACCTATAAAGCACTGACCAATTCTAGCCCCTCCTATATTTCTTCACTGAGCCACAGATATGCCCCTTCTCCTGTCTGCTGCATGCACCCATACAGTCAACTTACACTTGCAGGACTTCTCGCGGGTGGCTCCTTTCCTTTGGAATAGCCTGTCTACGACCATCAAGCTCTCCCTTCGTATTGAATTATTTAAAAAGTGCCTCAAAACACATCTCTTTATGAAAGCTTATGGCCTCCCAGAGTAACCTCTACCTCACATACCTGTCCCTTGCTCTCCCCTAAAGGGCAGCACTCTACTCTCTCCTCCAGCTCTGCTTCACTCCCACCTTATTTGATTAATATTTCCTGTCCTAATGTGCTTTATACTCCACCTCCTATAGACTGTAAGCTCGTTTGAGAAGGGCCCTCTTCAACATATTGTTAATGTAAGTTTTTGTAATTGTATAATTTATTGTTAAATCTCCCCCTTTGATAAAATTGTAAAGCGCTACGGAATATGCTGGCGCTATTCCAGTAATAATAAAAATAATAAAAAGAGGGAAGTGCTCATGCCATTGTACAGAACACTGGTGAGACCTCACTTGGAGTATTGTACGCAGTACTGGAGACCGTATCTTCAGAAGGATATTGATACCTTAGAGAGAGTTCAGAGAATGGCTACTAAACTGGTTCATGGATTGCAGGATAAAACTTACCAGGAAAGGTTAAAGGATCTTAACATGTATAGCTTGGAGGAAAGACGAGACAGGGGGGATATGATAGAAACATTTAAATATATAAAGGGAATCAACACAGTAAAGGAGGAGACTATATTTAAAAGAAGAAAAACTACCACAACAAGAGGACATAGTCTTAAATTAGAGGGACAAAGGTTTAAAAATAATATCAGGAAGTATTACTTTACTGAGAGGGTAGTGGATGCATGGAATAGCCTTCCAGCTGAAGTGGTAGATGTTAACACAGTAAAGGAGTTTAAGCATGCGTGGGATAGGCATAAGGCTATCCTAGACTTAAGATAAGGACAGGGACTAATGAAAGAATGTAGATCATTGGACAGACTAGATGGGCCGCATGGTTCTTATCTGCCGTCACATTCTATACTAATATTCTATACTATACTAATGGCTTTGATTTGGGATCAGTTCTATCTCTGCCATGTCCTTCTCTCATCTATGGAAGATCTTTATTTATTCACAATATGACAGAGCTTCAACAGCATCAACCTGCCGCATGTTGGCAATTCCCTTCAGGAGACTCTGCCATAGATCTTCCAGGATATGAAAAAAGATGGCGTACTCGTGTTGGCTGATTTGAAATGAATCATTTGGAAAGCTTATCAGACAGTTTTAAATCGAGGTCTTAGATCCCTGGAGTCCCACATTGTTGGCCACACCCCCTGAAGGCTTGCCCACCTGACCCAACTCCATATTTGCCGATGATGGGAGCTATGCAATTTCCTGGTGCAATATGTTTCAATAATGTTAATAGTTATAATTAACATGGATACAAATATGGGACTAGCATTTAACTCTGTCTGTTTGACTCTTGAAATTAGTTGCAACTAGCATATAATTTAGAGCATCTGTTAATTAGCAGTTAATGAAATATTTGGATATTTCTGAAAAGTGTGTTCAGAAACCTCTCACCCCTAAATGTTTTTAGCAGGGTTTTTTTTGGCACTGATTCGTTATTTGGATTACGGCCATATTGATGCATTGATGTAACGTGGAGTTAATAAATGAACATTTGAAATTAGTTAATTTTTTTTCATGTGGGCGAAAGGGCATTTTCACTGTCGGCATGCAGAAAAAATATTAGTGCGTTTGGGAAAAAAAGTTTGAGAGCTGGAACGAGAGAGATAGAGAGGATAATAGAAAGGAGGGATAGTGGAGAGGTCATGGGGATAAAATAGGTGAGCAATTTCAAATGAAGCAATTTCAAATGTAAGCCCAAAGTAGTCGATCTGGAAACTTAACTGACTTGGAGAATTGTTCCAGTTTGTCTACTTTGTCTTTAGATTTGGAATTCACACTAAATTCACTATGAATTCCCAACAAATCTCAATTTAGTAAGTTACCTTCATGAGTCCTAGACCCAGAATCTACTGGCCGTGAAGGGTCTTGGGGGATCCTAAAATATTCTGCAGTTCTGCAGAGCTAATCCCAATATCCAACATTTTATGATGTTTGCACTATCCCGGAGGGTTAACCGAGAGCCCACGAATAATCCGATGTTACATGTTTAAACAAATCTCTGAATATACTGTTTCATTATATTGTTTTGTCGCCTTCCACCTGCCCTACCCCCCATCTTTCATTTTACAAGGTGTCTGGTGCGACAAGATGCAAGGGAAACTGTAACCCATTGCGTTGGAGTGTCTGCAGGTATCGATCAGACCATTACTGCATCAAAGAGAATATTAGATGGAGTAACTAGACTTACAGCTTTTCAAGAGGGAAGAAAATACCAATTATATTAGAGAGTAAAAAAGTCATAGCTTCTCAGCAGCAATCTCGCTGGAGATTAAAGCCAGAGCTGTTTTATTTGATACTTTGTATTAGATGCTGTGAAGGCCGTGTTTCGTGACTTAGATAAATCATACCAAGAGAAAATGCCTGACAGCTTTCTGACAGTTAATCACACCAACAACTACTCTGTTAACTTTTTAAAAAAAAAATCATAAAATTTACCTTTAATTTACTAGTAATGAGAAAATGAAAATCTGCAGGTAGAAAGAAAAAAAACAGTTCCATGACCATATAAAATTGCATTCAAATTTTGTTCTATTCTGCTTCAAAGAAAAAAGTCCACGTATTAAATAAAAGGTTACGTGTAAACAAAGGCATCTTCTGGCTTTCCCTTGCTGTATGGGGTCAGCCATCTTTCATCTTTTATTTGTGAAAAATACTATTTATCTGACCAAAAAATTTGCATTGGTAATTGGGAACAAAAATATTGGCACCGTGATCAAGCATTCCGAACACAGACTCTGGCAATACCAGTTCTCTAAACTGTGCTGTGTCTTAGCAGATAAAAGGACATTAAATGGCCGCCCTTACTAAGCAAGTGTAAGGCAGGAAAATTACTTGTATGAAATTATTACAAAATAATTCACAACTTGTCTATATTACATGTAAAATTTTATTTTAAGTAGTGATAAAATTTGACGTCAGTTTTCATGTAAAAACAACCATTTTGTCCACTGTTTGAATCCACCTAAGCAGGCCTCCTCTTGTCTGTGTAGAGCCCTGTCCCATCGATATCTCTAACTGTTACTTGTAAACACAGACCGGCAAGCACTTTGTCCAAATGAACCCGTACATACAATCCCGAGCTGCCATATTCTGCTTCGCATTTGGCAAGTTAATCCCTAAGTTTATCAACTTGCACTGGTGCCTTGTAATTAAATCTCAATGAGGCAGGCATAACCCTTGGATTATAGACAAACTCTATAAGGTAATAATCCCTTAATAACTAGCATTACCGCCGGCTTAATACAGCCATTGCACCGTTGGCAATAAAACTGCCTGAGAGTATTATTTACACTGAATGGGGCCTAGAAATCCTGTTTATGAGTAGAGCTAAATCTCTTTGAAAGTCATTGTGCTCTTACCTCTAACATCTGCCTAAATAATTGTGTCAATGCCAAACTAGGTCTGCCCATCAAACCATCAATTTCTGTCCTGCTTTAGTGTGGCTTGTGTGAGCGATTGGGCTGTACACATCTGTACAGACGGCCGTCTCTTTACAACTGTTTGCTATAGCCGGCACAGAGCAAGTCTGCTACAATATTTGTTTTTTCATAATTGTCTGTAAGCATTTATTGTCTAACTCTCTCGCTCTCTTTCTCCGTCTGTTTCTTGCTGTCTCTCTTTGTCTGTCTGTCTCTCCAGCAAACAATGCACCTGATTGCAGTAATCTAAATCTCCGTACTGTAATTATAGAGACCGCGAGCTGCATTTAAGTCCGGTCAGCGTATTGTCCCCCACCGCACACGCTTGATGGATTGTGTGTTATTTCTCAATATTGCATGTGTGAGCCATTAATAATGGATCTCATACAGATAGCATACATTATTCATCCTCAGACAATGTTAACAAAAGCAAATCCTAATTTCTGACCTTTCCTACCGTAAACAAAAAATAACAAAATGGAGGGGGGAAGGCGGTCACACGCCGATGAAGTTTGAAGGATAAATATTAAATCTCACCTGAGCTGCAATAACTAGAGTGGATCTTTTGACCTATATATGGCACTAACTATTTCTATAACAAACACAGATTTACAATACTGACTTTTATTCACACAGAAACAGTCATCTAATCTAAGCAGCACATTAAGCACTACATTATCATTTTAAACTGTGACTATTAGAAAACAGAAACTGATAGACAGTCAGAGATGGCTGGGTCTTACATCTAGTGTACTTAGCACTTTACTGGTTGCATTTCCACACTGCGCAGGTATTTCTACAGAGCTAACAGGTATACTCAGCACATTAAAGGTTACATTACAGTAGAGGGAGGTACAGTAAGTGCATTAGGTATACAGTGTATGTATATTTTATTAATATAGCGCTAACAGGTGTACTCAGCACTTTACAGGTTACATTACAGTAGAGGTAGGTACAGTAAGTGCAATAGGTGTACAGTGTATGTATATTTTATTTATATAGCGCTAACAGGTGTACTCAGCACTTTACAGGTTACATTACAGTAGAGGTAGGTACAGTAAGTGCAATAGGTGTACAGTGTATGTATATTTTATTTATATAGCGCTAACAGGTGTACTCAGCACATTACAGGTTACATTACAGTAGTGGGAGGAACAGTAAGTGCAGTAGGTATACAGTGTATGTATATTTTATTTATATAGCACTAACAGGTGTACTCAGCACATTACAGTAGTGGGAGATACAGTAAGTGCAGTAGGTATACAGTGTATGTATATTTTATTTATATAGCGCTAACAGGTGTACTCAGCACATTACAGGTTACATTACAGTAGAGGGAGGTACAGTAAGTGCAGTAGGTATACAGTGTATGTATATTTTATTTATATAGCGCTAACAGGTGTACTCAGTACTTTACAGGTTACATTACAGTAGAGGGAGGTACAGTAAGTGCAGTAGGCATACAGTGTATGTATATTTTATTTATATAGTGCTAACAGGTGTACTCAGCACATTACAGGTTACATTACAGTAGAGGGAGGTACAGTAAGTGCAGTAGGTATACAGTGTATGTATATTTTATTTATATAGAGCTAACAGGTGTACTCAGCACACAGGTTACATTACAGTAGGTTAAGTGCAGTATATACAGTGTAGTATATTTTATTTATATAGCTAACAGGGAGGTACAGTAAGTGCAGTAGGTATACAGTGTATGTATATTTTATTTATATAGAGCTAACAGGTGTACTCAGCACTTTACAGGTTACATTACAGTAGAGGGAGGTACAGTAAGTGCAGTAGGTATACAGTGTATGTATATTTTATTTATATAATGCTAACAGGTGTACTCAGCACTTTACAGGTTACATTACAGTAGAGGGAGGTACAGTAAGTGCAGTAGGTATAAAGTGTATGTATATTTTATATAGTGCTAACAGGTGTACTCAGCACTTTACAGGTTACATTACAGTAGAGGGAGGTACAGTAAGTGCAGTAGGTATACAGTGTATGTATATTTTATTTATATAGCGCTAACAGGTGCACTCAGCACTTTACAGGTTACATTACAGCAGAGGGAAGTACAGTAAGTGCAGTAGGTATACAGTGTATGTATATTTTATTTATATAGCGCTAACAGGTGTACTCAGCACTTTACAGGTTACATTACAGCAGAGGGAGGTACAGTAAGTGCAGTAGGTATACAGTGTATGTATATTTTATTTATATAGCGCTAACAGGTGTACTCAGCACTTTACAGGTTACATTACAGTAGAGGGAGGTACAGTAAGTGCAGTAGGTATACAGTGTATGTATATTTTATTTATATAGCGCTAACAAGTGTACTCAGCACTATACAGGTTACATTACAGTAGAGGGAGGTACAGTAAGTATACAGTGTATGTATATTTTATTTATATAGCGCTAACAGGTGTACTCAGCACTTTACAAGTTACATTACAGTAGAGGGAGGTACAGTAAGTGCAGTAGGTATACAGTGTATGTATATTATATTTATATAGCGCTAACAGGTGTACTCAGCACTTTACAGGTTACATTACAGTAGAGGGAGGTACAGTAAGTGCAGTAGGTGTACAGTGTATGTATATTTTATTTATATAGCGCTAACAGGTGTACTCAGCACTTTACAGGTTACATTACAGTAGAGGGAGGTAAAGTAAGTGCAGTAATATTATCATTAATAACCAATATATTCAGCGTCAGTTATAGAAAGAAGATACTTTCACTTATGGTGAGACGGTGTGGTTTGATGTTAGCTCTGCGATAACCAGCTGTAGTTACACACTGTGTATTAGAATAATATGTATGCTTAGCTCCTGAAATTTGCACAGTCCCACTCTTCACAACAGCTAATATGGACAGCGAGGTATACTATGCAATGTTTGCTAATTCCGTTTATTTTCATCCTACGCTGAAAAAAAGGATCAATTATGCCTTTAATCTGACAGCCTCCAGTCACTGCCCACCTGACTGTACCTGACCGACCTCCGCGCACAGTTGGCACTCACTGTCAGAGACAAAGCAGTCAACATGCCGAATATTATAATTTGTAAGAAACAAGGACTGATTCTCTGAGCTATTTAAATTCTCGTTCATCTCATCTCCAGGCAGTCAATCAGCATGCTTCATTCACTGCAGCCAAATAACATGATTTGAATGATACGTCGCTGGTTTCTGTAGGGCGCAGTGACTCAGTGGCATGACTAAGCTCAGTAAAATGACAAAGCACACAGCGTACTTGAAACGGGAAAGGCTGATATTATTTTTCAAGCTTAACATTCTTCTTGCTCAGAAAATTCTAGAACACCCAAAAAAATTTCTGATACCTTGTATAACATTTAACATTGCTAAACAAATAATATACATTCTGATCAGTATTTTTTTCCTCTTAGTAACCCATAGGATGGCAAAATTGTTATAAATTGGGTTTCCAGGTCATGTATGTGTACCTGTGATATGTCCATAGCAGCAGGACGCAAACACCAAGAAATAGCTACGCTTTTTCAGTCCTGTCCTTTGCATAGGTTTTCAGAGGGCGCACTATTGATTTACTATAAACCTCTGCAAATAATTGCATGAAGTACATTAAACACTCTGACATTCGAGTCTCGAGATTAGTTATACTTGCCTGTCAGAGAGCTCTGATTGGTTGGCTAACAAGCCAACCAATCAGAACGATCTAATGAGAATTCAAAGCATAGGAAAGGCTTTATAAATGCTTTTCCTACTTTGAAACCTCATTCGGCACCGAACTCTTGCCGGGGAAAGATCAATTTACTTTTCTGAGTTGCAGTTTTGAATTTTTCAGGTGTGTTTTTTTCATTATTTATTTTAAAAAATTGCATTGTGGGGTTATAGTATTTTATTTTGCATTTTTTTGAAGGCTGAATTTAAGAATATTTGTAAAAGAGAAGACTTTAGATGGTATTTTTTTTGTACAGCTATTAGTTTTAATAACCCTCTCACTAATGTTAGGATGAGGGAGGTAGGAAGAATTTGTTTATTTTAAGGACTTTTTATTTATTTTACTTTTTATGTTGTGGCTGCTTGCAGCTACCACATAATTAACACATAGACAAAAAAAAAGAGGAATACTGCTCACTTACTACAATCCTGGTGTAACCTGACCAGGGGTTGGCTAACCCTCCTGTGATATAGCTGAACAAACATTGTAGTTCAGGCACCCAAGGATCAATTCAGCAGGTTTATTGGAACGAAGTGCAAAATTTCATTCCAACAAGGGATATTTCTTAAACTATTAGCTAATTCTCAAGCTTGAGAAAGATCCCTTGTGGGATCGAAATGTTGCACTTTGTTCCAAATAAACCTGCTGAGTTGATCCTTGAGTGAATGAACAACCATTTGTGTTCACATAATAAACGCTGACATTACTGAGGGTTTAAATGATCAATTCATTTTCAAAAAAGCAAGTGAACAAAAATTAGCAAATGTGTAGCCTGGTGGACACATTCGATTCTGAATTTTGTTACTATCTGGTCTTTTTGGATCTTCCGAATCCTATGATTTGTTTTAATCCAGACACCAATGCATCGATTGCTGCAACTTTGCTCGGGCTGTACGAATTCTGACCATATTTCGCTTTAGTGAATATGACTATTGCCAATGCAGTAGAAACTTAGTCAATTTGTCTGGGTTTGTTCTCTTCAGAATAGCTTATGGCCTCCCAGAGTAACGTTTCTTTCACAATCCTATCTCTCTCTCTCTTTTAAAGGGCCACACTCCACTTCCACCTTCCAGTTCTGCTACTTTACTACCCCGTTGCTACCCCCTCGATGCCCTTCCTACTGTGAGTTTATGCTCCACCTCCTCTAGATTGTAAGCTCTTTTAAACCAGAGTCCTTAACAATCTATAGTTCTGAAACAATGTCTAACTGTCTCATTTATTGTTAAATTTCCCCCTTTATAATATTGTAAATCGCTACATAATAAGTTGGCACTATATAATTGCCAATACTAATAATAGTGAATAACCCATGTTTAAACTCTGTTTTAAATTCCCCAGAATTGCTGTTTAGTGGATAAACCCCAATGATTCAAGTTTATATCTCATAATTTAGCCTTCTATACTACTTTGACATCTACAGAAGAAAACACAGTGTTAATTAGGGTGTGAGACAAGAGAAGGTGAGGATCAGTTCACAGTGTGTGGGAAAATAGCTGTCACTGGGTTCTAAAGCAGTCAGATCGAAGAGAAGGCAAAAAAACAAACGTATTCTCTAAACCCGTTGTTTATTTTAGGTTTGTGCATAATTTGCATTCGTACAGAAACAAAATTACACGGTTCATTGGTAAGTATCTGTTACTAGATTTGGACGGAGTTCAGTTCTGCCTGTTACCAGAGATGCAATAATTGGTAACAAATTGATCCAGAGCTATACAAATCCATAGGTTAGCAAGGCTCCCGCTGGATGTAATTGAAGACACGTATCATTTCAGAAAGCGAGGTTTAGTGTGCGTTTTCTAAAACCTTTAAAAGGGTTTCTGGCCTGGTTTGTTTTTAACATAATCAAACATCAAACTAGCCTTGCATGCTTACCAAGGTGTGATCGTGTCTGTCATTGCCTTTCCTTGCTTGCATTGCTTCTATACATTGTACTCTATAATTACATGTCGAGCTAGCTTTTGCAATTAAAGCGGTCTATTGATGTAACATTGCAGGCTTGGAATCTTCCTCTAAGATTGCACCAGCAACAGATTCTAATCTTTTATGGTGTAAATAATATCTAATCTGAGGACAATTAAACACCCCCCACTGCTATATCATACATACAAAAATGAAATAAGTTATGATTAAGAAGGTATCCCTTTACCCAATTCACTTAGGAAATTCACTAATGTCAGTAAAAGTATCGCCTTTAAATATCGACATAAAATAAAGCGACAAAATCACTGGTATGTGCTAGCCTTAAAAGGTTACAGTGGTTTAAGGTTTGGCATAGGTACAGCACCGTGTACACTGATGTGCCTGGCATGGTAATGATTGTGCAGCAGTTAAGGCATCCTGGCTTTGATGTAGCTCTAATAAGCTAGAGGATAATGTGTTCCCTCTAAATCTAATTCCATTTAATGACACAGCTCCCTAGCTCCCCCTAACCCCCCATAGCATTAACCTTGCCCCAACTGTCCCCTTGACCGAGCCACATTCTTATAATTGTTATATAATCACCATTGTTAATGACACTGTAATAGTTCTGTTCTTATAAACACAATTAATATTTCACACAATGGATATTTCTAGGGGTGATGTAATAAATGTATACACTGTAGTGGTGTATTTGCAGTGGTTATGGTACAATGATTCTATGCATGCAATCCCTATACTTTGTATAGTACTTAAAGTGTCCCTTTAAGGGAGTTGCACTTACTCAATACCTTACATTCTTGCTACCAACATGTTTCATTAAAATTCTGCTTTTATGAAAAGCTGTGAAAGTGACAGTGCCGCTTTAAGATGTGTTTGTAAATACTGTTACATAATTAGAACGCTAAATGATTCCATTGTTTCCCATTCTTACACCAATGTATAATTCGAACGGTTACTGTTTATTGTGTGACTAGCGAGGATCTATTTATCGTTCTGCAGCCCATGTTCTAGTGGCATTCTGGAAGCATGTGTATCCAATTGGATGAGTCTTGATTTGAAACAAACGAAGACTGATGGCAGCCCCCATGTTCCTCCCGAATATTTCATTTTCTTAAGTGATTAATGAGGCTCTTTATAGCTGATTGCAATAATACTCACATTTGTTCTTATAGGTAATTATGTCTTTTTCTGTGATAGCTAATCTTGACACCCCTAGATGTCTGAACTATGTTTACTATAATGCTCAGTCAAGACGAGATAAGCCTCTTGGGGAATGTGAATAAAAAATACAAAGTAAAATATCGGTGATTATGTTTTGTCATGCCTAGGGCAGCACAAAACCAGGATACACCACTGTGTACCGTGTGATCTCACCTCTCCCTTCGACCATCAATTCCTTTTCCTTCCAATGCTTACCACCAGCCGACCTTTTCCTTGCTCGGTGGGCACGTCCTAACCCTTCAGAGCAGGGGAGGTTGAGACCTGAAACTTGACCACATCATTCCACATATTGACATAGCCCCTCAAACTGAATTGGCAAGGACACACCCCCGACTAGCTGCGACTACATAACAATGGGGCAGGTGGGAGGGAAGCTGTTTGCTGGCCCGAATACCAAGTGGCACTGAGGTAAAACCACCCACACCAAACTCACACACCACATAATCCCACCCACACATACATACACAACCAATCACAAGCATCCATCCCCACACTCATACATGTGCCCTTGTCCGCTTAGCTCTGCTATCTCCCCAGGGCCTAATTTTAGATACACACATGCTCACATCTTTACAGGTTTTGCACAAAATAAAAATATGTTTTGCAGATTGCTGCACCATAAGCCCACCTCCTTAGCCACGCCCCCTCATACCAGAAAGACTTCCTTATCAAATGTATGTACACAGTCTACTTCCCAACAGCATTGAGTAAGCAGCTTTTAATTCACAACCTGGCTGCAGACAGTCAGAGAAACTACAAACAGGTAGTGCTATCCTTACTATATGCCTCCCTGGGTGTCCTCTCCTTCTAATTCAAGTTGTTTCATGGTTCAAATCCTTTAGTGCTTTCAGTGACAGAGCTGTGTACATACCTTTGATAAGGAAGTCTTTTTCTGGAGTGAGGGGGTGTAGCTAAAGAGGCAGGCTTATGGTGCAACATTTTGTAAAACATGTATTTATTTTAAGCAAAAACTATAGATTTTTGACCATGCAAATTATTTTTATCATAACCACATAATTGCATAACCATAAAATAAAACACTAAAGAAATAATTAAAATTTAAAAAATGATATTGATTTGAGGTTGTCTATTCGCTTTTTTTTAAATTCTAATTCATCATGAAAAATGTGCCTGAAGTTAGCTCTCACAGCTATATTCCTTTATTTAAAGGGACACTGACATTTTAAAACAAGTTAGCATCATGTACCCCTCTTAAAATGCGCTTTACTTTGTCACACTTGCAATATTTTTTTTATTTTTTTTAAATTCTTTATTTTTGATGTGCAAAAAGATTAACAATCATGCTTGCTATGCCACAACGGCAGACATAAACATTTCAAGAAACAGATTAGTATGGCATGTAATTGATAACTGCACTTTTTTTTTTTCTCACAAATTAAGTTACGCATTCAAGCTTACTATTACATGTCAAATGGAAGTAAACGCTGTAGGTACTGTCGCATAGTTGCTACCTGACATGTGAAAAGACTTTCACATTTTATGGTATGTAAAGTAATAGAAAAACATGACTAATGACAGACTTGGGTATTGCAGGCTTCATATGAATTTTTAACTAAAAACGCATGAGGAGAAACACATGAGAAGATCCACCAGGTTGTTATGGGAAAGGTGTTAAAATGAGTGTGGTGGCCACTGGTACTCTTCAATGTAATGTCGTTACAACTAAATGCCTGTGGCAAATTGGGAAGCATGTGACAGGAATCACAGACAAAAAACAGAATAAACAGAATAACATTCTTGGCTAGTCTACTTAGCCGATGCCACAAGCAGGCTTCTTCTGGGAGCCGATTCTGCACTTCATGGTTTGCTTGGTGTTTCTGCTCCAGAATCCCCTCTGTGTCAAGAGGCCCTCTGGTACATGAAGAACTGTATTTTTGTGTGGATCAATCGAGCGGCGTTCCATCATCCGCTCCGCCCGCTGAACCCGGGTTCGGCCGACGAGCCGGTGCCTGGGAACCACCAGCCCCTCCAGCTCCCTTGAAAAGGTTAAGGTCCTGGGGGTTCTCCATACCACAGGCAGTTTCCCCCTTGTGTGGCTGCTTGATGGGCACCGCGCCCATTGTGACTCCTAGCCCAGAAGGTACGGTGGGTGCCGAGGGTACCTAGGGTACGGTGAGTATCCGTTCTGCTTGACGGGCCTCCAGTCGGCTCCAAAATGCTGCACAGATCGCGTCAAAGGTAGCAGTAAATTTGGCTTCCCAGCTGCTCACTGAGTGTGTGGTTGTTGTGGCGGCCATTTTAACAGCGCCATGCAGTGCTCTGTCCCAGTAGCTTTTAGCTGTATCGCCACAAGGTCCGCTGTTGCTTTTTCCCTGGTGGGGACCAGGATAACCCCCACTGGTCCAAAGGGGGGGGGGGGCTGAACAGGGCAACCTCTTCAGTTATTGCAGAAGGTCCAGGAGGGAGAATGGCCGCTTCTCCTCCTCAAGGCCCTCCTCAAGCTTGTAGGCCCAAATTTAATTTCGAGCCGCAGGTCGATAATAAAGGCTCCAGACTCGCACAAGAGAGCTCCTCTGCATACCGGAACAGATATTGAACTGTTTGGTGGTCATTTGGGGCAATAATCCACCATAAGGTAAAGGTTTGGATTACAAGATTTTTGTGAGGAGCTCACTTTCAGCACGTCTGGCTGCCTTGCTGATCAGGCCCCGCCACCCCACACTTGCAATTTTTTATTAAAAATAGAATAAAATTAATAAACGGTACATGAACTTGTGGTGCTGTTTATATTGGGCATTGTGGACATGAGGCTAGAGATGGGGTTAAAATAAGAAACTGGATGGAAGAGGAAGAAATAGTATACATTGGACATGGTGATTCTGTCATAATTATAAAATTATTTACAAACAAGTTATTAGTCAAAAAAACGCAGAACAAAAATTGTCTGAGAGCATATTCTGTTTCTGTAGTCCTTACTGTCTCCCTGCGTCTCTCTCAACTCTTTCTCCCTCAAATAATTTCAAGAGACTGCTTGCTTTTACAAACAGTAAAATTAGTTCTAAATAAAGTGTTGAAATAATTATATAATTCTAGACACGCTAACTGCAGAGACTCACTGAATGCCTTTTGTTTTCCTGTCTATTGTCGAATATTTTAATGGCTCACAAACAGGAAAAAGTGCAGAATCAACAGAATTTGAAAGTCATTAAAGTTTTCTGCAGCTTGTGGCGCTTTTTCATCCTTTAGCTTGAGATTTATATATATTTTTTTTTACTCTATACATATCGCTGTGCTGTTGGATCACCTTGTAACTGACCATTGAAACATTTCAGTGAATGGTCAATCTATTGAGTCCGTCCCTATGGTGACAAACCGTTGGCGGAATGAATGACACTTATTGCATCGGAAGGACACTTAGGGACTATCTAACTTGACCCCGACCCATATCAATATTAACTTCATATTGAAAACAAAAGCTTAGCCATCTCCGAACTATAGCATAGATATTTTAATGACATTATAACTCTTTCTGTTAAGGAAATATCTCCATATAATGATTGCTCTATGATTATTTTACAGATACGTCTGTGCACTTTAGGGTTATCTTTAATGTCTGGCTTGTTGATGGCTTCAGACAATGTGGTACAGATCCATTTCTAGAGAGGGTCCTAAACATAAATAAACAGATTAAAGGACAACTGTCACCTCAAAAAAAAAAATATAATAATTCTTTCATCATTCTTTCATTAAATGAAGTATATGTAAAAAAAAAGAAAATTATGTATACTATATGACCGGGTCCTTCAGCCATATACATACACCTTGGGTCAGACAGCGATGGAACACTGACAGTTAGTCTCTATGGTCTTTCCTTGCACAAAAAATGGGAAGACCATAGAGACTAATTGTTGGTTTTCAAAAACTGTACGACAAAAGGTGCACATGTACGGCTGAAGGAGCCTGTCATATATTAAAGGTAGGGATGGATTTTCTTCAATTTTTTTTTTTTTATACTAAAAATAGTTTTGAAGTGACAGTTGTCCTATGAGGTGTTTGTTGCAAATGTTTCTTATGTTACCATTTTTCTTTGCTACTCTGGACAATATTACAATACCTCAGCTTACCGGCCTTCTGTGCTGCACAAACTATTCCGGTAACTCTTTGTCTAATTACTTAGTAGATCTCCAACTGTGATTCACCATAACTGTGAATACATTACCTTGAATATGTTACATGAATATTCCTTAGAAAAATGTCTTCATCGTTCTAAGATATTCTAATAAATGATTAAACTATATTAAATCTGCATATTGCGATTCTCAAGATGATTGAGAATTGGCGAGCCCAATACTTTAATGTTGTACCTTTTGACACTTGAATAGTGTATGTGATAAAGGAAATTAATTCAGTGTTCCAGTGCTTATCTTTTGTCCTAGAAAAAATAAATATATAATATGAAATGCTAGTCTAATTTTGAAATGTAAGTATTTTCAGAGCCATTCGCTTTTTTTTAATATTATAAGAAAGTTGCCTAATTATTTTTATTTCAGCCGTCTTCCAGTGTGTTAAAATGAAACTATAGGAAAAGTGCACGTTTTTATACTTTAGAAACCATTATATTCACTGGGAGCTCGTTAACAGGAATCTGATCCCTGTTTATACAAGGCTCAAAGCTAATTTATGATGGACTCCTTTATTGTGCTCTGCGAGATAATATCACCCAAGCCAATATAGCAGTAATTTTCGAAAAGAAAAATCAAGGGACTTTGAAACTGGGGATATAGGCAAGTGATGTTTGTGAAATCATTTTTTTTTACCTTGATTAAGAAAGGAATAAGCATTTCACAGGCATGAACAAGCAATAGCTAATTTTGGAACCCCAGCCATTTTAACACCCCAGATATTTCTGATATTTAGCCAGCACAGGATATCCGGGTTAGTTGCCACTACCCTCGGCAGCTTACATTCACTATTCTCTAATGTGGGGCGTGTGTATTATTTTGGGTTAGTCCTAATAATTCTATACGGCAGGGCTCAAACATTTCACTCACCACCAGTCTTTAGAGAGTACAAATTCAGCCCTGGCGAGTATAGCTTCATCCTGTGAGGGTATACTATGGCTTTCAGTGGCTAGTAACTTTTAAGGCCTGACTAGAAGCAAATTCCAAGCCCTGCCACAGGGTACTTCTATAATAATTTACCGATTTCAAGTGGTCATGGTGCCTGGAGTCTGTTTCTCTGTGAAATGCTGCACATTCAGAGTTTAACCCCTCTGTTACGGCAGGTGTAACTCCACCTTCGGGTGCAACATTGAGGCACTATTATCCAGCCTGTAACAAGAGTTCCTGGCTGGCTAATGTCAGTTCTGAACAAATTTGTCATCATGCCCCCTCAGTATCACCCATGTCCTTCCCTCAGCATGCAGTCCCTGACATCCGTCCCTTAAGCATTGGTAGAGTAATGTCAGCAGAGGGGGAACGAGATGCAGGTAGAAATTACGTTTTAGCTACATTCTTTGTTTAGTATGACCAAAAACACATTTTTGGGGGGTTGTAATAACCCTTTTAAGTATTCAAAACAAGCTGACAATATTAGGGGCACATGTTGAACGCAATGCTGTTATTTTAGGTACTTGCAAAGGAAAAAATATTAACCGTATATTTTGAGTGATATACTAAAATCAGGTATTAAGAGTTTTATTATTTTTTGTAAAGCCTGGAGAGGTACATTTGAGGAATCTATTTTCTTTTTTATCTTCCTGAAACTGTGGTGGGAATGAGAAATGACTTTTCATGTAATAGTTTTTTGCTCTGTAATTGCTTAGGAAAGAAAGCAAGTGGGAGAGACAGATGGCGATGTTTCTTTTACTCGTGTTAAATTGGAGGAGAATTGTGTCTGGCGGCCGGGTGTAAGAGCAGGGAGCAAACAAGAATGAATAATACATGGGGGTCATCCTCATAAATAATCGAAGATTTTCTATCATAGTTCTTAGTGGAGCCTTTATTAGACAGACACTACGTGGCTTTCCATTTGTTTTCAAGTATAGATTATTGCTGTAGCGGCAAACAGACATAAGGCAGCTTAACTACGTGAAGGAAAATGCGTACATCATACTAGGAGAAAACTAACTTCCTCTTCCCCCATCTAGGTGTTGGGAGAATTTATGCTAATATATGCCATACAGTTGTAGTCTATATAATCCTTCTGTTTAATAATGCGAAATGCCAGATTCCACTTTTTTATTTATTTTATAACACCTGTTTTATAATGGCTTTGTCAACACTCCTGCAGAGTTATTCACTAATGTGTGATTTGTTGGGAACTCAAAGTAAATTCCAATTGAGGTTCATATTTTAAGACAAATAGACACATTTGAAAAGTCGGTAATTTTATTAGTGTATAGTGACTGAGAAAGGACCAAGCAACCCACCTTAGAACCCTCAGTAATTCCAACATTAAAAAATAAAATAAAGTGGACCGACAACGTTTTTGTCAATGGTTTTTAACCCCGATGTTGGTGCATCCGTCAGAGCTGTCCCCGGTCTTTCTTCCTCTCTGCTCCTGGTTTACGAGGATGGTTTGCAATAATTGAAGGGAAGGGACTTATCTTTTTTCCAGATTGGAATAATGCCCAGGACGGACAGTTCCATGTTTTCGGCTCCTGTCACAACAAACAAGTGTCTCAGAACCAGGAGTAGAACTACTGGTGGTAAAGCAAGTGTAGCTGCTCCAAGGCAAGGAATGTGTCTAGAAATACTTTTTCTTTCCTTGTTTCTTTGTGTTCATGTCTGTGGGTGTCAGTGTGTCACTGTATGTATCTGTGAGTTGTGTCAGTGTGTGTCAATGTGTGTAATTTTTGCATGTATCTCTTTGAGTGTATCCGCATGTGTGTCTCAGTACATCTGGGTACCTTCTTGCCATCAAAGTGTCCCTGGAATTTATTTTCAATGTTGTCAACTATGCACCTTAAAGGTGAACTATAGCGAGTCGACCCCTGCGAGGCAGGAGACAAGACTATATCTCCTGGCAACACATGGTGGGAACTACCCACTACTTATTGGTGGTGAATTGGTTTAAGTTCTGGTTGCATATTAATGTTACAGTGTGTTAATTGTCAATAAAGCAGGGGTCAACGCCCTTAACCCACAATTATGGATCAGAGTTTTTCTATGGGTTGTGGTAATGGTTGAGTAATCAGGTCATAGATCTTTGCAGGTATACCATCACAATCTCTTGACCTTCTTCTCACCCTGAGTTCTGTTCACCGAGTCTTTGCCTTTATTCAGATACTGAATTCTAGTTCTCTTAAAACTCAAGGCAATAGCCCAGAAAACAGGTTCAGAGAACAAAGCACACACTAATGATATTCTGTACATGACGCTAAAATGACTGGCAGCTCTGGCTCTCCTGAAATAAACGTCCCTGAATGTCAACTTGGAGACATTGTCATCTTATCTGCAGAGTTTTGAGGATGCTGCGCCAACACACTTCGAAATAAAAGAAAAATCCGTTCAGCTTCAGAGCTTTTATCGCGCCATCAATACGGCCTTTCTGATAGATGGCTGTGTATGTGATACTAATTTCACCATATCTAATGCTGCATGATATTTCCCTTGTTGTGCTGTGTGAATGACAGACCCATTATTACACTTCTGTATTGTACATGTTACGTATTACACTCCGTGACATTGAAGGGTCAGGGGGCAACGATGAAAAATAAAAATGATTATAAGAAGAAAAAAAACAGATTGGACTGAAATTTATCCTTGAAAAAAAATTTTAAATCTATAAATTCTAAATTCCAAAAGAAATATGGCAAGTTGGACAATATATTCTGTAAAATATCTGCTGGTTAAAAGGATTTGAATGTATTAATGTTAAATAGATCTATCTATCTGTCTGTCTGTGTGACTGTCTGCCTCTTTGTTTGTCTGTCTGGCTAGCTGGCAATTGCAGCCAATCCTTGGACACGAATGCACTTACAGTTTGTCACAAAGTGAGTACACCCCTCCCTTTTTAAAAAATATTGTATTATATCTTTTTATGTGACAACACTGAAGAAATGACACTCTGCTACAATGTAAAGTAGTAAGTGTACAGTGTGTATAACAGTGTAAATGTGCTTTCCCCTCAAAATAATTAAACACAGCCATTAATGTCTAAACCGTTGGCAACAAAAGTGAGTACACCCCTAAGTGCAAATGTCCAAATTGGGTCCAATTAGCCAATTTTCCCTCCCCGGTGTCATGTGACTCATTAGTGTTACAACATTTAAGGTGTGAATGGGGAGCAGGTGTGTTAAATTTGGTGTTATAGCTCTCACACTCTCTCATACTGGTCATTGGAAGTTCAACATGGCACCCAGGGCCGGTGCAAGGATTTCTGCTACCCTAGGCAAAGATCCATTTTGCCGCCCCCTCATGTCACTCACTCACTGGCAGACACACACTGGCAGACACACACACACTCACTCACTGACAGACATTCACGCACTGACACACACAAACACACTCACTGACAGATATGCACTCACTCACTGACAGACACACACACATACGCTTTACTGGCAGACATACACTCACGACAGACAGGCACATACACTCACTGACAAACATACACTCACTGGCATACAGACACACACACACACATACACTCACTGACAGACATACACTAACTCACTGACATATATATATATATATATACACTCACTCACTGACATATATACATACACTCACTCACTGACAGGCACACACTGATGTACATACACTCACTCACTGACAGACACACACACGCAGACATTCACTGACAGTCAAACACTCACACACTCACTGACAGACACACACAGACAGACACACACCCTTTCACTGACAGTCAAACACTCACCTCCCTAGTGTCCAGTGTGGGGCAGCTCCTCACTGCTCCCGTCCACTGTTTAGTATGCCGGCGGATGGAATTACGTCATATTCTGGCATCACAGAGGGCGCGCGAGGGAGGAGTGAGAGGCTTCAAGAGCACCCTCCCTCTCCGACTTCTCCTCAGGTAAATGGCATTTGTTGGCAGAGCAGGCACCTGCCATCAAGGTAATAAGGTGCCTGCTCTGCCTTACCTAGTGCAACATCAATGGCGCCCTCCTGGCACCCCCGTGAAAGGGCTCCTCTCGGGCCTCCCACTTTCGGGTGCCTGGAGGATCGGTCCTGCACTGGGGCCGCCTCAAGAGCCGCTCACCCAGCACTGCCACCCCCAGACAGGGGGAGCCCATGAGGAAATATCCCAGTGGGCACCCCCAGCAGGCCGGCGAACTAGGCACGGTAGCGCCGGCCCTGATGGCACCTCATACCAAAGAACTTACTGAGGATCTGTAAAAAATAATTGTTGCTCTACATGAAGATGGCCTAGGCCATCTCGTGTACCGCAGAACCCTTGCGTTCTGCAAGAACAAAATTGGGGATCCACGGCATTTTGTCACATCCAAATGGCTGCCGCTACCTGCTGTTACCAGAAGGTTGGAAACAGCAGAGATCGCGCAACCGCGATCTCATAAGAGATCGTGGGAGCGTGATCTTAAGCCCACCCTGCCATCAGTCTGCGATGCCGTCAGCATGCCTTGCCGTCAGAGCCCGCCCTACCATCAGCCAGCCACTTAGCTCGGCCGTGAGAGAGCCCGCCCAGCCCTCAGCCAGTCCACCCAGCAGTCAGCTAGCCAGCCCTGCCATCAGCCATTTTCGATCACTCGTGGTGGAGGAATGATAGAGTGGAGCTGATAGTTAAAGCTCTGTTATTGTCATAGAAAACTCTGTTGGGTAGGAGCATTGAAATTCTCTGTCGGGGCATTGAAAGACTCTGTCAGAGGCAAAAAACTGTTAACTGTATTTTTCAGTGTTCAAATCTTTTTCCTCCAAGTCTAACTCAAAAAGTCTGCTTTATTTCAGTTCTTTCTAAGAGGGATATCAAAATCAGCATCCTTTTCAGTCAGGTTGTGAGTTCTGTATCTTTCAAAGTTTTTATTTTTATTTTTTATAACCAATAAACCACCATGAATTTGGAAATCTGGTTAAAGCAGGAAAAAATATTACTACTCCTACCTGATCAGAGCCAACTGAAGAAGCTTTCCCTGCGAAATGTGTTTTGACATACAAGGACTTCACTACCATAGACTGATAAGTCCCTTTTTATTTTGCGTTTATGTATTTTTATTCACCTTTGATTATTTTTTTTTTTTATGAATAAATAGTGGATTTTAGTACTATTTGGTAGTGTGTCCGATTCCAGGTTTCAGATTGACAAATTGACACCTGAGAGCCAAGGCACATATGGGCTCTTATTAACGTTATTTTATGTAGTGATTTTAGCTTGTTATAAACACAGACATACTGCACCATAATCTCCTATGTTTTTCTTGCCTTGAGATTCCTGTTTATCCAAGAAGGTGGGGTGCTACCTATAACAGAGCCTTACCCTCAGGCTCTGAAGATTGTGAGTGTGTCTACCTTTATTTATTTGTTTAGTATCTCGCATATTGCAAATACCGTCTGCACTAGATTTGTTTTATGTTTTTTTTTCTCTTTTATGTAACACTCCACATCAAGATTTATATAACCATACAGACGGGTAAGCTAATATCTGCCTGTCTATTATTCAGCGCTCCACCCACTGATTAAAGGGTTTATCTTGTTAAGAATTTTTCACTACTTCTACCTGTTCAACACATATAGAAACTGAGAAAGAAGATCCAGAAAACATGCCGAAATAGTTGTATCTACTGTTCCTCAAATAGCAGAGACAAGTGACAAGTCAAAAAAAAAAAAAAAAGGACACAATGCTAGCCAATCTTCTTCTCAAACAAAGAAGAGAAAATATGATGATAGCTACTTGTCAATTGGATTCACAGGTGCCAAAAATGAAGATTGTCCTGAAGCACAATGCGTACTTTGCAATAAATTATTGCCAAACAGTTCGTTAGCACCTGCTAAATTACGTCGTCATTTTGAGCAAAACCACGCAGAGTACGAAGATAAAGACAATGACTTTTTTAAGTGAAAGCTAAATGAGTATCAGAAGAGTAAACAATTAATGAGCAAAGCATTTCAAAATGCTAATGAAAAGGCCAAAGAGGCTTCTTACAGAGTGAGTTACCGCATAGCACTTGCGGGAGAAGCACACACAATTGGGGAATCGCTAATAAAACCATGTGCAAAAGAAATAGTGTTGTGTATTTTAAGTGAGAAGTTCAGTAAAAAAAGTGAAGCTGTGCCACTTTCCAACAACACAGTTTTGCGCCGTATTCATGATCTTGCTGACGACATCCATACTGAACTAATTTCTGGACCGCATCAATGTGATGGATGCTCACTGCAATTAGTCGAGTCCACAGATGTTGCAGGATTTTCAGTTTTGTTGGTTTTTGTTAGATATAATTGTGACAAACAGATTGAAGAAGACTTGCTTCAGTGTGAAATTTTGAAAACTCATACTTGTGAGAACATCTTTAACTGTATCCAGAAGTTCATGAACATACAGTATAAATCGGGACAAGTGTGCAGCGATGGTGCCAAAGCAATGGTTGGGAAAGTGGCCGGCTCTGTGACATTAATAAGAAATGTAGCAAAAAACAGCACCAGTTCTCACGGTGTTCTTCACAGACGTGCACTGGTAGCTAAAAATATGTCAATCTCACTTAAAACTGTGCTAGACAAATCAATCCAGATTATTAATTTTATAAAAAGTTGACCATTACAGCCACGACTATTTAAAATTATATGTGAAGATATGGGTAGTCACCACTCTGCTCTGCTTTTGCATTCAGAAGTCCATTGGCTATCACGAGGTAAAGTCCTTGTTCGAATGTTTGAATTGCGTCAAGAGTTGTTCACATATTTCCAGGATCATAAATTTGGATTATCTGATCGATTAACAAACACTCTGTGGTTATCCAAAGTAGCATATCTTGCAGACATATTCACAAAATTAAATGATGTATTTTTATCACTCCAAGGAAAATTCATTCAAAAAAGACAAGCCAGCCAATTTTTCTGATGTAGATTTTGAGAATCTGATCGATATAACTTCTGACAGTCAACTAAGCCAAAAATGTAAAGAAGTTTCTCTTATTGCTTTCTGGGGTGATTTATGCAAAGAATACCCAAAATTGGCCAAGCGGGCAATCAAAGTTCTGTTGCCATTCACCAGCACGTACCTATGTAAAACTGGATTCTCGCTTTTCTCTGCAACAAAAACAAAGTATCAAAATCGACTTGACACAACTGCAGACATGCAAATACAATTGTCAACAATTAAACCAGATATAAAAAAAAAATTGCTAGCAAAAGTGAACATTACACTTTGCTCATTTAAAGGTTTGCGCTGCGCTACTCTACTGCACATATTTTTTTGCTGGGGTTCTAAAGTTTTGCTATACCATGTCAAAGGGTTCCAAGGGATAAAATCATTGGGAAACCCTGGCCTAGGCTATAAGAAGATTGCCAAGACCCTGAAACTGAGCTGCAGCACAGTGGGTAACACCATACAGCGATTTTTACAGGACAGGTTCCACTAGGGCTTCAGCATGTTAAAAAGTAACAGGCGTCTACATAGGTAGTGTCACATTTCTGTTCCACTACCTGGTATGAGCCCTGCCAAGCAGCCTGTCCTGCCAGACAGGTTTTAGAACCAAAACCTTCTGACCGACTTGAAAGCTATGGCTCCTGGCTCCCTGATCATACCATGTGCGCTGGTGCCTCTGGGCTGCCCGCAGGTTCCCACGCACCAGGTGAGTGAGTTCCTCCAGCACGTATGGAATGATGGGGGTCCCTTCCTGCTCCTCCTCTTCTTCCCAGTGCTTCCAAACAAGGTCTAGGGGCCCCCTAAACCTCCATCCAAACATTAGTTCAAACGGGGAGAATCCTGTAGATTCCTGGGGCACCTCCTGATATGCGAACAGGAGATCCGGCAGGAATCTCTCCCAGTCTTTGCGAATGGCTGCAAAGGTACAATCGCTGTATGAAGTGCTTGCACAGGCCATTCGTCTGGGAGTTATATGGGGAGCTTAAGATCGATTTAATGCTGCATAACCTCTACAGCTGGTTAGTCATCTTGGCAGTAAACTGGGAGCCCTGATCTGAGAGCATCTCCCGGGGAAATCCCACCCAGGGGAACATCAGGGCTTCGGCCACAGTCTCAGCCTAAATGTTTCTCAGGGCGACTGCCTCAGGTTATCGAGTCATGTAGTCCACAATGGTCAGAATATACTTCTTTCCAGAAGCTTAGCCAGGGGACCTATGATATCAACAGCTACTCTGGCAGACATCACAGGCCTGGCAATACTGCCTCAGATCCTTCAAGATATCTGGCCAGAAGAAGTTTTGGGTGAGCCGATGCTCAGTACGGCCCCTTCCCAATTGCCCTGTCAGGGGGATATCGTGAGCTATCTTCAACAGCTTGTGTCGATATTTTCTGTGTGCCACCAACTGTTTGGTGATAGTAGGAGCTGTCCCTGAGTTCCCTTTCTCTGCTATGTGGAATAGCAAGCCCCTCTCCCAGATAAACCATTCACCGTCCTGCCCCACCTGTCCAGGAAGACCTATCCTATACGTCTGGAGGGTCAGATACTACCTCCCTCCCAAACTCAGCACGGGTATCCCAGGACACAGGGACTGGTGCAAGGGGGAACCACGGGGCACAGGGGTAGGGGAACTAGCATGGGGGGCCTGCCTGCCAGGGGGACTAGCCCGGAAAGCCTGCTTGGAGGCGCAACTGTGGGGGGGCTGGGACCTGGGGACGGGTATGTGTGCCTACTTGAGCCTCAGAGTGTGAGACGTGCCGAGTGGTGCGGGCTCCACGGGGGTCTGGAGGTGCACAAAGGTAGAGGTGAGGTGGCCCAGATCGTTGACGAGTAGCACTTCTGCGGGTAGATCGACTTGCACTTTCTTGTCTCCGGTGCCCCAGTCGAGATGGACGTGGGTCGGAGGTAGGTGGTAGATGTTTCCCCCGCTACATAAATAGCTACAGTCTCGCTGTTCTTCTCCACCTCTGCAACAAACTGGCTTTGTACTAGAGTCTCGTAGCCCCTGGACGGTCTCTCCATTCAGCTGGGCCAGCTGCCTGTGGTAAGCACGGTTGTCAGTGGCAGCTTGGAGAGGGTCCACCCCGTGGATGATGAACCAGGCGTCTTCAGTGGTGGTTGGTGGGTACTTGGAGGCAGCCTGGTAACAATGGGCTGTGGCGCTTGGGGCTGGGGCGACCACCAGGCGAACCCACCATGGTTGATCTTTAAGCGGGGGGCACTCTCTTTTGAAATGTCTGAGTTGTTGGCAGTGGTGGCACCTGGAGCCTGCCTTTGATGGTACCCTCAGGTTTGGCCCCGGGCTGGTGGGTTTCTGGGTGGAGGGTAGGTCAGGGCTGCCAGATGCAGGGGGGGTCGGTAGTTGGGCGTTGGGGCCGCCAGGCGCCCTCTGGCTTCCAACAAATCTTGTAATGTTGACCTTTTATCGTATAGTCAATGGGTCTGTTCGGCTTACTGATGCTGGTCCCGTAAGGCCAGGAAGTGTGATCCCACTGCTTACCAGTTGTTGCAGACCACGGGTAGCAAAAAACTGGGAGAAAGAGAATACTGAGAAGGGTCAGCAGCTGACCACGGGTAACCCGACTGGTTACCTCCACTGATTTCCTTCCTTTAACCGACCAGGAACCATTTAAAATACAAAGAGATCCATCTTCCCCCAGTAACTGGATGACACACAGTCCTGGAGGTACAACAACCACTTTATCTAACAACCACACACGGCTTTATACATACCCCATACAAGGGGTGTATCATACCAACATCCAGTGTCCCCTCCTAGGATCCCCCCTCCCCCCTCCCTGGGTCCCCAGCGCGGGAAAGGACTCCAACTCCCGGCACAAAAGGTATAGGGTTTCCCACGCCCGCCGCCAGGGAGTTTTCTTCCCAGGAGCCATCCCTTTGTCTCCCAGGCACCGAAAGCCTGCCTGCGGGAAAAGAGATGATTTTTTTTTTTGTCCCTGCAGGCACCGAAAAGCCCGCCCAACTCGCCAGTGCCCCAGCAGTGCCCACACCAATCTCAGGGACCCTCACAGCGGTACCTCCCTCAAACGGTCTCTGCTCGCGAGGTTCCTGTGTGAAATCCTGCAAGGAAAGCATCTCCTTTCGGGACATGAATGCTCCCCCTGGACGGCATTCGGCTATACTAAATGGCAGCCACCCAGGGGAACATTCACTAATTACTTCCCTTGCAGTTTCACACTTAAGTTGCAAGTGAGAACATTCTGATTAATTGGTGTGAATTAAGTTAGCAGTGTTTTCATGCTGAACCTAAAGACCCTAAATACCGCTACTGCAATCTTTGCAGGAACGGAATCAGGAAGTCCCTCTAGTGGCTGTCCAAGTGACAATCGCTGGGCATAATGAGAATTAAAGTGGTGCCATTCTTGTCCATTGGAATGAATAATTCGCAGAGCCTCAGCTCTTTGGCTTTCTGTTCGAAAAAAATGATCCATATTTTAAACCTGCTGCAGAAACAGTTATTAATAACTTCATTACTTTCTACAAATGAAAATGATGATGTTAATGTGGTACAGTGAGTAACTGATGTGCTTCCATATTAAAATACTATTAATATCGGAGCAGGCACACTTATTATCCTACTGTAGAAATACAATTATACTCTTCTATTACATTCGCCAATCACGTAACGTGGGTGCGTCCTCACTAAAAGGATGTTTTTACTGTAGATAACATTTTTATGTTTCGGAAGTAATGTTCACAATTATTGAATAGAATTCAAGACTTAATAACATCTGGCCAAATTATAAATATATAGTACAGACATCCAACAATGTATAACATGCCTCTCATTCCGACCAGAAATAAATATTAAGGGGCATTGTAAAATGGATGAAAGGCGTTTGGATTGTGACTACATTTTTAGTTAGTGAGTGTGACCCAGTGGGTAAAGGAAGGGTGATGAAGAAAAACCCCATTGCCAGGGAGTAAGCTAAGTTACCAAAACTACCTTTTTAATTTGTACAATGGTCATCATCCCATTGTACAGTGTTACGGAATCTGATGGCGCTATATAAATAATAAAATAATAATCATCTATCGAATATCCTGTGTTGCTGTTAATGAAGTCTTGTTTTTCTGTATTGACTGACAAATGTAGAACATAGGAAAACGGATGTAGCTACATGATGGATTAGGAAGGATCCAATGAAATGATATACTTATAGAGTTATGGGTTTTGGCTGTGAAACAGCTACCATTCTACATGACCAATTACTTATTGTTTTTATTTATTTATTTTTTGTTTTGTTTTTTGTGGTTTGAACAATTTTTGGTTTGATCAAAGTCAAATGTCTCGACTGTTTTCATGTTAATAATAGTGTGTGTGTGTGTGTGTAATAAACAAATTATCTGTAAAATAAATCATTTACATTTATCATTAGATGTCTTCTTTTTCTATCTTCTTTTCTTCAGCCCCCAAAAAGGTCATAAAGTCATGTTGCAAGCAACTATTTAAATAAAAAGGGACCCGTTTGCCAAAAAAATACCACATTGTAAAAAAAATCCAGACGAAAAGACAATCCCTCTTGCCCTACGTGGGATCCGCCGCAGACTGAACTCGTAAGCCTTATAAATGCCATGCAGTTTGAGTCAGAGCGCTCAGATTGGTGGGCTAAGTCAACCAATCAGAGTGCTCTGACAGGCAAATCTTAGACTGACAGATTTAACCTCCCTTATACTAATATGGGGGTCATATTGTTATAATTGGCCAAGGGAGAGGGAGTCATGGGAGGGGCGGGGGGTTTGAAAGTGGCAGGGAGCATAGCTCCCCACTGCTTCTGTTTTTAAATAATATATGGAATGAACTGTGAGCCGGTAGCTCTTACCTTGTTATAACTAAAACAAATGATTGTAAGAAAGAATGAATTGCATGGATGAGGTCATAATAATCCTAGCTATAGGATAAGGCCAGGGACTAGTGAAAGTGTTTGGAGGATTGGGCAGACTAGATGGGCCGAATGGTTCTTATCTGCCGTCACATTCTATGTTTCTATGTAATAATACATAATTTCGATAAATGTAGTCATTTGTTTGGCTGCCAGTTTTCACGCTTATGCAGCTAAAGGTGTAGCATGCTTACCCCCGATACCAGATTGTAGGGAAATGTACAGTTTGTTCTCGATCCCTGGTTACATTGTATGACTATCTAGTTACTTACTTACGCACTTTACGACATCTAGTGGTTACTTTGTATATTGCAACATAGGCATCTTTTTATTGCTAGCTACATTGTATTGCTAATTCAGCACATCTTCAGCTGAATATCATTTTGATATATGATATATATATATAGCTTACAGTCTATCAGAATACCATTAGTATATTTTGTATTTAATTTGTATATAATTATATTCTGAGTAAAGCTAGTATAAGATTTCCTGCATTGCAGACTCCAACTTGGCTATCATCATTTATATTGAGGGACTATGTGTAATGATGTCTTTTGACATGCAATTCTTTTGTATATCTTTTTAGTTCATTGGAAATAAAGGTTATTTCACCACTTATCTTTTCTTGTCTGTTACTATAATTGTATAATCTTTCTGTAAAGCAGAGGTAAGGAACAAAATCAAAATTGGGAAATGTGTCCCTCTTTATACTCTACTTTTGGTTCTTGATTGCTTGCTGACCGTGTCACTTTAAAGGGACACTGTAGACACTGTAGCTGTTATATCTCGTTGAAGTGGTTATAGTGTCTGGAGTCTGCTGAAGCTGTCATTCCATTTATTGTTATACCATTTTTAATGGGGGGTTTTAAACGCAAGTCCCAGCAGCCAATCCCCTCTGTGCTGCTTTGGCTAATGGTAAAGAGAATTAACCTGAGCAGCAATGGGCAGCTGTGATTAGCTGAGAGTATCAGCTGACCACATTCCACCTATCACAGCTCCCATTGCTGGTATTAATCGGTATGGCTATAAGGAAGTGTGTAATCTCTGCCTTAGCTACACCTCTGGTAGTGGCTGTCCCGGGACTATTATTCAGTGTTAAGATGGCCGAAATATGATTTAAGAAATGAATTCACATGAAATGGCTGTGCAATGTCCGTTTAAAACAACGACCAGTAAGCCATGTGCATAATATTGATACGTTTTGTAACTCTGTTTCCTCCCCAGGTAAGGAGATGAACTTTCACAGATTATTACAACATTATGCTCAGGAGGCGAAACCTGCTCACCACACTGCTCATCGTGCTCCCGTGGGCCCTTCTGTTCACGTTATGGCACCAACACCCAACCACTCGCTACCTCTCTCTCCTAAGGAGTAAGTCAGAGACACTGTATGTGACTGTAATACTTCACAGGGCGTCAGTTCTTCCAATCTCTGGAGAGAGGCAGTAAAGGGGACTTATCACTTTTTTAACCCGAAGTTTAAAAGTATTTCTGTTCTCTTACTCTTGTATCCTAGACCGTTACTAATCCAGTAACATTATAAATTAGTAATCTTCTTGCTACTTTATACATCAGTGATTATTAGCCTGTTTTGGAAGGGGCCCAAATAATATACTTTACACTAGTTTGGGAACCCATTCTTCAATTGCAAAATTAACTCAGTGACCCATTCTAGCAGTATATTATAATTAAAGGATCACTATAGTGTCCCCCCCCACCCTCAGGGTTCTCCTACCGCTGGGCTGAAGGGGTAAAAATCCCTTCAGCTACTTACTTTAATCCAGTGCCGGACTCCCTCTGTGCTGGTGACCTCTCCGCTGACGTCAGCTCCCGAGTGGAGTGGAATGCAAGAGCCACGCGCGCATTCAAACAGTCCATAGGAAAGCATTTCTCATGGCAGCTTTCCTATGGACTTTCTGCACGCTGAATGCGATTTTCGCATCCAGCGTCGCAGAAGCGCCTCTAACGGCTGTCAGGAAGACAGCCACTAGAGGCTGGATTAACCCTGCAATGTAAACATAGCAGTTTCTCTGAAACTGCTATGTTTACATCTGAAGGGTTAAAACCTGGGGGATCTGGCACCCAGACCACTTCATTGAGCTGAAGTGGTCTGGGTTACTTTAGTGTCCCGTTAATAATACATTTACTTTAGCAAAACATCTCTGTTAGACTCTTTATCATGTCATTGAGGTCTCAGTTGGCCTGGGGGTGCCGTGCAGTTACTGTAGCCTATTAATTTGTGGATGTTTTCCTGGGATCTTCTGAAAAGGATTGGCTCGTCTCAACCACAGTAGGGACACAATCAAATACCATAGAGATATAACACAGGGACCCACATTTCAGTCCCAACCCTGGGTGTAAGAACCACTTATATCATTTGTATTTGCAGTCACGCCACTTTCCCAAAATAAAAAGCAATATTAAAACATTCGTAATAAAAAAATGAAACCACTTTAAACCTCTTTCTCTTTGGACACCCCTTTGCCATATACATCCTCATAGAACAATGTTATTCACCAACATTTTCCCAGCTATTTTCTTTCCTAAAATCTCCATATCCTGGGAATGTCTTGCAGGGATACTGTGTTTTCCTTCAGTCAGTGACTGATCTATGCAGCTTGGCTTTGTGATTACTTTTTTCTGCTTCATATAAATGTTGTTGACCTTTTTATAGCATCGAGTAAAATTGAGCAGACACAATTTCACTAACTCGATGAAATGTAATCTTTTTTTTTCCTGCTTCTTCTCTAAATGCAATAACCTTTAGGAATGGTGGCTTGGTAATCCTTTAAATGATTATGTATAGTCTTCTTCACGCACAGCCATTACTTTCTGTAATGTACATTACCCACTGCTCGCGGACAATTAAATACCTGAAAACTGATTTTCTACAGTTCCCCCTGAGGCACGTCATTAGGAGAGCTTCTCCTTTTAGTACTGTATCAAGAATCAAATTCCAGCCACTAGTATCCAAAATATGTTTCATTTCACAAGGTTTCATTGGCCAATTGAGCAAAAAGCAATGTGTGTTTGGAAGTGAACGCAATACACTTAAAAAGAGAAAGATATGATATGTTGTCATTTATAAGGTCCTGTTAGTTCAATAAAATTGGTAAATCCTTATTTAAAGGGTTACTCCAAACAACATAACCACTACAGTGTGTCTACTCTTAGCCAATGAATGGTACACTGTTCAAAAACAGGCTTTTTTTTATTTTTTATTTTTTTTACAGAATTGACATTAGCTAGCTTGGAAATTTAGTTCCGGGCTAGCTGATGACACCCCACGATGCTGACATAGGTGGAGTTACATCGCCAGTAGCCGAGGGGTTAAACACACCACATGCGTTGCGTTTCACAGCGAAACGCTGCACATACAGACTCCACCCATTTTAGCACTGAGGCCTCAATTTAATATTTTTTCCATAAGCTTTTCAGTTGATTTCAGATTTTGAAAAAATACTTTTGTAGTTTAATAATTTGATACTTTGTTTTACATGTTGATATATTTTTTAACATTTTAATATTGTGAATCATTTGAAAAGCCTATCCAACAATATTACATTGAGGCCTAAATTTGAAAATCAGTTTGAATTCATGTTATGCATTAAAATCCAAATTGTAGGGAATCAAAACTGAATCTAAAATACTAAAACAGTGGCTTTTTAATCTCAAAATCGGTTATTTTACATTTTGCCATTTAAATTTCAATACTCTACAATTCCGAGTTGAGGTAAAGATCTCCTTTACTGAATCACCCTTCGAGTTTTTATTAGTTTTAAATGTTGCACTAGAGAATAAGAGACTCTAGCTACACCCGGGGTATGTGCGGATATTTCTACCTACACGTTCCTCTTTAATTGTAGTTGTTAGTCACTGTAAGCATCAGGCAGAGGGATCGGTAGTGCCAGGAATACAGCTTTGTATTCCTGGCACTACAGTATCCATTTAATGCCTCCATTAGGGAGGAAGAGGTAAAGACAGGAAAAGCACAGTGACCTGAAGGGTTTACAATTTATTATTATAAAATTCTAAAAGGCCAAATAACCAACATACTAACCTCATTATGTAATGCTGTAAATATATAGATAACATACCGGTCAAAACTCTTATGGACTCTAAAACAATTTTACTTCAAAACCTGGCAAAGTTCCTGCCCTCTTACCCTCCTACAGACCAATAACATTACTAAATAATGACTTTAAACTTCTCACTGCCTGCCAAAGATGGGGTACATTGACGTTGTGGCAGGCTTATGCAATGTATGATCATATACTGTAACTAAACCCCCATTAAATTTTTTTGCCTAGATTAGGTGTTTTTAATAAAACTGAAAATTGTTCAGCATTAAAATGACTGTTTAGTAGATAAGCGAGTGCGCTGGATTTTCATTTTAAACTTCTCACTAAAATATTGGCCTATAGACTGCAGCAGTTCCTAACCTCCATTTTATATCCCTAACAACTGGGGCAATTCATCCAGGGAATTAGAACTGTGACAGCCACAGCTTCTATATATGACGATCACTTTAATAAAACGCAAGCAGTTGTTTTAAGTCCAAATACCCAGAGAGCATTTGATCATGTGTCCTGGCCTCATCTCTTAAAAAAAAATAATTTGGTATTAGGTTCTTAAATTTCATGAAATTCTTATACAGGTATATACCCAGCAATTCACAAAAATAAACTCGAATGGCCTAGACTCAAAAGATCTTTCGATTATGAGAGGGGATTACAACAGCCCTGAGATTAGGCCCAGACCCACCAATACATTAACAGACACCAACTACTTTGTCATGGACATGTCAAACTTTAAATATCTAGAGGTGTTAATCCCCAAAAAAGGTCCACCCTACGCAAAATCAATATGGCACCGCTTATGACCAGGGTGAAAGATACTCTTTTCAGATAGGATCACCTCCCTTTAACTCTCTAGGAGAGAGCCACCCTTTTAAAATCAATGATAGTATGAAAACTCATATATCCACTACAAGCCTTACCAATACTACTCTCATGTTCAGATGAATAAACCCTAAACAAACTAATTTCTACATTTCTCTGGGAACAAAAACATCCACAAGCTATCTCAACCAAGATTTAACCTGGGTTTAGATCTTCCAAATATAAAATTGTACACATTAGAAGCACGCTTCTGACAGCCTTAGACTGAATAAAAGGACCAGGTCAATTCAGAGTAGTACACACAGAAACACAGCTCTATCCTAATGTGGCACTCTTGCAATTGCCACACACCCCATATAATTCCCTTCCAGAGGAGGCACAAGAAAATCCTCTATTAAAACATGGAAATTGGTGAGAAAACTAATGGGACTGCAATGGCAATATATCGGGTTTATAACTTACTTACGCAACCCATGCTTTCAGGATGTGGAAGCCAATAATCTCATACCGCTCTTGGGAAACCGCAGGCCACACCACCATTTATAACACAAAAAAACAATATTATAATTTCAACAAATCAAACACAAATTTCCTGACCTTGGTTTTCCCTTCCTTCCATACTTACAGTCAGACATGCAGCCTAATCAACTCGATAATTCCACATCTTAGTCCGGAAGATTGGAACCACTCTATAGACTACCCACTTACACAATCAGCGACTTCATCCTATTTAGTTAGCTCACTTTATTCCCAAATCAGGCCTAACTTAGACCACTCAACTACACAATCACGATTATCAAGATAGATAACAAGTTCCAACATGGACACATAATACACTCAAAGCAACAACTATCAAGCTGCTTAAAATACACCCAACAGCAAACACACTTGAAGATTGCACACCCCGCATTCTACTCCCCTCAAAAACTATTTTCCTTAAAGCTGAAGGACTCGGCCAGATGCCAAATATGTGGGACACACAGAGCAGACCTATATTACTGTTTTTGGGAATGTGCACAGATTAATGTATTCTGGAAACATATAGATAATTATGTAACACAATTACTAGACTTCTCCATTGCTGGCAGCACTAGGAGTAAAAATTGCAAAAACAATGTTCTGAAACGAGTCCATATAATCATAGCAGCAGTTCCATCATTGGAAGTAAGAACGTTCAGGTAGACCTGTGGATGACAGAGCTTCTTTTAGTGAATCCCAAGTGGAGTAAGCTGGAAGACGGTCTATAACAGAAATACTCTGTATCTGTATATCAATGTTCTAAATAGAACACTCTGCAACCAGTGGAAGGATGGCCTAGAAAACACATCTCTCTTTGGTACATACAAAAACCCAGGTTCTGTCTGTGTGTGTGCATATTGTGAACAGCACTAGAGCATATCAAGGAAATGTTATTTGTGACTGCAAATAATAAAATATATATACTTTTTTTTACTCTCCATTATTACAGAAGATATAGGTGACAATTCTACAGCCAAACCCATTCTCAGCAATGTGACAAAAGAAGAAAGTCTTCAATGTATCCACCAGCAATCCACTCATGAGGCACCTGTGGTCATAAGGACGTATGTATATTCCCGACCTCCTCCTTGGTCTGAGGATGTCCCTATTATTTATGTGATAACTCCAACCTATTCTCGGCCTGTACAGAAGGCTGAACTGATAAGACTCCTAAATACTTTTCTGCATGTTGTGAATTTACACTGGATTGTGATTGAAGATTCCCCGCGGAAAACCAAACTGGTGGCCAACTTGTTGGAGAAAGCAGGGCTCAACTTTACCCACCTGAACGTGGAGAGCCCACACAACTTAAAGATAGGTCTTACAAAGTCTCCCAATCATACACCACGAGGGACAGTGCAGAGAAATCTCGGTCTACGATGGCTTAGAGACAATATCAATGCTTCCAATCCATCTGATGGGGTTGTATACTTTGCTGACGATGACAACACATATACCCTGGAACTCTTCGAAGAGGTAAAACATTTAAAACAGCTTCTAGCAAAAAATATATATATATTTCACCATTAGGAATGACTCTGAATTCTTTAGTTGATTCGGCATAATATATATGTTTTTTGATTGTTTAGGGCACTTTTGATGCACTTGTTTGCACTTTATATTTTTAAAGGTATAGCACACCTTTTTTGTATTTTGATAATATATCTTAATTTATATGTGTAATTATTTTTTTGAAGGAGGCCAAATCACTTTTAACGTGGAAATTTCTATTTTACATGTGACTGAAAAATTAAAAAGACTGTATTTTTTTTTTTTTTGCTTTTTGAATTGAGGTTTAATTTCTGCTTAGTGCACCTTAATAGTTAAGGTGCCTCTATCACTGTGTTCACAATTGGAAGTAATTCAAAAAGTGATCTTCATTGAGGAATTTCAAAGAACTCTTTACGTAAATCTCTGCTTAGGTACGTTGGCTAAAAGCAATCATAGAGATAAAGGATATGATTTTGGGAGTCAGGTTTAAGAGGTATTTTAATCTATAAAGAGTATTTTCATATCAAGGAGATTATCACTCAAACCAAATCGTTTGGAATATTCAATAAATATGATACTTTGGAAGAACATTAAGTATTTATTATTGCAAGGAACACAAACCCAGTGGAATATTAATAAGTATAAAGAAAGACAATGATTAATGTCCCTCATTAACATATCAAGCATTTTGTATACAAACTACATTCCAGCTCCCATATGGTAGCCACTTCTACGTGGGGCTATTTATCAAAATCCCCCATGTGCACAAAGGATTTGGGACTTTCATTTTCATTTGATAAATAAGCTACTGTGCTGGAATATTTCCGTGATAATTAGTACACGTGTTTTTGCGTGTATGTAAATCTTGTTCTGTTGTGTTTCCACAAAGCTCCTGGGATGCTGTGCAGAGTAAACGAACAAGAACAAATGGCTTTGTAGAACTTTTCGATATTCTGTCCACATTTTTGCTGTAGCCTGCCATTTTCAACATAGCTTCTCAACCAAGGTGTAGCCTGGCACAGCTGATTTAGTTATTTGAGGTTCTTCAGTGTGCTGCTGGACTTGATCACACATGGTAATCCTTCATATAACCAGCGTACAGACTTTACATGTTTTTTTAAGAATGTTTAAAAACACAATTTTCAGATGAAAAAATATGTAGGTATGGTTATATGCTTAGTTGTACAAATTCTTGTACAGCTTATAAATATCTTTGAATGCTCTTCCAAAATATTCCCTGGGGACTCAGGAGGATAGACCATATATGACCTCTCAGATTTATTTATTTATTTATTTATTTATTTATAAAATATTTTACCAGGAAAGATACATTGAGATTTCTCTCGTTTTCAAGTATGTCCTGGGTCCACAAATCATTGCATTGTTACATTAGGTACAACAAAATACAAAAACAATATTAATACACAATATATACAAAATTTAACATAGAACAGGCAGGAAATATATAATCAACCATGACACGTGCATTCTGTTTTGAGGTATGATGGTATTGATGCTATCATTATTTTTCCAGTAATCTGTGTATTGTAAAAATGAAAAGTGAAAGCGGAAAAGCAATTTTTTCAGTCAAAATGGGCACATTGCAAACACTCTAAGTCAGTAGTTTTACCAGTTGAATAGAGATCTAGAACGTGCAGTTCCCCTGTTAATTCTCTGCAGTTCCCAGATATACTTATTATAACCCTGTCAGTATGAATGTATCTCAGTGTTCCGTTCCCTCTCGTACGGACATGTCATTGTAACTAGGGTTCTCTTCTCCTACTGTTAATGTATGCTCTACATGCTTTGGTAGAATTAAATGTAAATTTTGGTTAACTTTTGCCCAACATTGCAGAATATGTTGGTGCTATATAATTGTGATTAATGCTTGTCCCACGGCCTCTCACTCATAATTTTTCTATTGGTTTTACATTTTTCTCAATTTTTATCTTCATCCCTCTTTCGTCGCTCGGACTTTGTTTCTTTTGTTTTTTCTTGTTGATTTTCATCCTCTTTTTATCCATTTCCATCCTCGCTGTAGTGAGGAATTCCATACACTGCACAGGGAGGCCTCTTGCACCTTCTTATAATGTAATGTCTTTTCAAATATTTCCTCCCAGATTTCCTCCACCTGCTGTAATTGTATAAAATGTTATTCACAAGTCACCCTGCTACTGGCCACACCACCACTCAACTCCCTGTTCTAATTTAGAACCCCATACCACCAGTGTGATACGCTAAGCAAAGTAAAGATTCTACTGTCAATCTGCAATTCGCATTCATTCTCTATGTGACATCTAGACTTTATATAACGTCATATTATGGGATCCATAACACAAGCTAAGAGAACGTACAAGAACATGTGTCATAATATTTATATAAGAAATTCCATTTTCATTTTTTGTACATATTCTCAAATTAAAGGGGGGTTTGTTCACCAGTTTGTCATTTGTGTTGCATCCATTGTCACCATGGCAACAAAATTTGCAACATAAAGGTTTTTGAGTGACAGAGTGGCAGGTGCTCTTTGAATTACCTAACGCTGAAATATATTAACAGCATCTACACTAAACTATTTCAAATGAAATAAATAAGTACACATCATCGGAAAATGCACTTTCCTTTGCAAAGCAAATTTTTTTTAAAAGTTCGTCTTCAGTGAACGGAACCACATTTTGATCTATTATTTATCCCTCCAGGGACTGTAAAGTATACATTAAAGGAGAAAGAGCTGACTTTTTAATGCGTAGACATTATAATTGGTGCAGAATTTTGGTCAACCTTTCCCTTACATTCCTTTAAGTGCATTATTCATTGGATGGAATTGTACTAAATGTTACTCTTGTTGCACACAGATGAGATACACAAAAACAGTAGCTGTGTGGCCAGTGGCCTTTGTGGGAGGCCTAAGATTTGAATCCCCAAAGCTCGATCCAGGAGGGAAAGTTATTGGCTGGAAGACAGTTTTTGATCCTAATCGACCATTTGCCATCGACATGGCGGGCTTTGCTGTTAATCTCCGACTGATCCTCGAAAGGCCACATGCTAATTTTAAGTTGGAAGGTGTTAAGGGTGGCTATCAGGAGAGTAGCTTGCTGAAAGATCTGGTGACCATGGATGGACTAGAGGCCAAAGCAGCCAACTGCAGCAAGGTAACTTTTAAAGATTAATCCAAGTATTGATGTTTTCAGTTAAATCAGCCAAGTGATATGCAGGCAGCTTCTTACAGAAAAACTGCCACATATATATAAAAGTTTATAATGAATTTACAAAACTTAAATATTCACTTTTAGTTGCTTTTTGCTATATACGTTAAGTTTCTTGTTTAATTTATTTTTCATCCAATACCTGTCAACAGAGACATTGAAAGACAAATGCATTCTACTTCTAGACTTGCCCATGTTCCTCGTGACTGTACTTGCTTAGCGAGGGGAAAGGCAAAGGAACTGATAAGTTGCTATCCATGGTATATCCTCTTAACTGTGATTTAATTTCTTGGATTTATCTGAATGTGGTATTTTTTACTTATGCAAATTTATATAGCAGATAAACAGAGTAAGCCTGCAAAAATAGATTATATCGTCATAGATAGAACCACATTCTTCTGAACCTGTAACCTTTGTCATCTTAATGCACCTACCAATATGTGATCCACGTTGGAACCCATTGTGGTGCTCCTTAGTATGAATAAAATTTTTAAAAACTATGTGCCACTGACTCATTTAGTGCTTCAGTTATATGAGAATGTGGTCTGTGCTGTTGTTGTACAGTTAGAGATCTTCTTCGGCTCCTAAACCCCAAGAGCTTATCATCGACTGTAAAAATCCCTTCTTCACTAGTCAGAACCACTTTCTATAAACGCAAAGAACTTAATCATTAAGAGACAGAATGGAAACTGTTTAATTACATCACCCTCAATCTCATCTAACATAATGCACCATGTGAAATTCAAAGAAATTGAGAGCTCTAAATAAAAAGGCAAGCTAATTATATAAAGGTGACAATGTAGAGGTCGTTGTAGGATGTAATAGTCTCTGATGTGTGGCTTCAAATGCAGTAAAATTACCCGTGAAATTAAACATTTGTATTTATTTTAATTGCAAGGGTTTTTTAAAGAAATTTAAAAGCTGGGGGAAGGACCCATTTAGAATAAAATGTTTTCCTTTATAATGCTAAAGAAATCACAATTCTACTACTCGGAGGGTTAAATACGCTAATGGAAATCGAAAATAACCATGAAATTTATTCCAGACTGCGGTCAACACAAGGTTATAGGAAAAAGCTTAAAACAAATCTTATAAACTTATTCAAAATGATGAAAAGAGAATTATAGATTATTTTAAAAAAAAACTTTTTAAAGGACTTTTCTTTATTTTCATGGCAATACGACTTTTCTTTATTTTCATGGCAATACGTATTAGCGCACACTATACTTACCTCGGAAACTGAGATCCTGAATTAAAAAAAAAAAATGAAAAGTCTCTTAAAAATCCCAGAGGTTTATGTTCACTGACGTCAAGCTCTGTTTAAGGTTTGGACAGCTTAAGCCAAGAAGATGAAGATACTCGTTCACATTCAGTCCTTATTAACATCAAATTGGGTCTGAGCTTGAAACCCAATTCAGCTAATCTCATCTTAATGTTTAAAGAATACCAATATCTCAAGTATCCTTCTTCTAGTTCTTTTGTGAATAGACCCAAGATGCTCCACTGTGTATAAAAGCATTCCAATTGGGATTCCTGAGGAGTCTTAATAGCTACAATCCAGGAAGCTCAAAGGAACATTATAGCGTCATGAATATAAATGTGTATTTATAATGCTATAGTGCCCTGTTGGCCATTTAGGTTCCTGAACCCTGTCCCTGCAGGGAATAAAAAAGGTATTTTACTTACATTTTCTCCATCACAGTGCTGGTCTCTGCAGGGACACTCTGCCTCCATGGCTAAGATCATCGAGATTGATAATCTCAGCCAGTCCAATGCTTTCCCATAGGAAAGCATTGGGAGGCTACAGAGCAGACGCTGTGCTGCCCCAATAAGATGGTCTCTGTGAGACAGACCATCTGATTGAAACATCAGAGTTTTACTCTGCTATTTTGATGAAAGTACCTATAGTGGCTGTCTGCGTGACATCCACTAGAAGCATTTAAAAAAAATGTTTTCTCCTGCAGAGTTAAAATAGGAGGAGGGGCGGGGGCGGAGAGGTATGGCACCCAGACCAATAATTGAGATGAAGTGTTCTGGCTGCCTATAGGGTCCCTTTAAACATGTCCTCCATTGGATGGACAGGCCCTTATTTCAGCTATAAATTTACTAAACATTAGGACCAAGTTATCATTATCATTAAATCAGCACAGATTATTATTGAGCCAATCCTCAGCATCTGGCATTTCATTCTAAGACCCTGAGCTAGTGTCCATTCACTGTTGACAATAATCAGAATAATTTACATGTTTACTCGAAGACAGCGATAAACTATAAATTCACTTTGAAACCCTGAGGTACCAGGCCAGACATCCTGTGAACAAACAAAAACACGGACACCCGTGAAAAAAGTGATATAACGCAACAACTTAACTGAAAGGTACACAGCTTCCCAAGGTTATTTCCCAGTTGATAACCTTATAGCAGAACAGTGTGATTGATAGGATATTTGGGATTCTGCTGATGTACCTATAATAGAGGACAAAACATAGTGCAAATATTGCTACACACTATAAAACCGCTGGTAAAAAATATACACTCACATATTCCAAAGAATATAAGCGTGTTCAGGGTGCCTCCCCCTAAGACTGAAAAAGGGGGACTTTTTTATCTGTGAGCCAGATAATCTATCCATTCACTCTAACAAGTAAAAGGACTCTGTAGGCACTATATCTGCTTCATCTCATTAATGTGGTTATAGTGTCTGGAATCCTCTGGCGCTGTCTTTTCATTCAGCAGCCCATCCACTCTATGCAGCGCCAACCCATCCCCTCTTTGCTGATTGGGCTAATGAGGAAGCATTAGCCTTAGCAGAAATAGCTGGCTGTGATTGGCTGAGAGTGTCACCCATTACCGATATGAGTTGGTATGGCTAAAAGGAAGTGTGTAATCTCTGCTTAGCTATGCCTCCACAGGGGCATGGGGCACTTATTTATTGTTGAACTGTTTGAAAATGGTCCCATGTCCCATGTCGTGGGCAGAGATGACCTGTCACAAGGCCCTCAGGTTACAACCGCCACCCACAGTTGGACAGTTAATGCAGCAGTTCAGTTGCTAGTTATCTGTGTTTCATCATAGGGGTCTGGTTTTGGGCGTTGGTAGAACCCTCGTATTTTTAAAACCTCTCATATTGTCTTTAACAAACATGTAGGTTAAAGGATCACTATAGTGTCAGGAAAACAAATCGGTTTTCCTGACACTATAGTACCCTGAGGGTGCCCCCACCCTCAGGGTCCCCCTCCCGTGGTGCTGAAGGGGTTAAAACCCCTTCAGTTACTCACATTCTTTCACCGCCGGGCTCCCTTACCTCTCCTCCCACGCCGACGTCAGCTCCCCCGTCTGACGTGAGCGGAGCGGAATGCGCATGTGTGGCAGTGCCGCGTGCGCATACAAAGTGTCCATAGGAAAGCATTTCTCAATGCTTTCCTATGGACGCTCTGCGTGATGGAGGCATAATATGCCTCCAGCGTTGCAGATGCACCTCTAGTGGCTGTCCGGAAGACAGCCACTAGAGGCTGGCTTAACCCCAAATGTAAACATAGCAGTTTCTCTGAAACCGCTATGTTTACAGCAGGCAGGGTTAACCCTAGAGGGACCTGGCACCCAGACCATTTCATTGAGCTGAAGTGATCTGGGTGACTATAGTGTCCCTTTAATCTCTTTGCACCATAACTATTATAACGATCTCTAGAGTTCTTAGAGTGCCCATTTAACATATTAAATAAACAAGCTTGAGAAAAATAGAAGCTTTGTAATTATAACATTTGAATAAAATGTTACTTGAATAATTATCAGAGCTGTTATTCAAGTTCCAGAACTGTGTAGTTCAGAAAAGAATTTATAGAAAATGTAAAAGTTGCTTTATATTGTCAATTAGTGAAAAATAATGGGCTGGAATAAAAAAAGAAATTAATTGCGGCTGGAAGGGTTTCCATTTAGAAACTCGTGGTTTATATCATTAATTTGCAGGAATAGTGATAAGCCTGGCATTTATGTTTCAAATTAAAAATGAGAACCATCTGTCATACACCAGTTGGTGTGTATCACCATTATATCTATCAACTCAAGGCCTTTTTCAGGTTTCACTGGGCTGGGTGTATTTTGGGTGTAAACTGAATCCTTAAAACGTATAGAGGTTCCAGAAGAGCCCACAATCTAGAGCAGGGTTATCCAAAAGGTAGATCCCCGGGTGTTGTAGACCTACAACTCCCATGATGCTTTGCATTCTTGTAGAATGCCTTTAGAATTACGTAGCAATATGATAATCTCAGCTGGTCAGAGTGGCAGTCATAGTGAGACTGTCACACTGTGTGTTAGAAGGTAATTAAAATGTTATTTAACCATTTCAGGATGCAGTAATCTAAACAGCCATGACCACTCAAATGGTTAAAAAGAAAGGTTTGTATTTCTAAATTGTGGTTTTAACACTATTGGGTCAGGAATACATGTTTGTGTTCCTGACCCTATAGTGTTCCTTTAAGAGTTTTCCTTTACGAGGGAGTGCCCAAAGAGAGGCTTAATGTATTTACAGTAATTTTTATAAGGATACAATTGTTTTAAAAAGTACATTTCAGGATAATTGAATTTAGAAGATAACAACCTGTTTTGTGAATAAAATGTAATCCCTGTTATTTCATCATGACCGTCATCTCTTTTAGATTTAAAACAAAATAACTGGTATTTGGTGTATTTAAAGGGACACTATAGGCACCCACATCACTTCACCTTACTGAAGTGCTCTGGGTGCAATGTCCCTTTTTACATTGTTTACATTGCAGCTCTAAGTCTGCCCCCTGTGGCTGTCTACCACACAGTCACCGTGGGCTGTTCCTGGAACGAAACTGACCTTTGTTTCGGTATCTGACACTGGACGTCAGATTGATTCAATGCTTTTTTATAAGGATGTCTAATGCGCTTTAGCACCCGCTTGTTGCGGGACATCGGAGGAGGCGAAGTGTCGACCAAGTGCCGAGGGACATCAGCGCTGGGATCAGATAAGTAAATAAAGGGGGCAGGCAGGGGAGCGATAGGATTGTTTTCCTGGCATATATATCCCCAATGACAAAATGCATGCATTTGGGTTATCTCTACTAAACAGTGACTATTTTTTTTATTTATTTTGTATTTTAGCAGTGGGATGTCCCTTTAAATATAGAAATTCATGCTGCTGTATCCCGGAACTGGGTGTCTCCATTTAGACAGACAATGTTATTAGATCTGTCCTTTGCATCTAGCAGTTAGACAGAGCACAAAGAGAGGAGGAGACGCAGAAAATACTTCTGATCCAGATCCAGTAGAAACGTTATGGTTATGTCCATAAGCAGACCCATGTTTGCCATGTTTGCCATGTTTGCCATGTTTGCCATGTTTTTATAAATTTTGGAAACCTTGACACCCTGTAGGACATAACGTGATTGTTGTACCTATTGCAGGTCCTGGTTTGGCACACAAGGACCGAGCGACCTACACTTGTGAATGAAGGGAAACGAGGATTCACAGACCCAAATATTGAAGTCTAGCCATACGGATCCTCCAGCTGTGTAAGTGCCCTCACTCAGTGCCCTCAGTGACTTTGTACAACTGAAAGATATAAAGGTTTTTTACCAAAGTGAGTTTCAAACTAAGGTCAAAATATACAAAGTGGAAAAAATCTCTAAGTCAGATATGGTTTCAGTTTAGCTACTTTGAATTCTCACATTAGTGAATAACCCTGATGGTCAGCTGCAGAGAGATGCTGGAACGGTATCAGGTGGAGAGGGTGGGAGTTTAATGGCAAGTGGCCTTATCATCTTTGCTAGTGTAAAAAAAAAAGTGTAAACATACCCCACTGTAAACATACCCCACTTTCAATACCTTGGGTTGTCTACTTTTTCAAATGGTATGCCATTATGGGGGTAATTCTCATTCCTGGGCTACCACACCGTCTCAAAATCTTATTTTCTCACATTTTTTTAAATTTTATTCATAATAAATTTTGTTCCATATATGAATAGTTAATGATAAAGTAAAGCCCAGTTTCTCCTGAACAAAATGATATATAATAAGTGTGGGGGCACCTAATGTGACAGCGGTGAATTACGGTTGGACAGACATATAGCGCAAATTCCAGTTTTTGTTTACGTTTTTGTTTTGATCAGAACGTGCACTATCGACTCCATCCTGAAGGGGTTAATATATTTTATTTATTACTAGTATATACAATTCCTGCTTTAGGCAATAATCCTTTCTGTTATTGTTTGAATAAATCCCCGTAAAACCATTGACTGTTTTTTATTTTTATTTTAATTATATTCTTAGGTAAGCACAATGGAATGAAAACGCACTATTTCTGTACTTTCGGGAAAACAAGGGAATACCCATAAAAGAGACACGTGCACAGGACGAAGACATACATTTGTGGTTCTTCGAGGGCAACAGTGTTATTAATTGTAACTATTTTTTAAATCTTCGAATCCTGAATCAACAGTTGCATACATTTGTAAAAGGGAAAAAAAAAAAGAAAACCTGATTTTTAGTTTTTTTTAGTTGAAAGCAAGTTGCTGCTGCTGATAGTATTTAATAAATAAAGACTGAAACTGAGAAATAAAAGGACAGAAACTTAGTAAAAGACCTTATGTTAAACCTCTTGTATGAAGACAACATATGTTGAACCCTCTTCAGAGATCTGGGTCTGTGTACCAAAGCTAATTAAAACGTTCCTGTTCTTTGCTGTTTTGTCAAATGTAGGGCGCTTGTTAATCGCATTTACATAGGACTGACACATTCAGAGACAGAAGGGCTTATGCCCCATCTGACGCAACAGATTCTACTGGCTCTAATTAAAAACAACAAAAAGGTACAAACAGAACCCCAGTGCGTCTTATTCTTGTACATGTGAAACAGAACTCATTATCAAGTCTTCCCGCTGTCACTCTCAGAACCGCACAATGGCAGACACCCAGAACTAACCAGAGGCGACAGATGGAGTTTCAGTGTCAGCTCTCCAATGGTCCTGGCGGCCGAGGTGTTAACCGGAAATTAGAATATAGAACATATCATATTATATGTGTAATTCTATCTTGGTTGTATTGTCCCAAATTTTACAAGCCAGGTGTTAGTTCACAACATCGCTCTGAATAAATGCCATAGTCTCAGGACAAATCCATTAGCGTCATTAAAATTTTTACCTAGGGATCTATTCATAATAGTTCATTGTTCGCCAGGTTCTGCTGACACTATAACAGCTTCCAAATCCGTAATATATAATTTAGTCACCATTTACCATACAAATGAATTATATGTGTATTTGCTTTAGAAGCTGCTGTGATTATACTTACCCTCTATAATGTGTGCCTGCGCAGTTACATTACTAGCCCATCTCTGATGCGATTGGTTCTGCTCGCAATGATCATTCGTGATTTTGAAACCACAGATAGTATCTGTGGCTATTGGGAGTTGCAGGGCATGTGCCCTTACCCAAATCAGTGGCTGTACTGGGAGTTTTTAACAATACTGAATAGCAACCAGATAGACAGACAGATTTATAGGACAGAGAGATCGTAAGATCATTTTTTGCTGCACTCGAACAAATTATATAAATAAAATGTATAACGAGCTTCTCTAATTAGAATGTTTTGTTTTTTTTGTTTTTTTTTAAATATGTTCTATCCAAATTGCATATGTAGAGCTGAAATAGTACTTCTATTTATTTTAATTTTTTTAAATTTCCTTAGCCTTCATTCATGTTCTATAGTAAATATTGCATTAAATGAATCCAAAGGCAGCTTCACAAAGTATCCTGCAAGGCTAAGCACGCACCCATATTCTACGATTGTTGATTATTGGGGGGAAGAGGGGTGCTCTTTCTGCTGCCCGTGTCCTGTCCATTTCCAACTTTTCATATAGTACACAGAGATTTGCAGAGGGAAGTAAATTTAAGGCCTGGCTTATATCGTAGGACTTGAAACTTTGAGCCGTGTTGTGCGTAGAATCCCAAACTATCCCCCAACCCCTAGCTGCTATTTTATACCACACTGTAGCTGTGAGCAATGCAGGCTCCTGAACAGTGTGGGAAGGGGAGGTGGGATGATAGAATCTATTGTCTTTGTATGTGAGGAAGAGGGACCGAATTTAACTCCTGATAAAAAAAAATGGCTTCTCAGTCAGAAGAGGACCTGTCCAGAATCAGGGGGCAAACTAACCTTTTTTTTTTTTTTTAGGCTACTGTGTTATAGAGCTTTTAAACTAATCTTTGCACCTTTTCTAATCATTATTTATTCTTGCTTTGCTCTTAAGTTGTAAGATGGGATGCCCGTTACATATTTTTATGCATTGTATATTAATATTATACATGTCTAGTTAAAAAAATCAAAGTGTTATGAATAATTTTTTCCCCCCAATAATTAATATGTTCTGCCATGAAATCTTTTCATGCATGAAGTTACAGTCTTTGGATTTGTATCAGTAAAACTGGAAGACTGGGCACCGACACTATCCGTTTCTTGTAGAAAATGAGATCATGTTATTTAACAGTTTACTGATGGCTGGAATTGTCTCAGTACTTTAATGCATTGCTTAGATAATACATTAGCAATATGTAAGAAATAAAATACAAGATGCTTACTTTTAAAGTTCCTGTTGCTTCTTCCAATATAGTACAAGCTGAAGAAACAGACAGGACCCTTTAAGGCAAGGAAGAGGCTCCACCAATCAGAGACGCTGATTCTTTCTTATCCCAGCCATAAGTCATATCGGCCGAGTGACTACTATCCTCCTATTCAGACCTTTTTTGCAGGTTTATGAGCTTTTCACTGGGCTACGTTCTTCTGAACCGCACATCTGCTGGGAGAGCTTACATGCACAGTTTGGCATAAAAGTAAATCCCAAGAAAGTCTAAATAATATATAGTTAGATTAATGTTCTTAAACAGATTTACTGGCAAGTCCAATGTATAGAATAAATGTTATTTTCTTTAACCCCTTAAGGACCAAACTTCTGGAATAAAAGGGAATCATGACATGTCACACATGTCATGTGTCCTTAAGGGGTTAAAGGGACACTCCACTGCCCAAATTAAAAAATAAAGAAATAACTAAAATTCACTGTTTTGTACAAGGGGTGCCCAAAAGGTAGATCCCCAGATGTTTTAAAACTGTAACATCTATGATGCCTTGTCATTTTAAACTCACGCAAAGCATCATGGGAGTTGTAGATTTACAACATCTGGGGACCTACCTTTTGGGCATCCCTGGTTTAGTAGATATCCCTCATTAAAAACATGCATGCTTTAATCACGTATATTTTTATTGGGGGATATATCTAAAAAAAAAAAGCTTGTAAAAGTTGCAGATCTCTTGTCTGCAGCCTTTGCAAACCCTCCCCTTCTAACCCCGCCCAGACTTTCTGTGGCTGTCCAATCACAGACTTCCCAGTGTAGCTTAATGAGAAGTCTTTGCTCTGGGCAATTTCTGTCTCTTGAGTTTAGCTCCACTAAGCTAAACAAACCAGGAAATAACTTGAGTCTGAAGAGTCCCTTTACACTGAAAAGTTATGCTGATCTCCACAGGTGCACTTTAAAGGGACACTATAGTCACCTGAACAACTTTAGCTTAATGAAGCAGTTTTGGTGTATAGAACATGTCCCTGCAGCCTCACTGCTCAATCCTCTGCCATTTAGGAGTTAAATCCCTTTGTTTATGAACCCTAGTCACACCTCCCTGCAAGTGACTTGCACAGCCTTCCATAAACACTTCCTGTAAAGAGAGCCCTATTTAGGCTTTCTTTATTGCAAGTTCTGTTTAAGTAAGATTTTTTTTATCCCCTGCTATGTTAATAGCTTGCTAGACCCTGCAAGAGCCTCCTGTATGTGATTAAAGTTCCATTTAGAGATTGAGATACAATTATTTAAGGTAAATTACATTGGTTTGAACGTGAAACCAGTTGTTTTTTCATGCAGGCTCTGTCATAGCCAGAGGAGGTGTGGGCTGCATAAACAGAAACAAAGTGATGTAACTCCTAAATGACAGTGAATTGAGCAGTGAAATTGCAGGGGAATGATCTATACACTAAAACTGCTTTATTTAGCTAAAGTAATTTAGGTGACTATAGTGTTCCTTTCAGACCAATTAGTGAGGTATTATAACTGCTCCCCTCAGCTATGTTTTGTAAACATATCTAAAATATATAACAAACGACTATAACTTTGCACAGCTTCTTATAAAAAATATTTTAAATAATATTGTAAAAAGTATAAAACCAGGAAAAAATATTTAATTTAAATTGTTTGGATGATGAAACCTTTGTATTTGGTTGGGGTTTTTTTCAGTATAAATTGTGTTTTAAATTCTCTGATTAAAGACAAATTAACGCTAATTATTAAAGACAGTCTCTGTTTGAAACGATGTGTCCATGATTGACGTAACCCTTTAGTGATTATTCATTGTACAGCAGGTGGTATTTTATTAATTTTATTTTTTTTATTAACACTTATATAAATTTCAGATTTGTAACAGCTGTCAAAAAGGCTTGGAATAGAGTTGCTAACAGGGATTTTTATAAACCTTTTCAAAGAGTGAAACTTCAAGTCGCTTTCCTGCAAGTGAATGTCGGATTGTGGAGATGTTAAAAAAGCACGTTGCGGGGGCGTGGCTAAGCGCTCGAGCTGCACGGTCGCATGCCGGAGTAGCTCCCGCCGCTCAGGACACAAGGGGCACCCAAATAACCGGGCTACCGAGCGCCAGCACTAGCGAGACGGCAGACTGACACCTACCATGTCCCAGAGACAAAAGCCGAAACCAGCGAGGACGGATAAAGCGTCCTTCTTTCAAGCGAAAGCCACTTCACAAAAAGCGCGGGAAGACGCCGATCAAGATGGCGGCCCGCCACGATCCCGGGAGGGCTCTCCTGCATCCCCAGCTTCCCCAGCACCAACTGCTGAGGACCAACCACTCACAGTGGCAACTATGAGAGGTATGATGACAGAGCTCACAAACACAGTGCAAAGAAGCCTTAAGGCTCAAATGTTGACACTGACAAACGAACTTAGGAAAGACTTGCAGGACATAGGGACACGCACTGCACATCTAGAATCCAAGATGGACGAATTTTCCATGGCACATAACAGTGTGGCTGATAAAATGCAGGAAATGGAAGATGTCATTACAGCTCAAAAGATTAAGCTGGCAGACCTGGAAGATAGGTCTAGGAGGAACAACCTCCGATTTAGGGGGATACCTGAAGCAGTTACAAATGCGGACCTAGATAAATACTTGCAAGACATGTTCCAACAGATGACCCCAGAACTACACCCGGACCAACTTCTGCTGGACAGAGCACATCGCCTCAGAAGACCTAGTCACCTACCCAATACAGCAGCGAGAGACGTCATAGCAAGAGTACATTTCTTCCATGCCAGAGAAAGAATTATCAAAGCCAGCAGGAATAGAGGGATGCCGGAAAAATTCTCCAACATCAAAATCTTTTCCGACCTTTCGGCAGAGACATTACAATACCGCAAATCTCTGGCACAAATCACGCTATCACTGCGCAACCAAGGAGTAAACTACAGGTGGGGATATCCGGCCAAGCTGCTGGTCTACCATGGAGACTCCCTCCACGCCATCACATCAGCGACGCAAGGCATCAAGATGCTCAGAGACTGGGGAGTCCCGCTGGCAGAGTTACAAAAAACAGGCCCAACGAAAATCCCCCACCTGGCCCAGGATTGGGCATCCCGCTAAAGAGACTGCATGACCGTATGGTATACGTAAGACTCATAACCAATTGTCAGTTATCTTATTGTATTTAACACTCTGTTAATCCGTTTTTTCTTATTTTACTGTTACACCTGGGAAATACGTGGGTATGTACCGAGGCCCCCCTGACCACCTCCCAGGCCGACTAGCCAGGTCCACAACGAGATTTATTCTCGGTTAGACCACGACACTGCCCAAACACCAAAGGTTGGGGAGCCGGGACACTGGAGGCCCACAGGCAGGGAAGTGACGGAAAGGGAGAGAATATCTATATAAAAAAAAACAGGCTAACCACATCAGCACACATGGTGCCCCAACGTGTGCTTGTCACAGGGACACACTCCGCACTGGAAGTCCCAACTCCACCACCCCCCCAGACTGCGTGCGACCCTTGGGCGCCGCAAACAGGCTCGATCCAGAGGAGCCTCATAGGGTTAAGCCCTTTGTTTACCCCTCCCTCCCCCATACATACTGAAACGACACAAAGACAACAGCTAAAGGCTGACCTTACCCCGTCCCCTTCTTGCCTCCATATCATTTTTGCAACAGACATCTACACCGAACTGCCACACAAAGGCTTTCACCGAATCATTGGGTGTAAAACCTAGAACGTAGTTCTTCTAACACAAGTACCAGCTCTTGGGTCACCAACCACAACCACATCATTATGAGAATAGTGTCCTATAATGTTAAAGGATTAAACTCACCGGGAAAACGCAGGTTGCTGTTCCAAGACCTTAAGAAAAACTCGGTAGATATCGCATGCCTCCAAGAAACACACTTTAGACACCCCACAGCCCCAACCCTTTTCACAAAACTATACCCCGTACAGTATCATGCCTTATCAGAGACGAAGACAAAAGGGGTGGCCATCCTAGTGCATAAAGACATCGCCTTCACGCCACAAAGCAGCTACATAGATCCTAAAGGGAGATACATCATAGTGGTAGGGCTCTTCAATAATACACAATACACCATTGGCGCAGCATACTTCCCGAATGACAATCAAGCCTCTTTTCTCAAAGCACTTCTGTCCAAACTAGATACATATAAACAAGGAGGGCTCATCCTGGGAGGAGACTTTAACTTCATTCAGTCCCCGACCTTAGATACTACTGCTTCGCCACAGGGGAAGCGCAAAAAGGGGACCCAAGCCCTCTGCAAGAATCTCACCAACACCTTGACACTGTACAACTTATATGATAGCTGGCGAACACTACACCCTACAGACCGGGACTATACTTTCTACTCAAGGGTCCACAACACGTACACACGTATAGACACCTTCTTTATAGATAACAAGACCATGCCGCAATTGACAGACTGCAGGATAGGGGAGATAACGTGGTCAGATCACAGCCCAATCTATCTGGACGTGGAAGATACCTATCAGACCAGAGGCAGGAACACATGGAGGCTAAACGAGTCCCTCCTATTAGATAAATCGTTTGTAGAACGTATGAAGATAGAACTCAGGGAATACTTCCTTGCGAATGCAACAGGCGAGGTCACGGACTACACAGTGTGGTCCGCACACAAAGCGGTGATGAGGGGCCAGTTCATCAGACAATCAGCGTACATAAAGAGACATCATCAGACCACCCTACTAGAATGCCACAAACAGATAGCGATACACACAGCCCAAAACAAGAAAACACCCACGGCAGCCCTAGCAGACAAATTAAGAGGTCTGTATCAGGACCTAAATGAGCTCAATGCCCACAAGACCCAATATTTCCTACATAGACTAAGAGCCACCACGTACCACCACAGCGGCAAGGCAACCAAATACTTGGCCAACAGACTGAGAACTAGGCAGGCCGCCAATAGAATCCCACATCTTATAGGACATGCAGGAGACAAACTTATGAATCCCATGGACATAGTGCAGGAGTTTGCACACTTTTACAAACAGCTATATAACCTAAACACAAGTGGGGGCGTAACAGCACCAGACACACAATCTATTCGCAGTTACCTACAGGGTGTGGAACTCCCCAAAATAGACCAAGAATCAGTGAGCGCCCTACTCGAACCGATCTCCATACAGGAGATCCGGACAGTAATTAAGAGTCTGCCCTCGGGCAAATCCCCGGGCGCAGATGGTTTCTCAAACAGCTATTACAAGACATTCATAGATATACTAACCCCACACTTGCTCAAGGTATACCATACAGCGACGGAAATAGGATCCCTTCCCCCTGAAATGCTAGTGGCCACGATAGTGACGCTCCCGAAACCAGACAAGCCTACGGATAGCTGCAAAAATTTTAGACCTATATCCCTCCTTAATACAGACGCGAAGATATATGCTAAGATTTTGGCCAACAGACTGGCACCCATCCTCCCAACTATCATAGGAGACGACCAAACAGGATTCATTAAGAGTAGGCAGGGTAGGGACAATACCAGAAAACTCTCCTTGGTGCTGGAAAAATTGAGGGGATCGGGACAGGGTGGGCTATTATTAGCCCTCGACGCCGAGAAGGCGTTTGACAGATTGAATTGGTCATTTCTTGAACACACACTTCAAAAATACGGCATCCCCTCCGAATTTATCAAACAAATATTTGCTCTGTATGCAAGCCCCACGGCCCGAGTGCTACAAGCAGGCTTCCTCTCAGACCCGTTCCCCCTGACAAACGGCACGAGGCAGGGATGCCCTCTATCACCGCTGTTGTACGTCCTGGCCCTAGAACCACTACTAGTCCAAATTAGAAATCATGAGGGCATCAAAGGAATAGAGCTTCACAGCAGGGAAATTAAAATTAGCGCATTTGCAGATGACATACTCCTTTGTGTCACTGAGCCCGAACAGTCGACCGCACTCATCTTAGATCTCATCAGGGAATATGGCAAGAGGTCTTACTACTCTCTCAATGCCAGTAAGACGCAAGCGTTGGGGGTTCGGCTCAACCACCGAACCCTGACTGCCCTCAAAGAGAAACATCATTTTGAGTGGAGGATGGATACAATAAAGTATCTAGGACTGACCTTTACGAAAAACCCTACAGAGACCTTCTCGGCCAACTACGTTAGGGTGGGGGGTGAATGCCGTCAATTGATGAAAAAATGGGGCACACTGTTTCTAACCTGGACGGAGAGAGTAGCAACCATCAAAATGTCCATACTTCCTAGGCTTCAATACCTGTTTCGCAACCTACCGATTCAGGTACCCGCATCCTATCTCCGAGAAACACAAAGAGATATAAACAGATTTGTGTGGGGGGGTCAAAAAGCCAGAGTAAAAGGAACACTACTACGAGCATCAGCGAGACAAGGTGGCCTAGCCTTACCGGACATTAAGTCATATTACCAAGCAGCAATGCTAGCAACACTTCTTCCCCATTTCATGACCACAACCATACCGCAGTGGGTGCACTTAGAACAACTAGCGGTCAGGCCCTTTGATATACCCACCCTATTGTGGCTTCCAAACCGGTTTAGACCAGCAGTGGCACGGATGCCAGCACAGATTAAAATAGCACTGAACACCTGGGACAAAATCCGACACAAACTAACATCCCACACCCTATCACCGGCCACCCCGCTCCACACTATAACATATTGTATCCCAACCTTCAACGAAAAGCCCTGGATATCAAACGGGGTCACTCACTTGTACCAAATGCTCTCACAGAACACACTAAAAACCTTCCCAGACTTACAGAAAGAGTATCATGTGCCGGCGGCCTCTCAATTTTCCCATATGCAACTAAGCTCGTTTTTGCGTAAACACACAGACAAACCCCCACCTTCAGAAGGCAGTCTACCTGTTATGACAAAATGGGAACAGATGACCACCACTGGTTCACAGACACCAACGTTTAAACCACTGTCCTGGTGCTATCAGATTCTCAGACCCACACAACACTTTGCTGACTCCAACCCAGCCAAACATTGGATACGAGACTTACAATGCCACATAAGTAAAGACCAATGGGAACGCACCATAGTAGCAACTAAGAAACTAATCAAATCAGAAACCCTCCTGGAACAATATAGGAAAACTCTATACAGGTGGTACATGGTACCAACTCGCTTACAGAAGCTATACCCAAGCTCATCTCCGACATGCTGGAGATGTGGCAAGAGTGAGGGAACAGTGCTCCATATCTGGTGGCAATGCGATCGGGTGACCGGCTTCTGGCAAGACGTTAGCCGCCTGATCCGAAACACCACAAAAGTCGAGCTCCCCTGCACACCCCTAGCGTACCTATTACTGCACATGCCAGACAACACACCTAATGAGGTACAAAAGCTAACATTCCACATACTCTTGACAGCCCAGAGGGCGATAGCTAGACGGTGGAAAAAATGTAGTCCCCCACGAGTGACAGAGGTTTGTACGGACGTAGACAAACAGCAACTATACGAATCCCGATATAGAGGGGTTCTCCCCCTGACAGTAACGGCCATGAAAGCGTGGAAACTGTGGGACGAAGGAAATACGGGAGAGCCCGACAACCAAGCTAATAGGCCCAACACTAGTGGGTAAGGAAACATGTATGGGACAGAAACAGCAGAACAGACAAATAGAGAGCTGTAGCGAGATAATAACTGAGTGCTGTTATAAGATACGATGTAACCAATGTTTACTCGCAAAGGTGGTTGTACACCTAAATGTAAAATGTCTGATATGGAACCCTTCTATTCTGTATCCCCCTACACCAGTTTCATGTGATATGTATGTTTATGACAATGAATGTCAAAATCAATAAAAGACTTCAAATGGAAAAAAGCACGTTGCAAATCTCTGTTTGTCAGCTTAACATAACGAACAGGGTTATTTACTAACGTGAGAATTTAAAGTGAACTCCAAAAGGGAATTTCAAATGTAAGGTCAAAATGGCCAAAAACATAACAATTCTCGGATTCAGCTGTGTTTAAAGTTCAGCTACTTTGGCCTTAACTTTGAAATTTACTTTAAATTAACTTTGAATTCTAACTTTAATTAAGAACAATGTTATTGTTTAGTGCAGTGGTTCCCAACCCAGTCCTCAAGTACCCCCTACCAGTCTAGGATTTAGGGATTACCCTGTTGTGTCTCAAGTGTGTTTTTTTTTTTTGTGTGTGTGTTTTTTTCTAAAAACACCTTAGACACAACTAGGGAATCCCTAAGTACTGGACTGTTAGGGGGTACTTGAGGACTGGGTTGGGAACTACTGGTTTAGTGGATAAAGCCAGTACAATTGGGATGTGTCCAGCATGTTGTCCATAGAAGGATAGTCTCCTGTTCAGTCAGAGTTCTTGGACAGAATTGACATATATATATATATTCTGCTTAAGGAACTTGTCAATTAAACATTGAGTTGCGGCACTCTGAAAATTGGAGCCTGCAATCAAGCTATGAACTCACAGTTTAGTGAATACACCCCTGATAGTACTTTTCAATTATTCATGCCTTAAAAGATATTCTCTGTTGCATAATTAATGCTGACAACTTTTTTTGTATTTAATGACAGGTATTTGCACTTCACATTGGATGTCTTTCAAGCTATTCTTTTAAGTACAATTATTTATATCTCTGAATCATAATATTCTGTATAATTAAATTATAATGTGTCTTATGGCCCCTGGCGATGATACCATCAGAAAGAAATGGCTAGCCTAAGATCTCTTGAACCATGTAAAGGCTCTGAGGAGGCTCCACGACAATGGATATTGTGGAATTATCTGCACAGTGTAACAAAGATGCATCTCTCTTTCATCTGTGCTTGAACAGAGCTTGGAGCCAACAAGTACCATTCATTGCTGTACCAGCAGTAACAATCTGAGCCAGCACTTTCAACCACATTTACATCCAGATATTTTAAACCTTTAATCAGAATAAAAGTTGATTTTTAGTGCATACTGTGCGTGAGCAGATAATATGATAAATAAAAAAACATACAGTTTACAAACCATTTGTTGTCTGCTATTTTCCCATTGTACTAACAGAAAAATAGAGATATACACAAGATTTTACAATCATGGGGGGTTTGGACCATTTCGGCTTAAAGGGACATGCATTACTTTAAGACAACTGTCTTATTCAAAAGCTTTAGCTTTGAATGAGACAGTTTCCTCAATCTGCAGGCTGAAAAAATGCAAGTAAATATGATTAATTCATGTTTACCTGCTTCTTCTTTCTTATGCTTTCCACAGAAATGACAGAGTCACAATGAACTGACCAATCAGTGTCCTATCCCTAGGAATGCAGGAAAAGTGCATTTGGGCATGTCTGGCAGATTTACATATGTATCTCTTCGTCTTGCAACATCCTGACACAGGGAGAATAGAGGGAGTCGGATTAGTGTAATTCATGCACAGCAGGCACCGGTGTGGGGTTCTCTCTCCTGCTGATGCCCAATGATGCCCTGTTTCTGCCATTAGTTGACTGGTCCAAAATTGAAGATGGGAGGGTAAAAGGGATGGGAGAGGGTACAGGTACATTGCCTAACAATGCAGTATGACCAAGTATATAATAAGTTTATAAATGTTTATTACATACTTTTCTTGTCTTGCTTTATTTTGGAATGTATATTTGTTTAGAAATGCCTGCTTGCTGGTTTAAACAAATAATTGTCAAGTGATGCATATCCCTCTAATTATGATAAACCCAAGCCATACTCACAATTAGCGAAATTATTTCACTGAATATTAGACTTTCCTCAATAGCAACAATTTAACACAATAACAGCATGGCTGTAAAAAATACCTACCAAGTTTTAAATCATAATTAAAAAAGTGTAAGTGATCGGACAGGTCTTTTTTTGTGTTTATCTTCTTGTTTACTTATTTTATTTAAAGGTAACCTATTACTCAACATTAGCTGCAATAGCTCCCAACGCCATACATATATATGTTATTACTGGAAGGCGATATAATGTTGCTTCATGCACATACGCTGATTAGCCACAACATTAAAGCCACCTGCCTAATATCGTGCAATCCCCATGTGCTAACAAAACAGCTCTGATGCATTGATGCATGGACTCCTCTGAAAGTGTCATATGGTATCTGGCACCAAGACATTAGCAGCAGATCCTTCAAATCCTGCAGGTAGCGAGGTTGGGCCTCCATGGATCAGATTTGTTGTTATAGCACATCCCACAGATGCCCAATCAGATTGAGATCTGGGGGATTTGTGGGCTACAGCAACACCTTGAATTCTTTGTCATGTTGACAAAACCATTCCCGAACAATTTTTTGTAGTGATGCAGGATGCATGATCCTGCTGGGAGTGACCACTTTGCTATGAAGGGGTGTACGCGGTCTGCAACAATCTCTGGGTAGACAGTACATGTCAAAGTAACATCCACATAAATACCAGGATCTAGGTTCCCAGCAGAACATTGCCCAGAGCATAACACTACGTCCACCGGCCTGCCTTCCTCCCATAGTGCACCCTGCTGTTATCCACCTTATCTAAAACAAAATGTTATTCATCAGACCAGACAATCTTCTTCTATTGCTCTGTGGTCCAGTTCTGAGGCTCACGTCCTCACTGAAAGCCCTTTTGCAGGGGACAGGGATCATGATGAATGATTGGTCTGCGGCTATGCAGCAAACTGCGATGCACTGTGTGCTCTGACACCTTTCTATCATGGCCAGCATTATGTTTTTCAACAATTTAAGCTACAGTAGCAGTGCAGTACCAGCTCATTGGCTGAGAGGTTACATCAGCTAATCACTCTCAGCCAATGAGATCGGCCCTGCACAACTGGGCTTAGCTCAGACAAAGAGCTACTGGCTCTCTGGCGGATTTAGTGGAGATGGGGAGTGGCACCCACAGACCTCATAAAAGGAGTAAAAACATTGACAGGGCACTTCTGGCACTATAACCACTACTGAGCATTATAGTGGTTATGGTCCTTGGAGTGTTCTTTTAACATTCAGCCTCTTTTATGTTCAAACAGCATACTAGGTAAATAGGTAGAGACATTGAGTATCTAGTGCCGTAAATTTCTACTGTTCGGTTATTATATGAATGCAGTTGCAACAGAAAGCAGTGTGTGTTCTTGTCTGCTGGGTGATTGATGGGATCTGTTGTCCTGTAATGTTTTTACAGTAGTCGTTGGTCCATGACGCAGTCGTTGGTCCATGACTCTATAGAGAGATGTACAGCACCAATTAAGATTTTTTCATAAGCAGACGTAAGGAGCAAATGCCCCTCCTGCGTCTTTCAAAGAAATATAGGTCTCTAAAAAAAAGGTTGCGTGGACCACCTGACAAGCATTCAAGTAGATACCAAAAAAAATAAACAAACAACACAGTTTCTCATCATACAAAGCAATAGCAGAGACTGCAGTTCTCTGTGAAACAAATTACTGTACTGAGTAGACATACGCATTTCTCACGCTTCAACAAAGAGATGACTATAATTCGTTTAATTTTTTCTTTCTTTGTTAGTTTATGTCTTAGAGAAGCCAATTTGACAGCCATATTAACTACCCTTGGCCATCTCCCAGTCCCTTGAGAAGGCTGTCTGCAGGTAATAAGATACCCACAGATCATTACACATAATTATCACTTCTTCATACACAGACCATTACCATGCATTTCACACAATTTTTAAACATACTATTAAAATTACTCTTTTCATCTTTATTACTTATTTCAGAGCTCATATAAAAACCATATATCTGGATCCATATTCAAATCCCTGCTTAACGCTAAAAATGAAAACTTAGAGAGATATTGACAGCAAGCAACCAGTTCATAAACTAGGAAAGGTTTCAAGGAAACAAAGGGAAAAATATATAATAAAAAAAAAACACTTAAAACAATACAAAATGACTAAAGGTTCTACAATTTGCAAAACAAAGCAGACACAGTTATTCAGACACCCAAATATCTTATGCAATTGAACGGAAACTGCAACAATCAATTTCTTTTCTACATCTAACCCCTGTTCCAAATAATGACAAAATCTGTCAATTAGGGGGTCTCCAACTCACTCTCAGATTAGTGTGACTCTAACCCACTATCCAAGTACCGGTACTTTAACCACTATCCAATTACAGGAACTCTAACCCACTATCCAATTACAGGAACTCTAACCCACTATCCAATTATCGGGACTCTAACCCACTATCCAATTATCGGGACTCTAACCCACTATCCAATTACAGGAAGTCTAACCCACTAACAATTACTGGGACTCTAACCCACTATCCAATTACTGGGACTCTAACCCACTATCCAATTACCGGGTCTCTAACCCACTATCCAATTACCGGGACTCAAACCACTATCCAGTTATCGGTACTCAAACCCATTATCCAATTATGGGGACTTTAACCCACTATCTAATTACCAGGATACTTACCCACTATCCAATTATGGGGACTCTAACCCATTATCCAATTATGGGGACTTTAACCCACTATCCAATTACCGGGACTCTAACCCACTATCCAGTTACCGGGACTCTAACCCACTATCCAATTACCGGTACTCTAACCACTGTCCAATTACAGGAACTCCAACCCACTATCCAATTATCAGGACTCTAACCCACTATCCAATTACAGGAACTCTAACCCACTATCCAATTATCAGGACTCTAACCCGCTATCCAATTACCGGGACTCTAACCCACTATCCAGTTATCGGGACTCAAACCCATTATCCAATTATGGGGACTTTAACCCACTATCTAATTACCGGGATACTAACCCACTATCCAATTATGGGGACTCTAACCCATTATCCAATTATGGGGACTTTAACCCACTATCCAATTACCGGGACTCTAACCCACTATCCAATTACGGGGACTTTAACCCACTATCCAATTATCGGGACTCTAACCCACTATCCAATTAAGGGGACTTTAACCCACTAAACAATTGCAGGAACTCTAACCGACTATCCAATTACCGGGACTCAAACCCACTATCCAGTTATTGGGACTCTAACCCATTATCCAATTATGGGGACTTTAACCCACTGCAATTACCGGGACTCTAACCAACTATCCAATTACCGGGACTCTAAGCCACCATCCAATTACAGGGACTCTAACCCACTATCCAATTATGGGGACTTTAACTCACTATCCAATTACCGGGAGTCTAAGTCACTATCAAATTACAGGGACTCCAACCCACTATCCAATTACCGGGAGTCTAACCCACTATCCAATTACAGGGACTCCAACCCACTATCCGATTACCGGGACTCCAACCCACTATCCAATTACCGGGAGTCTAACCCACTATCCAATTACAGGGACTCCAACCCACTATCCAATTACAGGGACTCCAACCCACTATCCAATTACCGGGACTCCAACCCACTATCCAATTACCGGGAGTCTAACCCACTATCCAATTACAGGGACTCCAACCCACTATCCAGTTACCGGGACTCTATCCCACTATCATGGGGCTGGATACCCAGATTTGGGACTCTAACCGCTTTCAATCAAGGACTGGATATCTTTCTGAATTCCTGAGAGTCCTTTAGACTAATTTCTACTTTGGTCAAACCCTACCTCATAAAAACCACTATGGATTCTGAATTCCGGAGAGCAAAGAACACAAATCAAAATAATATTGGCTCTTACCATTTCCCTGAATTCCACCTGCGATGCCATCTGTTGTGAGGAATTTGCGACTTGGGACTCAAAACCGGGTACTCTCAGGTTTGCAGCTGCATCACAGGACACAGGGGCTAAATTGTAGATATGAGCTCAGAGAGCTAGATTGCAACACTCAGAAGCATGCTTCAAAATCACTCTGGTTTATTGTGCATTTACATGTAGCATATAAAGGCCAAACAGGAGATGACCTTAAGCTCTAAAACATATGAAAGATATTATTTGCTGCAAGGTTAATGCATAACAAGATTGTAGACAGAAAAAGAAGTTAAGGAAAAGCTGGTTTGTAACAGTCTCTTCTTTGTAGACAGATGTACAGATATTTGAAGGGAGACAAAAAGAGTGAAACTGACGGAAATATGCAGTTACAACCGTTATAATTTTAACCATTAATAATAAAACTTACGCATCATATGAGTTTAACCCTTACATAATTCCTCCCATGAATTTTTGTACAAATTCCAGAATCTAAGATTATTTCAGGGTTTTCTGTTGAAAGATCGGGGAATAGAACACGTTACATTGTACTAACGCTAATATATATATAGTAACAAAGCACAAACACTGAAACCCATCACCAAATCTTCATACATGTTCTAGATGAGATTACAGACCTGAACTCGCCAGGTTAGGTCAATACACTGACTTGTCCTTCTCGTTAGTACGCCAACAAATAGTTCTTATGCCGCCATACACCTGCTCAGCGCGTTTCTTTAGGCTACGCAAGCAGGAGCGTCTTTTATTATAAATGTTAATATTGTGTTGTTGGCTTAATCATAAATATTTTGTTTTATTTAAAACAATACAATGTAAAAGCTATTTAAATTGCCAGGTAGATTTTACTTAAAGGAACAATAACCGCATGATCTAATAGCGTATTAATATACTATCTCACTAGTTAGTTTTTTTAATTCATGCATACTGATATCTTGAAGAAGCCTCCTGCCTGCTTTTAACACTCCATGTTTCTGAAAGACATCTCTATGTACCTTCGCTCTCTACGCACGTTCACTTCCTGAATCTGCGCTCACTATTTTGCTATCAGTGGCTGTCAAAAAGGAGAGGTGGTAAAGGTAGGCAAGGTATTTCTTCTAAAAAAAAAAATGCCACAACCCATTGCTAACTATTAGTTGGCTATCTGACTTTTCAAAACTTTTAGATTCAGCAGTTAAAGGACCACTATAGTGCCAGGAAAACATACTCATTTTCCTGGCACTATAGTGCCCTGAGGGTGCCCCCACCCTCAGGGACCCCCTCCCGCCGGGCTGGATAGCAAGGAAAGGGGTTAAACTTACCTTTTGTCCAGCGCCGGGCGGGGAGCTCTCCTCCTCCTCTCCGATCCTCCTCTTCGGCTGAATGCGCATGCGCGGCAGGAGCTGCGCACGCATTCAGCCGGTCTCATAGGAAAGCATTTACAATGCTTTCCTATGGACGCTTGCGTGTTCTCACTGTGATTTTCACAGTGAGAAGCACGCAAGCGCCTCTAGCGGCTGTCAATGAAACAGCCACTAGAGGATTTGGAGGCTGGATTAACCCATTTATAAACATAGCAGTTTCTATGAAACTGCTATGTTTATATTAAAAAAAAAAGGGTTAATCCTAGAGGGACCTGGCACCCAGACCACTTCATTAAGCTGAAGTGGTCTGGGTGCCTAGAGTGGTCCTTTAAACTTTAAAGTGTTTTTTTTCAACACCTTATTACATTGATAGATCTGCATGCCACAGACTCTGTAGCTTAGTGACGGTCTACTGCCATCTAGTGGACATATGTAAAAATAACTTTGTGAAGTACTGTAAATTAATAGAATCTGGTCCTAGATTCTAAACATATGAAGTCAAATGATTATATTGTAGCTAAGATTCAGGTGGGTCTGTCAGTTTGTCTGTCTATCTTGTTTCCTGCCCTGAAATGTACAGGGAAAGATGTTCCCCGCAGGCAACCTGCTAAATAACCCAAATGTCATTAAAATATTTAAAATAAATCTTGTAGATTGTGTCTCACGTGGTAATAACATAGTAGGACATTAAAATAAATAAATAAATAAATAGTGCCAGCAATGCTTAATCACATACAGCAATGCCAAAGGAAGAAGCTCCAATTACCAACCAAAACCCACCGTTGCTGACTGAGACATTCACGCTGTCCCTTGGGAGAGGAGCTCTGGGATAGCTGCTCGCCCAGGCACTGAATAATGGGTGTAAAGCAGATTAAGTCTGTAGCAACGCACAGCATGTCAGTCTGAGACACAGGAGGAAATCTCATGGTAGATCCTGGCCGTGGTGAGAATCCACAAGGACATCATGTACGAAACAGGTCAAACTCAGAATTAGAACCAGATAGAATGTGACTGGGAGTAGGGACACCAAGACGTGCCAGGAACCATCAGGAACAGGGAATGGGGTGAGAACAGGAATGGATACTGCTGTCTGAGCCAAAGGCACTTCGTTATGTACCTTTATGATGGGATTTCGGTCCCATACACGTATTTGCATCCACAGTAATATTTTGGGTCCACTCTATATGGTATAAATCAATTTCCTCACACAACAAATATGTAAACTCCAGGTGTTCACCCAGTTACATAAAAGGGACAATACACTAGCAAAGCACCATCCCTCTCAAAGCACGAGCCCCGGTGCAGCAGCACTGACCGCTTAGGGCCACCCGATGGCAATGTTTTCCCAGGGGCTACAAATTCTGTAGCGCTGTACAATGGGTGGACTAACAGACACATAATTGAGATCAGACCACTGACGTACAGGAACAGAGGGGGTTGAGGACCCTGCTCGATGAGCTTACATGCTAGAGGGAGTGGGGTATAGTGACACAAAGGGTTAAAGTAGGGGAATTAAATAGTTTGTTACAGAAGGGTTTATTGAGTGCTTGGTAGGTCATTTTTGACAGGTGCAGGAACGGAGTCATGGGGTGGGGGATGAGAAACCTGCTGACAGTTTAATTGATACGCTTTAATGAAGAAGTGAGTTTTCAAAGATTTTTTGAAGGAATGGAGGCTGGGTGAAAGTCTGATTGAGGAGGGAAGGGAGTTCCACAGAATAGGTGCAGCCCTGGAGAAGTCTTGAAGGTGAGGATCCGGGCAGAGGATAGGCGTAGGTCTTGGGCTGAGCGCAGGGGTCTCGACGGGACATACTTGTGTATGAGGGAGGATAGGTATGTTGGAGCAGCATTATGCGCCAGAATTTTGAATTGGGCCCTATATCTAACTGGAAGCCAATGCAGGGACTGACAGAGCGTGGAGGCGTGGGAGATGCGACCGGACAGGAAAATAAGCCTCGCAGCCGTATTCATTATAGATTGCAGCGGTGCAAGCTGGGAACATGTAAGACCGGTGAGAAGGGGATTGCAATAGTCAAGGCGAGAGAGAACAACAGCATGAACCAGTACCTTGGCCGCGTCCGGCGTTAGATATGGGCGGATGCACGCTATGTTCTTGAGTTGGAAGCGACAGGATTTGGCTATCGATTGAACATGGGGAGTAAAAGAGAGATCAGAATCAAAAAGAACCCCTAGGCAGAGGTGATAGTAGCGCCGTTGACTTGGATGGAGACAGACACAGGAGTAGCAGCACTTGAGGGAGGAAAAACTAGAAGTTCTGTTTTGGACAGGTTGAGTTTAAGGAAGTGAGCAGCCATCCAGTTGGAAATAGCAGAGAGGCAGTCAGAAACACGAGTCAAGGTGGGCGGAGAGAGATCAGGGGAGGACAGGTAGATTTGCGTGTCATCTGCATATAAATGGTATTGGACGCCAAAAGAGCTGATGAGTTTACCATGGGAGGCAGTATAGATAGAGAACAGTAGGGGGCTGAGGACAGAACCTTGGGGGACGCCGACAGGGAGGGGTTGGAGAGAAGAGGCAGAGCCAGAGAAAGAAACACTGAAGGAGTGCTGGGAGAGGTAGGAGGAGCACCAGGAGAGAGCAGTATCCCGTAGACCAAAGTTACGGAGAATGTGAAGAAGCTGTTGATGATCAACAGTGTCAAAGGCGGCAGAAAGATCAAGGAGGATTAGGATAGAGTATTGGCCGCGAGATTTAGCAGCAATTAAATCGTTGGATACTTTGGTCACAGCAGTTTCGACAGAGTGACCAGTGCGGAATCCAGACTGAAGGGGGTCAAGCAGAGAGTTGGATTCAAGAAAGTCTGTTAATCTGGCATAGACAACTCTCTCGAGGATCTTGGAGGCAAATGGCAGTAGCGAGATAGGGCGGTAGTTGGATGGGGAGTTGGGACCAAGGTTGGGCTTTTTCAGAATTGGGGTTACGGTTGCATGTTTGAAGGCAGAGGGAAATGTGCCAGAGGAAAGGGAGAGATTGAAAATGTTAGCGAGAGGAAGAGCAAGAGAGGGAGACAAAGTGCGGATGAGATGCGAGGGAATAGGATCGAGGGAGCAGGTGGTGGGGCGGGAGGACAGGAGCAGAGCAGAAACCTCTTGTGCTGTAGCAGGTGCAAATGAGCTTAGGATGGCAGGGGGAGTGGGGTTGGGTGATGTATTGATACTGGTTGGAGAAAGATTAGAGATCTCTTTCCTGATTGTAGAGATCTTCTCAGTGAAATGAGATGCAAAGTTTGTGGCGGACAAGGTGGTGGAAGGAGGGGGAGTCACAGGGCGAAGAAGTGCATCAAAAGTGTGAAACAGGTGTTTGGGTTGGTGGGACAGTGTGCTTATGAGGGTGTTGAAGTAGCTTACTTTTGCAGAGGAAAGAGCCATGCTGTAGGAGCGCAGCATAAATTTATAGTGGACAAAGTCAGATGCAAAGTGAGACTTTCTCCAGCAGCGTTCAGCAGTTCTGGAACATTTTTGGAGGTAACGGGTCAGCTTGGTGTGCCAGGGTTGTAGTT